TCTCTCTCTCTCTCTCTCTCTCTCTCTCTCTCTCTCTCTCTCTCTCTCTCTCTCTCTCTCTCTCTCTCTCTCTCTCTCTCTCTCTCTCTCTCTCTCTCTCTCTCTCTCTCTCTCTCTCTCTCTCTCTCTCTCTCTCTCTCTCTCTCTCTCCCCCCCTATACCTCTCCCTACTCAATCCTTAGCATCTGAGCATCTCGATATCCCGCTAACATGTGAACTAGCAAGAATAGATACTCTCCGTTTGTTTTAAGCATTTCCTCGAATGGTATTCAGGGGCGTCTGTAAAGATCTTGCTGGCCTACCTTAAGGCCCAAGCTATTTTCCATGCCAGCCCGCCATCACAGCCAATCACCAAATTGACAAACGGACCAGGGCAGAACGTACTGTACTTCCAGACCACTCGGATGTCAACAAACATCTTACCGAGACCTTACCGTACGTCTCTCCAGTACTTTCCTGAATTTCCTCCTCATATCCTCATGATTTGCAGAGAAACTCTAAACCGTGTATGCCCATCACACAGGGTGAGCCACGGCGACGAGAGGTACATTTGCCCCTGCTCCATAGATACACCGACTGAGGCTCTGCCATCTCTTGCCCTTGCAGGAGTAGAACCATGAGATTCTAGCCTGTAGGCAGCTGCATATCTACCAAGCCCGTCAAGGGAGGCGATAGCGACACTTGTGATGGTCCTACGGTGCAGAGCTGGTTTCGCTAGCTTTTCTGCAGGCTTCGTTCTCATCGATGTTCTTGTATCGCCACTTCGTACCTGGAATTTGGTTTGGAGCACCCGGCCATGGATGATCACGTGTTACATAGCACGAGTTGGAGCATAGAGAATGATGCTGAGTGCACAGTCTAGATGATGGAGGAGAAGAATGATGAAGTAGAGAAGGTGAAGAAGGGAAGGATGAAGAAGTGAAATTGTGATCTCAACTGCGCCACACTCACCGTTGTCCTAGTCTGTGGCGCATGTTCACGCGCGCCAATCATTTGCCCCATGAAGAAGCTGTTGCGATGGCCAACAAAGAGTGCAACATGTGGCCATGTGCGGTGAAGCGTGAATGTGTGTGGATTGTGGCGCGAGCTCGTTGCCAAGTGGGAAATAGCCAACTTGGCGGGTGACGAATGACGAAGAAGGCGCAGTCGTTGGCCTCTCCTATCACAGAGGACACCACAACACACGCCGAGACCTACCTACCTGTACTTATACCCAGCTCCCGTCGTTGTGAAACATCAACAAACTCCTCCTAACGACAACACACTCACGCACTCACTCATCCAAACAAAAGTCAAAGAGACCGACTTCCAGCCACACGAACAGAATCGAGCGAGCCAGAAGCAACAACAACAACAATGCCTCTGATGTGGACCAAGGTAAGTCTACACCAGGTGCAATCGCAGAACCAGCCGTCCAAGAAGCATATGAGATGAGATGAGCTGACATATCATCTCACCACAGAACTGGGGTGGCCGTCGCGCCGGAGGTGGTGTACGCGTCGACAAGACCGGCCTGCACCGTAATCCATTCCGCTTCAGACTGTGTGGACTCAACTGCTTCCGTTAAAATCAAAAAAAGGAAGCACCCACCAACTGCCACTATACAACTTACGACATCGACGACCACGACTACCAGCACACAAACACACACACAGACACACACTAAGATACGATACGATACGATATGATACCCTGAAAACACAAGCGAAAAAGACAGTAGAGAGTGGAAGGAGCGCGAGGGGGATTGGGAAACCTTCACCTGGTGGCGGGGGCACACGGGAGGATCTTGTAACTGGAGCGAGGGCAGACAGGCCATGGATTTGAAGCGAACTTTGAGAGAGAGAAGAATAGCAAAGGAGGAGCGTGTGGAAGAGGTTGCTGTGGGAGAGAGAGGTGCTAGAACGCGTTGACAAAAGACATACATCGAGGAGGTCATGTCACTGTGAGGGGGACACCAGGTACCTACCCAGGTAGCAATGTCAATTCTCGTTCTGACGCGTCGTATGCAGGCAGGCACACTGGGAAGCGCGTTCTGGGAGTACTAATAAGACAGGTATCGACAATGTGCACCTCATGTATAACAGTGTTCGTGATGCCGTAATATACCGATTTTCCGGTAGCCCTCGAGATGAAAGACATTTGGTGTTGCTATGATTCCACTCCAAGCTGCAACTACCAGGGCCTAGACGTCTTTTCACCAAAGGATGTAGGTAACTGCAGAGATGGGAGAGCACCCAGAAGTATGAGAATCGCATGTGATTCTACATCCAAATCCATGTCCTCTTCTCTCTCACTTATCCCGCCCCTCCCCTCAACTCCTCCTCCTCATACTGACTCTCCAACTGACGCATAATCATCATGATCTCCCACTGAAAGCTCTCAAACACCTTCTGATGCAGCTTCACGAGAGTCGACATGCACAAATCATAATTGACCGCTTCACTCCTACTGTTGCTATTACTACTACTCCATGTACTACTGCTGATGCTGTTGCTGCTGCTGCGAGCACGGACGTCTTTCCGCTGCTGCTGAACATCTCGCGTCATCGTCACGGGGAGAGCATATCGCCACGGAATCCGGTCCATTCCCGCCGCGCGAGATTTGATCCATGTGTATAGGCCGAATTCCAGAAATGTGTTTGGAATTGATGATGACGAGGAAGAGGAAGGAGAAGAGGAAGAGGAAGAGGACGACGATGCGCGATTGGAAAAGTACAATCGGAGAGTGAGGCGAGAGTTGGAGCGGAGGGCTTTGAGTTCGGAGCTGTAGAGACTGCCAATGATGCGTCCGAGGCTGCGGAAATCAAAGTCGAGAATTCGTATTTCAATGGGTGCGGTGGCGAGGAGTATGGGAAGGTACTCTGCTCGGCATTGGCGTGAAGTCACGAAGAGGGCTGGTATTCGGTCATTTTGGCGGTTGTGTTTGCGCTTGATGGGTACAGGTATGGGCGACGTGCGGGGCACGATGCGCAATTGTTGGATGTGTTGGACGGCGAGAGCGTAGATGTGGTTGCGAAGCTCAGCGGGAAGGTCGAAGAAGGACGTTCTTCTGCGGCCGGTCAGATTCGGTGCCTCACACTTGCTGGTTTGGCTTTGTTTGGTAGATCGGCGGAGTCTTCTGAACATCTTCGCGTCTCGGAAGACCGCAGAGTGTGCCTTTGTTCAGTTGCATGCAAGTCTTGGTCCGTTGGAGGTGTAAAAAGGAAGGCTGTCACTGTAGATGAGGTAACTGTCGTAGGAGTTAAGGTAGGAGGTAAGGTACCTAGGCAGCTCCTCAGTGGGGCTGGTCGACGCCACCATCACTGTGCAAACGAGCAACCTCGCGTCCAGGAAATCTATACAAGATGTATTACTAGGTATCAATGGGAATGCCCTTTGTTCCATGTCTGTTCGTGGCTTCCTCTAGCTCTATTGCCTTCTACGGTCTCAGCAGTGGGTGTGCCTCAGTATTGCTAGAATTTGGTCAGTGATTGGAGAGCTCGGAGGCGGAGACAGGTACTGACAGCACATAGTCATCGAGGCTGATGACACTGGGATCACTAAATATGAGATAGAAGTATTTCAGCGTTTCGGCGGTCCTATCATGGAGGATCAGCATAGATTGACGGAAAAAAGGTGCTGCTTTCACTAAGCGCTTACCAAAAGCTTTCCATACTGTCGATGAGGGGCGACTCCAGCTGCGTTACGTCTTTCAGGGCAGCAAACGCGATTGGAGTTCTCGTTGCGTTTGTGATTGCCTGGAACATCTCCCAAGCCTGGTGCTGAAGCCGAACATCACCTGTGATTCTGTACAGCACAAAAACCGATTCGATAGCTTCTGGCCGCAGAATATAGCGAGCGTCGTTGATTGCAACGAACCCAGGAGCTAATCCTTTGCTGGCGATCTCTTGGTGAGCCTCTTTCTCATACCCTGCACGTGCAGTGCCGTGATTCGCCTTCTCCGCTACTGCGTGAAGCCAAGTATCCTCACTCCAGGCACAGTCATTCCAGTCTGCCTCCTTGCAAGGGAGTGCAGTGAAGATTTCAGGCATGATGCCAGAAATGGTCGAATTATATGCCCACAGACAGCCGTCTACAAGTTCCCGAGCTGTGTCCATTTCGTCTGGCTGCTGAAAAATCTTGGCTGCCAACGCAACCATGCCACCCGCGAAACATGCCAAATGCTCTGCCTGAGGCAATAGCTTGGTTCGAGAGTGAGAGTGTCGCTTCACTGTGCCCGAGAGAAGCATCTTACGATTCTCTGAGTTCAGTGGGCGAAAGAAGACACTCTCCTTGGCAGCGGCGAGAGCAGTACGAAACATGGACTCGTACTGGGATGTCTGGCCTCCTAGCATAAGATGCTGCTTCGGTAAGTATTCATAGAGGCTATCGGCCATCCCTCCCAGTGTAAAGGTAGTGTCGCGTGCGAAGTCTGCGTCCTTGGTGTTGACCAGAGTGGGCCATAGGCCGGGCAACTGAGTATGGGGTTGAGCCCTCTCGAAGGCGTCTGTGACGCGAGCTACTGCATCATACCATTTCATATCACCAGTGATCTGAGAAAGCCGGGTGAATTCCAGAGTAAGCGATCCGACCTCAGCGAGAAGCGAGGATCTCTTAGCCTCCTGGTCTTCGCCTAGTGCCGTTTTCTGCCAATTCCATCGAGTCATCGGCATTCGATTAGGCGTGTCAAAGGCAAGGTACAACATCTCGCCCAATTGTATCGCCTTCTTTAACAGAACTGGATACCGTTGTCCACTCACATCGTATGCCGCAAGCAGACCTCCCAGATATCGTATTGTAGTCTCAAAAACATTGACTTCTGACGTGGGCGTCGAGATAAAGTCCACCTTCTTAATGGCCGAGACCGCCATTTCGAAATCCTTCTTCAGGCCCATAATCCACAGGCTGTCCAAGCTGTCCACCAATGTTGCCCCCCATGACCCGAACGGATTTCGTGCATTTCCACTGATGGGCGCAACTTCATCTTGCAGCCATGCGTGTTCCTTGTATCCCATCCAAGAGTGCAGAAAGGCTTCCTTAACTGCACTCAAACAGCTCTTTCGCCAAACAGCATGGTCCTTCGACTCTTGTTCGAAGCTGTGCTGCACACGGGGTATATCGACTCGGGGCCCTTGGGGAATCTTGACGTACTTGTGGACCGGGTGCTTGAGCTTTACGTCCTTCCATCGAAACTTCGGCTTTAGGAAACCAGGATGCAGAACCTCGTCGATCGGTCGATGTGCTCGCGGTGGTGATCTAGTATGGCGATAGGCGTGACCAGGTAGTCTGGCGGCCAAATTGAAGAGGATGACGAAAATAAGAACAGAGACGAGCGTGAGGGATAGATAGCGTCTCACAGGAGGAGGCATCATGATGCAGGAGTTGTAAGGAGTAATAGGCGCATCGTAGAGACGCGCTTACATGGAAGGAGTGAATGGTCAATGGACAAAGGCAGTAGGTACATGTATGCTCACCCAATTCCACCATGTATCATCTCCTCTCATCTCTAGAGGTAGTACCTTAGGTACAGAGAGAGCAGCCATCGTCTCCTTCTCTCCCCTGATTCTGAAGCAGCCATTGGAAGGCTCGTGCATGAACCCTGCAAGGACTAAGGGTGTTTCGTCGTCGTAGCTGCTCCACTGTTTGTCTGTCTGTTTTGGCTGGCTCTCTCTGCATGTTGACCGGCCACGGTGATGAGCATGTTGATGATATCGTCTCATCTGTCACATTCAGGCGGAGTTGCTGCTTTCGCCAAGGTCAAGGCCGTTGCCGTGGGATAAGATACCTAGTGTAGGTACCTAGGTAGGCCTAGCCTCCTAGGTACAACCGCTTCCCGTGGCGCTCCGGGAGCAAGGTTCTTCCGCTGCCGGAGTTGAACTACCTGTTCAAAGTTAGCGTCGGCGGGAGAACCAGGGTGTGCCGACTGCTGTCTGTTGCCTCCAGCAGCAGAAGATTATTGCTCCCTCTTCACTTCTGCTGAACAACATCAATGCAATAACACCCCGCTCTGGCACATTGGTCGCCGTCGACCCTGTGCTACCGACTGTGTCGCCATGCCGAATCAGTATCCGACGTTGTCACAATGTGCGGCTGTTGCGACCGCGCTTAAAGTGCTCTTGTGGCCTGCATAGTATGTGCTATGGACAGCAGGATTCGGAAATGGCTATACTGACTCGAGAAAGCAAGTCGACCGACTTCGAGGTGCATCGCAACTGGCTTGCTATCACAAATACCTTGCCCCTGAGGGAATGGTATTTTGAGGTCAGTCTGCTGGCAAACACAGCTATTAGCACGAGGGTACTGAGACAGTGCAGCACACTTCAGAATGGACACTGGACTATCCTCCATTCTTCGCCTACTTTGAGTGGACTATGTCACAGCTGGCACGCTTCATCGATCCGAAGATGCTCGATGTCCAGAATCTCGGCTATGATAGCTGGCAGACAATCTACTTCCAGCGAGCAACAGTCATTGTCACGGAGTTTGTGCTCATTTACGCCTTGAGCCTGTACATCAGCTCCGCCCCTGTCGGAGAGAAGAAGCAAAGCCACGCTGCCGCCATCTCGATCTTGCTCTCGCCAGGTCTGCTCATCATTGACCACATCCATTTCCAGTACAACGGCACGATGTATGGCATTCTGATCCTGTCCATCGTGCTGGCACGTCACCGCCAGCATGGCTTACTGCTGAGCGGCATCGTCTTCATGGCGCTGTTGTGTCTCAAGCATATCTATCTTTACCTGGCACCGGCTTGGTTCGTATATCTGCTCCGGGTCTATTGCCTAGGACCTCGATCGATCTTTGAAATCAAATGGTTCAATTGTATCAAGCTTGGAGTAGGGATTCTGGTCGTCATTGCAGCAGCATTTGGTCCTTTCGCGATCGAGAGTCTTGATCAATTACCGCAGATTATGAGCAGGCTGTTTCCGTTCAGCAGAGGGCTGTGCCACGCTTACTGGGCTCCGAATGTCTGGGCGATGTACTCCTTCAGTGATCGCGTGCTGATATATCGTGAGCGCTACAAATCTCAATGTCGACACAATCACTGACTTGCTGCAGTTGCACCATATCTCAAGCTTCCTGTCAACGCAGACGCCATGAATAGCGTCACTCGAGGCTTAGTTGGCGATACCTCATTTGCTGTCCTGCCCGACATACCACCAAGGCTTACTTTCATCCTGACACTGGGAGCTCAAATAGTAAGTGCGTTGAGCGGCAGCGGCATGATGTGATTACTGATATGATTTAGCCTGGATTGATCAAGCTATTCTTGCTTCCGACATGGGACAACTTTGTTGCCACTATAACTTTATGCGGCTACGCCTCATTCCTTTTCGGATGGCACGTTCACGAGAAGGCCATACTCCTGGTCATCCTCCCTTTTAGCTTGCTTGCCCTCAAAGATAGGCGCTTCCTGGGAGCTTTCCGCCCACTGGCCGTTGCTGGTCACGTGAGCTTGTTTCCGCTCCTATTCACTGCCATGGAGTTTCCAGTCAAGGTTGTGTATACCATCACGTGGCTAGTCGTCTTTCTGATGTCTTTCGATCAGCTCGCTCCAGCGTAAGTGGCCTTGTTTGTCTTCGCAACAGCTTTCCAGAAACGTCCACTGACGGTGGTACAGATCCGAAAAGCCTCGAGTGTTCTTGTTTGATCGATTCTCTTTGCTTTACATTGCAGTGGCTATACCGTTGATCGCTTACTGTTCTTTCCTCCATCACTTGGCATTTGGAGCCAAGTACGAGTTCTTGCCGCTGATGTTCACAAGCTCATACACTGCCGTTGGAGTGGTTGGCAGCTGGTTAGGATTTCTCGTAGTCTTTTTCACCTCATAATCAAGCAAACAATGGCTCAAGGCTGGAATCTTAACACATTCCGACTTGCCAAAACCTCACTTAACACGTTCCAATGTTCCAATATCCATATGCAACCAATGCTTACCTAGGTATACAACATCACCTCGATACATGGCGCCAATCTAGGTGAAAAGGGGTGTACTGCACCGCGCAAGTCATTTCAGAGACCTCAAAAGTAATTGGACAAGCCGGGTAGACTGCCTGCTCAATCACGGTAAGAAGTTGTGGCATTGCCCAGGCCGCTGCCGGTCAGGTCGAGGCGTGACTGGTGTTCAAAACAAGGGAACGTTCAGGGTCTCGCACTTGGTCGGTCTCTCACGAGAGATACACTGCCATAAGCCATAGCTTGAATAGGGCATGCGACTGTGCGCGGCGCGGCGGTTCCAACGAGTGCATATACGACTATATTCGTGGGTGACGATGACCGCTGAACAGCCGAGAAGGACCATGTGGTAGTGGTCAAGAATGCCAAGGCCAGCGACGCCATTAAACATTACGCTAAGTTCGGCAGAGATCCTCCGGCTCGACCTTTGGTGGAGTGTACGGCGTTCCTTGTGTCTCTCCAGTCCGTATGCCTACCTTACTCAAAAACCCTCTCAGCCTCTTCCTGTCCGCTCCCGTCCTCCTCCTCCAACAGCCCACACCACACCCACCCTCATCGTCGACGCGACCACGACATCGTCCGCCATCGCCAACATCCTCCCCCAGCTCATCCCGACGCCTGCCATGACGATCGATCCTCTCTCCACACGCGTTTAGACCCGGCCGCCTTTCTGCAAAGGTGCTACACCCCGGAGCTCTCCCTTCTGCGACAGCACGCGCCGCTTCGTGCCCATCATTTCCCAATCCCCCTTCGACCACATGTTCGCTGCATCGGGACAGTTGCAACTCGCCTCGAAGCCTGCCATCGATCGTCGACAGTCCCAGTGCCTCTCGTCCACCTACTCCCAGCACGTTGATCTCCGCGGGTGGTACCCAGCTGCACGCTGGGCGTATACAATATGGTTCGCATTGCAAAACAACATTCGCCAGTACGGCGTGCCAACAATAAAAAACAGGTCCTCAACAAGAGAAAGCCAGTCAATCTAATCACGACTCCACCCAATGTCCCAGACAGTACCGAAGTAAGATTTTGGATAAGCTATGAATTCGCGGCCACTGCGACTGACACGCGTATGCTACTAGGTCTATGTCATGAAAGGCACGAATGAGGTGTTTACAGACTATGAGAAGTACCTAAAGCGGTATGTTCACTTGCGCCATATCATATTATGCACAGACGTTTAGGCTAAACTTCATTTCAGCTTCGACTGGCTCAACTCAGTATGCTTGTACACCTTCTAGAACAGTCTGGGTCGGCACACTGACATTCCACAGAAAAAGTTCACAGACGCGGTCAATGGCAAGTCCGGCCTCACATACTGGGACGCGCTGGAATCAGAGGTAGACCATGCCATGATTGCCGTGGCAAGTTCGAGCATGCTGACTCCTTCCCAGACCAAGAGTTCAGCTACAATCGAGACTTTGTTTCCCGAAGTTCTTCGCGACCCCATTCTCCGCAATGTGCAGTTTTCCACTATCACGCGCATGGATGAGCTTGGTAAACCTTTGTCGCCTCTCCCGGCGCAACCTTGCTGACTCGTGTTAGTGAACAAGGTATTCGACGACTTCAAGAGTGATTACTTTCCGGGCGAGGACGTCGTATGTACCCTTGACAATGGCGAGCAATTCGAAGGGACGATTCGCGAAAAGGCCAAATTCCCCATGATTCGAGGAGCAGATGGCAGCGTGCAGCGTGCCCCGTTCTCGCGATATTTTATCAAGGTGCACGGCTCGCCCGGCGAAGAGGCACTCTTGGACGACAAGCACATTCGCCGTGATCGTAAGATCTTCACGAAGCAGAACCTTCGTGCTTTCCTGAAGAACTCTCTACAACGTGAACCCTGGAGTGGAGCACCATGGCTCGTCAAGGAACATCTCGCAATCCAATATCGACTGCCCATGGAAATTCCTCAACACCTCTTCCAGGACGCGAAGTTACTAGCAGCCAAGACTCAGGTGTTCTCAATGCGACCGCCGAAGTCCAAGAAACCGAAAGGCATGCCAGCTGCGGAGTATGAACGCTTGCGAAATCAGGAGCTACATCAAATACAACAACAGCAAATGCAACAGCACATAGCCGGCGCTCATCCGGCGCAACTGAGTCGTTACCAACAACAGCAGGCACACCACCAGATGATGAACCAAACGCCACCTCGACCTCCTCCGCCACCAGTCGTCAGATATCCAATAGAGGATCTAGATCTAGCCCCGAAGCGCAATGGTGCGACGAGACCAGAACTCAAATTCTTCACAGAGGAGCTCACGGAGTACATGCGCGGAGGACGGAAGACAGCAGTAGAGGGCATCGAAATGCGGTCGATCGGTATGCTGTTGGAAGTCTGGAATACGCTGAATGTGCAGTGCGAGGTCTACGTGCTAGACAGCTTCACGTTCGACGACTTTGTGGATGCGATGCAGTATCACGAGATCGATCCCCCTTGCGAGCTTTTTGAGGAGATCCATTGTGCTGTATTGAAATTGTTCGTCGATAACGAGGGTAAGCTTCTGGTCAAGGATATGCCTCGAAAGAAGGTTGAGGAGACCCAGGGGGACGACGAGACGGACATGCACGATGACAGCGAAGTCTCGACACCTCTACCGGACGTACCTGCGCGTTCTACGCGTAGCAGACTGAGCCAGATGGAAGTCGTGGAACCCGATAGTCCCACTGTAGAGAACAGAAACCGCGCCGGAGAGATGCTGGGTGACCGCGCCTGGGAAGACCGACTGGCTGCCCGAGCCTTCACCAATGGGGGCTGGCAAGTCATTGTTGTCGGCATCCTGCATCAACTGTCCCAGGTCCCATTATTCAAGGAGAGGTGCGATCGGATCTTGGCTCACCTTGCTCCGATTGATTGCAAGCCTACACAGGAAACAGCTCTAGAGCAATATGCGACGATGGACATTAATCTCCGAATTGCAGCCCTCCAGCTGCTGACAGTCCTGACGATTCGGACTGACGCAATCAAGGATTTCCTCGAAACCTGCATGGACGACATGACGGATGTGCGCAAGCGCAAGATGGAACATCAGCGCGAGAAGAAAATTGCCATGGAGGAGTTCGCCATCAAGGATCGCGAGTTTAAGATTCTGCGACCTGATCACCTTCCACCTTCTCCTGTGCACGAGCCAACTGAGGTCACTGAGCTAGACCCGACGGAAGGCTCCATTGACCTTAACGGCACTGCTAGCAGCCCAGACCCTGATGAGGATACCCTCGCTGGTGGAAGATCGCTTCGTCGCGCAGGTGATCGCAAGCGCAAGCGTGAAGAAGAACAGGCGCGTCGCGAAAAGGAGAAGGCTGCTAAGGCTGAAGCCGCCAAGGCGCACAACAAGGCTGCCAAAGAGTTCAAGAAGATCGAAAAGGAATGCCTGGAGCTCAAAGAGCGCATCAGGGTGCAGGAAGAGAAAATTGCCGAATGTGACTCGGACTTGCGCGAGGCTAACGTCCAGCGCACCAAAGTCTTAGGCAAGGACAGATTCTGCAACCGATACTATTGGTTCGAGCGCAACGGCCAGCCATTTGGCGGTCTACCAAGCTCGAGTACATCGTCGTACGGATACGCCAACGGCCGCATCTGGGTGCAAGGACCGGACGTCATGGAGCGTGAGGGCTTCATTGATCGTACACCGGAAGATCAGCGAGAATATCAGAGGTACTTCCAGATGACAGTCCCTCAGCGACGCCAGCAAGAAGAAGGCGACGTTCAACTCAATACAGCGGATGAGTGGGGCTATATCGACGATCCAGATCGGCTGGACAATCTCATCGGCTGGCTTGACGATCGCGGCGAGCGCGAGCGGAAACTGCGCAAAGAACTCATGGACTGGCGAGACCACATTGCTCAATACATGGAAGCGTACAAGAACTTCCTGGACCAGGAAGCTGCCAAGAAGCTTGACACGGAGGAGGAGCCCACAAAACGCGTCTCTACTCGCCACAAGCACGCCGAAGAGGAGAATGCGAATAAGGCGCGCTGTCTTCGCTGGAGTAACACTATGGCTCTTGACGAACAGGGACATATCCACTCCCGGCCCCCCAAGCCAAAGGAGAAGAAATCTTCCAAGAAGCAAGCTCACGCGGAACGAGAAGATAGAGGCCGGGGCGTCGCCGTACCTGTTAACCGCAGTGGTAAGGCGATGACGAGGCAGGGCGGTGATTACAATTCCAAGAAGTGAGCTACACCGACTGTGGTGGAGAGAGATCTTCTTAGGCAGTCACGCTGGCCCTTTCGTGCGAGTGATGGCCATTTTGGCGTGCATGAAGTTTCATCACACGTGCTGGCATGACTTGGGTATAGAGGCCGTGTGAATCGCGACCGGCTCGCTAGCTAAGGTACCTAGCTTCTCCTCGTCGAGTGGAGGGGTGATTTGAGGATACAGGGTAGCAGCTTGTCTGGTATGTCGCTGCTGCTGCTGCTGCTGCATTTGCTTGTACTGCATAGCGATGAGAGAGGGATGCTGTTGGCCAACGGCTGCAGCTGGGTCGAAAGGGCCCAAGAAAATACCTTAGTAGAGTCTACATGGCTCGAAATGCGAATGATACCACCCGCCATACTCTTTTCTTCACAAGCATGTTTATCCACACCTGTATGTGTATTAAAGCCAAGGTACTAACTACATGTACGCGGTGGGACTACCTATATGTAGAGTCAATTCATGTGTTGGGTACTTTCGCACCTCATGCGCGTAGACGATGATGAGTGTGGCATTGATGACATTTTTAGGTAAGCTAACATGTAGGCAAGGTATCTTCTCCATAATAAAACAAATTCGCGAATAGGTATATACAAATGGGATCTGTTGGGGACTCTTACATACTACCTACAGAGTCACAGCTTCATTTCCTTGCTGAGCGCCTTGACCCATGAAGAATCTCTTGCTTTCCAGACATCTCTCGCTCGTACAACCCGGACATCTCAGACCCATTTGCTTGCTGCACACCACACCGGCCTTGAGATGGTCGCTGGCCAGATTGGCGAGGGCGTTGATGAAGGTCGGGCTGCCATTCAGACTCTCACACCTCCTCACACGTCCATCGGCGCCCATCTCATTGGCCTCGTGGATAACTTCCTGGTCGATCTCGAACAGTGTCTCGATGTGGTCTGAAGTGAAAGCAATTGGAATGAGAATCATGTCCTTTTGTCCTTTCTTGATCAGGTTGGGTACTGTCTCTGCCGTCTGTGCTCCTAACCACGCTGAGGGTCCTACTTGCGACTGCCAGCAGAGTCTGTAGGGGTTCTTGTGTCCTAGCTTTTGCTGTACTGCCCAAACTGTGGCTGCGACTTCAGCTGGGTATGGGTCTCCGCGGTTCACGACGGACATGGGAAGGGAATGGGCAGAGTATAAGAGGACCACGCTGTCTCGGATGTCTTCTGGGTAGGATTCGAGCCTCTTGGTGATGTTCTCGGCAAAGGCGTCGACGAGACCTGGATGTGTCGGCCAGCGGTCGATCACGCTCCACTGAATAGAGCCCTCAGCAGGTGCGTCGGCATTCCGCGTCGGCGATTCGAGGCGTTGGCGCCATTTCCAGAGTTCGTTGAGGGAGGAGCCTGTTGTTGAGCAGGAGTACTGCGGGTATTGTGTGAAAGCCACTGCGCGTCCTCCTCGTCCTTTACCAAAGCCATCCTCGAACAATTTGTTGTACATCTCCTCGGTCAACGGATTGGCATATCGGAAGGCCACGTAGGGCTTGTGCGGTGCCGACTCTGGGTTCGTTTTGTCCAGAATCTTGCACATCTCCGCTGCCTGGTATTCGGACCACTTCCTGATGGGACTCCCTCCACCAATGTCTGCATACTGCTTCTTGATCTTGGGCGTTCTCCGCCTGCTGATGAGCGGTCCGAGGTAGCTCTGTAGGGGCCCAAGCGGGATCAAGTCGCCATCGGCGAAGAGGCGAGAGAGAAAGTCGCCCACTTCATCGACCGTCGCTGGCCCGCCCATGTTCATGAACACCATTGCCGTCGGGCCCTTCTTGCCCACCTCGTTCTGCGTGACGGGCGGGGCGGGGACGACGGTGGCCATGTTGCGGTCACTGCTCCATATCCGCGGCTTGTGGTGCGCGGCTGTCGGCGCGAGATGGAGGCATTGAGAGGGTGTCGCGCGTCGCGTGAGCGCCCTGAGTGGTTGCTGGACACTCATCGTTGTATGCATACACACAGGCAGTGATGAGTACAGGTAATGAATGTTTGATGGCAGAGGACTTGTGTACTGCGAGTGGTGTATAATGTAATGGACTAGCTCGCTCTAGTCCATAAGCAGCTTTGGCCTGCAATTGACTGGTCCTCCCGAGGTCGATTGAAGTGTTTAGTACAGGTGGTTTGTTAGTGCGGTTGCAGGGGCAGGAAGATATCGACATCATCATCATCATCACCACCGTCAACAGCGATCGGAGAGGCGGCGCTTGGCGCCTTCAATCTACTAAGGTAAGCTCTTATCACGTGTCTTCGCGATGGCTGCCTGCGCAGCTACGCGTCGCTTCCGCCCCAGGCACTACTCCCCCCATCCTACTCACCACCATGAGACATGTTTCCTTGAGCGTGCAGCGCATACTGCATTACAACTACCATCACTAAGGCATCAAACATGTCAGACCTCCCATATCGTCCCGCCGAGGACAAATATGGTGGCGGCAGCGGCGACGACGAAGACGACGAGGTCGAAGAGCTCTCGGGATATAAGACCGTCAAGGATGCTGTGCTCTTTGCCATCGACGCGTCCCAAAGCATGCTCACGAAGCCTGCTGAGAGAGATCCGAAAAAGCCAGAGCATTCTCTTGCCCCTACTGCTGCGGCGTTGAAGTGCGCTTATGCATTAATGCAGCAGCGAATCATCAGCAACCCCCATGACATGATGGGCATCCTCCTCTTCAATACGGAGAAGAGTAAGTTCGACGAAGGTGACGATTCGAGCAGAGGCTTCCAATATCCGCACTGCTATTTGCTGCAAGATCTCAATGTACCTGCTGCCGAGGATGTGAAGCAATTGCGGACTCTGGTCGAGGACGACGAAGACGACGAAGAAGAAAAGGCTACACGCATCTTGCAAGCCAGCAAGGACGAAGTGAGCATGGCTAATGTGCTCTTCTGCGCCAACCAAATATTCACAACGAAAGCACCCAACTTTTCGTCTAGGCGGCTTTTCCTGGTTACTGACAATGACTATCCCCATTCCTCAGATCGAGACGCCAGAAACAGCGCTGCTGTGCGTGCTAAGGACTTGTATGATCTGGGTGTGACCATTGAACTTTTCCCAATCTCACATCCCGACCGCGGTTATACTTTCGATCGCAGCAAGTTCTACAATGATATTGTATACTCTTCAACACCCTCGGACCCAGACGCGCCAGCTCCTCTGACATCGGATATTAAGGCTGCCAGTTCAACAGCAAAGGACGGAATTAGCTTACTGCAGGCTCTGCTTTCATCAGTGCAATCCCGCAATGCACCCCGTAGAGCACTCTTCAGCAGCGTACCGCTTGAAATTGGACGAGGTCTCAAGATCGGCGTCAAAGGCTATACCCTTTTAAAGCGGCAAGAACCAGCTCGACAGACTTACATATATCTGCCATCGGACGGCGAGAAAGCGCAAATCGCCGAAGGCCACAGTGAACTCGTGGATGAAGACACGGCTCGAACGGTGGAGAAGACGGAGATCCGCCGGGCCTACAAATTTGGTGGCGAGACAGTGTCGTTTTCGCTTGAGGACATGGCCAAAATCAACGACTGGGGCGAGCCAACCATTCGCATCATTGGCTTCAAGCCTCTGAGCATGCTGCCCGTGTGGGCGACGGTGGACAAGTCGACATTCATCTACCCGTCCGAGGAAAGCTTCATTGGTTCCACACGTGTGTTTTCTGCTCTGCACCAGAAGCTGCTCAGAGATCAGAAGATAGCATTGGCCTGGTACATCCCACGGCGGAATGCCTCCCCAAGACTAGCGGCATTGATCCCAGGGGAGGAAGAACGAAACGAAGAAGGAGAACAGCACATGCCGCCCGGAATCTGGATCAAGCCCTTGCCATTTGCAGACGATATACGTGCTAATCCGGACGTAAATCTTGTCAAAGCTCCAGATGAGGTTGTCGACGCGATGCGACTGATCGTACAGCAACTTCAGCTCCCCAAAGCAGTCTACGATCCTCTCAAGTATCCTAACCCAGCTTTGCAGTGGTTCTTCCGCATACTGCAAGCTCTGGCCCTCGATGAAGATCTACCCGAGCATCCAGAGGACAAGACTCTTCCGAGGTGGAAACAAATTCACAGGAGAGCTGGCTGGTACATTGTGGAATGGGGCGAGAAGTTAGATGCTGCGTTCAACCAGTGGCTCGCCGAGAACGCGGCGAGCATCAAACCTGCTACGAATGGAGCATCGAAGAGAGTGGGCCCTGCGTCGTCAGCATCAGTAAAGAAGGCCAAAAAAGAGGAGGATGAAGACGAGGAAGGCATCAATGACGCCGATATGAAAGCTGCCTACATGGCAGATACTTTATCGAAATACAAAGTGAATGATCTGAAAGTGTGGCTGAAAAACAAGGGCATGAGCGCTACTGGAAAGAAACAGGATCTTGTAGATGCGGTCACAAGCTACTTTGAGACTAAGATGGAAGATTGAGAACAGCTCTTGCCAAGTTGAGTCGATCTCTCCTAGACGTCTGCCCAGACGTTGTCCTTCCTGTTCGAAGGCATGAATGTGCCGAATAGGTACTTGATTCGCCGGTTGTTGCAGCGAGTGCATGGCGACCTTTCAGTTGCCTCATGATTTCATCCTCCAGCGCTGGCATCCCTTGAGGAAGGATTCCGGTGGAAAGCGCAAATCTTCGATGACAACCCGAACAGTAAATAATGTAAGCGGCGCCCAGTCTCGCAGCAAAAGGCACAGTCTACCTTACTAGGTACCTACCTAGGTAAGCAAGCACTCCCAAGGTTGGCATATGGACAAGCTATTCTTGCCAGCATTGCCCTTGAATCCGCGCAGTATGCCGTTCTAATGCGAGATGTCATTCATTCGGTAAAAGGAAAACCTGCGAGAGGATGAGATGTGAATTCATTAAGCACACACACACAGACTCTGGAGAGGGCATCTGCAGCCCATGTTCTGCTTGCTTCGCACTGATCATGCGCCATCTCTGTCCCTTTCACTCAGAATTGTAAGGGTCGTATGCGTACGCGGTGCTTTTGGATTGGAGAGCGGGCGTGGAGTTGAGATATAGGTATATACGAAATAAGTTCTTGGGAGTGATGGGGCTTGTAAGGGTGGAGGAAGGTATATAAGCTATGTCTGAAGTAATTAATTTATTTGTTGTTGGTGTCATGGTGGCACAGGTGAGCTTGTTCACCGTGCGCTGTACCTTATGAGTTGGAATTTGCGTGTGGTATCATGGATAATGTATGTCCGGTATGCTGTGTGATGTAGAGATGGAGGCCCGTTTGGAAGGTGCGTAGTGGCAATCATCCGTCGCGCCTGCCGATAACGCCGTCCTGTGCACCAGCCCTGCGCTTGTATAATACTGGTATGGGAAGGTATCATGATGCAACAAAGATGCGCCAACACCCAAACGCTCCAAGTTCCTCTAACCCTCCATAATCCCAGGTGCTGCAGCCTCAGCTGTCCTATCGCTCTTCTCGGCCTTTGCTCTCTGCTTCTCCTTCGCACTCTGTTTGATCTCCTCCCATTTCGACTGGTACTTCTTCAGAGTCTTCTCCTGCTTCATCGCAAGACTGTGGTACTTTTGCGTCTCTTCCGTCTTCTGCTCAAGTTGCTGCTCGACTTGTCGCAGACGTGCAATCAAAGCAGGATCGGGTCCTCCAGACCCTGGTCCTTGGCCCTGCACGCTCGCCATGCTCTGCGTCAAAGCGACCATCGAGGCATCTTGCGCATGTGTCTCGAACTCTGAAAGGCGTGTGGCCAGCTGTTCGACCGTGTGCTTGAGCGTGACATTTTCCAGTTCCAACTCTTCGTGCGTGTGTGACTTGCCGAATGGGTCCCGGCTTCCGCCTCGAGAAGAAAACCTACTCTGCTTGGGAGACGACTGGGCTTCGCGCGCATCCACAAATGCTTCCTCGTCGTCCTCGTCAATTCCTTCCAATTGCTGCTGCTGAGCCTTGGCAATATCAGCATATGAGTAGGTGCCGCCACCTGTCTGAACAACATAAAAGCTCTCGGCAGGTCCGAATGCATGGCCGTGGTGGCCGCGCTGGCGGTGCTCGTCCTCGATTGCCTCGAGAGCCGCGTTTGAGAAGATCTTCTTTACGTCGGGCTGGTCATTCGCCGGCACCGTCCTCTGTGTTAATCTCTGCTGTGATGCTTGCTTCGTCTCGACATCTTCCGCGTTCAGTGGCAACCCAGCATAGGCTAGTACAGATGAGAGCTTGGTCATGGTGCCAGTAGTCAGATTGCTGTAAAATCTGGCAAAGGCGTCGTCGTCTTCTGCCTTTCGCGCCATCTTTGCCTTTTGCGCCGGCTTAAGGGCCTGACTGTCCATGATCGATGGCGGTATCTTCGAGCCAGGAGTGACATTCGGAGAGTTCCTCCTATAAGACTCTGGAGACAGCTGTCGTGCGCGAGCTTGAGCCGCCGCAGAAGGCGGATTCCGCCCGGGTTGCGGAATGCCACGACGGGATGCGATGTCCCTCGCTAGAGACGGCGAGGAGTCGCGAGCAGCGCTTCCCAAGCGTCCGGCCAGAGCAGATGTCGTTGGCTTCACTTTAGGTGCGGAAGCTGTGGTCATCGGTTGAGCCGGAGCTGCCACCTTGTCGGTTGAGGCGAAGTCATGTCGAGACACGCTGACATCTTCGACTTTCACATCGGCAGGCGCGTTGAGCACTGGCTCTGGCACATCCTGCGACTTGATGATGTTTGCGAGCTTGATATGCTCATGCTCGAGCAGCTTCAGTATTCGGACGGCCTACACTGGCTGTTAACACACGGGGTACAGCCTGCGGTATGTACGTACGCGCAGGAGAGACAACTACCTACTTCTGAATCGCCTGTGCTCTTCGCGGCTCGCGCATAATTCGTAGCTGCATGATCGTGCTCCTCGGCGGCCTGCGACCAGTTGATCTGTTGTGTTTCCTCTGCCGCTTTCCGAGCATGAGCGTGTGCCTAAGCGAGGATCAGATGTGCTCTACACCGCATACATGTAGCATATGTAGTATATGTATGTATGTCGCTGGGGATGGTTACGTGCCGCTGTCAGAGCTGCGGATTCCGCCATGGTGCAGTGTGCAGTGCAAGGCGCCGATTGCAGATTTGACGAGCTCGGTACGTCGCGAATGGATGCCGTTGCGCTCACACAGCACTGGGAAGGTGGGAACCTAAGGCACTTTTCGTTTCACGTGGTTGGATATGTCATGTCTCGTATGTATGTGTGCCACGCTAGGAGGTACGAGGTAGAAACAAGGATTCACAAGGGATTCCACCACGCGAACCGATCGCGAACCCGCGAACCCTCATTTCATCCCATGCCATCCTCAAGCAAGCAATGACGCACGTGTCCCCTTGGACCTACACTGACTGCACACTCACACTCCCACCTCCAATTGCTTGAGACATACATGCATTCGACCCTCTAATTCCTCCCCAGCAACACGCCATGCCCGCCGTCTCCCGTTCGCGCCACTCTGGACTGGACGCCGATAACTCTGCGTGATCAACAGCTGCAGAAAGCCCATCCCAGTTGACCAAGTCAAGCGATCCCGGCACTAGTTCTACACAACTTGCACGGGGCCGACATGTAAAGGCGTGGCACACGTGGCGCTACTGAGACTCTCTTCTGGACCACGCACGATACTTGCTGGAGAGATGGATGCTGGATCCGGAGCCTTCTCACGCCTCCGTCCTCTGGCTCGCACGCAGAAAGGAGCTGCCAATGTGTCAAGCAGCTCGCTAGCGAGTAGCGGAGACGGAGACGACCTGGACTCCTTGGGCCTCCGTTCCTCGATAGATAACGTGATAGGCAAAGTCAAGGAGCGCACCAGCCGCAGGAGTTCTGTTGATGATCGAGGGAACAGCGAGGAGCCACCGGAACGCCGACTGACTACATTCGTAGCCAAAACAAAACGAAAGATTCGCCCAAACCGTGGCGACAATCTCGAGCGTGCTTCGAGTACGGAATCTAAACTCGCGCCCGATGTCAACCTTTCCGATTCATCGTCTCTGATGGTCAGCGGCAGTGGGGGCAGCAGTTTGTTCACAGATGACGACGAGGAGAAAGTCGATAGCTACAAGTGAGTGCACTTTTCACGATTTCATGTTCATAACACCGTTGGCACTACCTATGTCAAAAGACGGGTGTCACTGCTTGTGCGTAACATGTTCATCACCCTGTTCTACATTTCTACAGAGGAAAAAGGAGAACCTGGTTGGACAGCACCCTCGGAAAGATACCTGTATGGGGTGTAGATGCGCCCGTGCACGAACCGCCGGCATCAGCCGGCATTCGGAAACGGGCTACCTCCACTGGCAGCTCACCTTCAGTTCTACACCCTTGCCTTCTGTCAGAGCAAACCTGTGCATCGTCCACTCCACCTGTGCGCGCGGACATCGCATACCTATCGACCTGTTTGTTGTAGAGAGCTTGGTTTCCGAACATCTCAGGAGTATCTGGCCGGACCAGCTGGACATCCCTGCTTCTTCTATTGATGCTGTTGGCTTACTGTTTCTATGTTGACCGAACTCTCTTGACAGCAAACCCATCAGGCCATCTCTTTCCACACATAACTCACACTCTGGCTATTTGACCTTCTCGTCTCCCGAAATCATCACGCAAACGCCTGCCGTCAGCTCAGGATCCGACTCTTTGGTGCCGTCTCAGGCTGCGCCCAGGACCGAGCCGCTTGCAAACAGCATTCCACACATCATCGAGCCGTCTGCCGCTACCACGGCCGCTTTAGAGGCTCCTGCAGCGACCCCATTACGAAGTCCCTCACCTGCTAGCAAGGTCCGCGGGAAGCTGACCTTGAATCGCAAGAAGCTTGGTGATACAGACTCATCGAAGTCTGCAGCAGGTGGGGGTCTGGGTGGATTGCTGAAGACTGCTAGCAGGAGAAATAGCGTCAACGAGAAGCAAGGCAGCGAAGAATTGGGCTTGGATGGGCTACGAATTGCGCAATCGGCTGCCAGTGAAAGTCAAGAGACACCCGAGACACCAGAGCGGACCCCAACACACGCGGATACGCCGCTCCCAGCAACGCCCCCAACCCTCACAACCACGCCTTTGACGCTTGTGACACCACCGACACCGACTGAGCCCTCCGCTTCTGCCACCTTTCGCTCTCCGTCGCCTACGAAAGGCTCTCCTGCGTCACGTCCTCTGAGTTCTGTTGAGAGTATACGACATCGGCGAGCTCAGTCGGCGAACCTGCCAAGTAAACTTTCCACCACCACCATAGCTCCTCTCACTCCAACGCTAGAGGAGACCAAGACTCCAGGAGGAACACTGACGCACGGCGGGCAAGGCGACGGGAGCCCAGGCTTCTTTTCTTCCTTCATCTCTGCGACACAGAAAGCAGCCGGCTCAGTTGGTAGCGGCATCAACATCCTTCCCTTTCAGAAGCACAAGACAAACAGCACACCACAACTGGTAGATGCCACTGAAGGAGGCGAGGAAGTCATACCTGGCCCTGAGAGCCGACCAACGACAGATCTAGCACAAGGTCAGAGATCACCACTGGCAATAGAGACTCTGGGGAGAGGCGACCTCAATTTCGGGCACCTAGGCATCTCCGAGAGCGCGCCGGAATTGATGGCTTCGGTAGATGATGCGCCGCACCCAGCGCATGCTGATGCGCCCAGTCAGAACGACGATGGCGGTAGGAAAGCAGAAGAGGAGGCCGCGGCTAGGGCCGTATCGAGCGCATATGACAAGGCTCCAAGTGAGACTGCGACAGTGATCAATGATAGCAACAGGCCTCTGTCAATAGCGTCCAACGAGCGGCTGACGTTGGGCGAAGAGACACCTCCTCGAACCGGCACTGGCACTGACAGTGGCAATGTAAAACGAACGGGTAGCGTGAGGAGTAAAATCAGTGGCCGTCGGAAGCATCGTGGCAGCTCAGCAACGGTTGGGACCAGTAATTCGATTGCTGCAGCCTTGAAAGACAGCACGAGCGGTCTTGCGCAACCGGGCATACATGGCACGGGCCACAGACTTACTGGCTTCGCTGTTGCGAGTAGTAAGCGTAATAAAGACTTCCACAACCAATTCCGCAGCGTTCCGGAGGACGATTATCTGATCGAAGACTACTCTGCAGCTTTGCAGCGCGACATACTATTACATGGCCGCTTATATGTGTCGGAGGGTCATATATGTTTTTCAAGCAACATCCTTGGTTGGGTGACCAATCTTGTGATCAGTTTCGACGAGATCATTTCCATCGAAAAGAAAAGCACCGCGGTGATATTCCCCAACGCATTAATCATCTCAACACTACAGGCACGGAATACTTTCGCCAGCTTTGTGGCGCGTGACTCCACATATGAGCTTTTGATCGGGATCTGGAAGATCAGCCACCCCAACCTCAAGAGCTCGCTGAATGGTGTCGTACTGGATAATGCTGGGACAGGGGACAAAACAGAAGTCGCAGAGGTCCCAGAAGGTGAAAACAGCACTACTGATGGATCTGAGGACGAAGTCTACGACGAAGACGCTGACGACGATGCGGGAAGTTTCACAGACGGCGGCATAGGCGCCAGTGATGTTGGAAGCAACGCCGGTGATATGAGTCTCAGTCGTAAGACTTCAGGGGCTCCTGTTGCCGCGGCGCCACAGCCCAACGGATCAGCATCCAAAGGCTTGGACGCCAACGATGTTGCTGTCACTGGTGCTGCGGCTGGTAGTGAATACCCAGGCCTTCCGAGTCACGAGCCGACCGAATGTACTGACGGCTTGGAGCACTACGACAAATCCTTGGCTGACACCACGATCCCGGCGCCACTCGGACAGGTCTACACTCTGATGTTCGGGCCTGCTTCGGGTGCCTTTATGAGAAAGTGGCTAGTAGAAGATCAGAAGTCGCGCGAATTGAACTACGCCGATGACAAGACAGGTCTCGATAACGATCACAAGACTTTCGTGTTCGATTACATAAAGCCGTTGTACAACCCAATGGGCCCGAAACAAACCAAATGCATCACGACCATGACTCTCAAGGCATTCGATCTCGACAAGGCGGTGTCGGTGGACTGCAGCTCAGTGACCCCCGATGTTCCCAGCGGCAGTTCCTTCACTACGAAGACGAGGTATTGCTTGATGTGGGGCCCCAATAATTCCACCAGAATTGTCGCTAGTTTCACCCTAGAGTGGACGGCGAAAAGCTGGCTGAAAGGCGCAATTGAGAGCGGTGCACTCTCAGGCCAGACAGACTACGTGAAAGCCATTGTCGTGGCTCTCAAAGCTGCCGTGACCACGAAGCCACCTGTGAGAGGTCCGCCCAGGAAAGCCAAGCGCAAAGGGGGCAGGAAGGAAGCTTCCGACATGAACGATGTCGTCGCTCAACACGAACCTTCTACTGCGCCTGCTGATGCCAGTCCCTCGTGGGGATTCTTCGAACCAGTACGGCCACTGCTCGAACCTATTGCCGCTGTCCTCCGGCCGTTCCTCAACTCGCAAGTGATCATTGCAGTACTATTTGTGCTCTTGTCGTATTCCTGGCTGTTCGCAGGTCGCGGCGGGAATGGCGTAGGACTCACTAGGTACTCGCCCGCAGAACGGGTTGCAGCGTACGAAGAGATTTGGAAACGAGAGGAGAGCGCTCTGTGGGACTGGCTGGAAGACCGGGCTGGGCTTGCTGGCGGATATGACCCTCCAGTAGGACGGGTAGACACGCAAAAGGTTCTCAACGCTAAGTCTATGGGCAAGAAACTAGAAACGCAGCGCATGAGCGAGAGGCAGATGGACGCTGCAATTCGGAGCACCGAGGAGAAGTTGGCTGCGCTCAAAGATGCCGTGGAGAGGAAAAAGAGCAGTCGTAGTCAAGAGGGAAAGTAGGCGTGATCACTCCATCATGACAATCCTATGAGTATGGTTAATTGCATGTAGCAAGCGTTCTCGCTCGTCTGGTTGTAAATTACCTAGGTTAGGTAGTATGTCATAGCCCTGATCCAGCACTACCTCCTAGGTACCTTACTTCTTTCACACCTACATGTGTAAGGTAGTTTGGGGCCAGTCCAACGATGCAACCTAATTGGATTCAAGGCGACGGCTGGGGAACGCGATGAAGCGTGCGTGCCATGTGACAATGACGTCTTTGGGGGGGCGGGGGCGACCGCTCTCCGCGTTTGCTTCTAGCCCCATCTGGACAACGGAGGGACACTCAAACCTCCCGTCCAGGCACACTCCTGAGTCCTCACTTCCCTCTCCCCTCTCCCTTCTCCCCTTCCCCTTCCCCTTCCCCTTCCCAACTCTCCTTCGACATCCCATCACATCGCACCTTGCACCGATCGCCGCCACCATGTCGACAGGACCGCAGTTCATCGCTATCAAGCGCAAACGGGGCGATGAAGCGCCCGCGGCCTTGGTCGTGGAGCGACAGGGAAAGAGGAGAGTCACTCACGCGGGATTCCACTATGTGTTGAAGGGCAATGGCGAGCATATCACTCCCACGGCCACGAAAACGGAAGAGTCGGCGCTTCAGGTGCCCACCCTGTTCAGTGCCGAAGACGTCGAAAAGCGGGTGGGAGACAATGGCAGCGGACATCAGCGTGGAAAGCTGTCTCGCAATATCTCAGGCAATCGGGTCAGCCAGGGCTCTTTGCCAAAGGAGCGACGCACGTTCCATCTCAAGCGCGCTGGCACGCCTGAGCCTCGAGTAGGAAAACGCAAAGGGAAAGCAGTCAAAGAACGCGGTATCGCCACTTTTTCGGAGAAAAGAGTCAAACGTGATATCAATAGCAGGGAATCGAAAGCTATCGCCGAAGGAGCTGGCCGGAGACGGGCTGCTAGTGTTCTGTCAACACCTGAATCGCCAGCAGAGCTTCGGGACCGGCCTTTCAAACGACCTGGCAGAGGCGCGGCCATCAAGGTCAACGGTGGCGCATCTTCCTCATCTGAGCCCATACATCAGAATGCCCACGCGAACACGCAGGCACTCGCTAGCTCGCTACACCAGCTTGCTGTAGAAGAGGCGAGTAGAGCAGGTTCTGGAGGTACACCGAGCCAGACGCCGGCTAAACCAAGAGTAACGGCAATACCAAAGTTGTCCGGACAGCGTAGTCGGGCCATACACCAGGAGCGTGTGTCACAATCATCACCTCTGTCCAGCTCGCCGCAAAACGATGACACTAGCATGGAGGAAGATGGTGACTACGTGTATGATACTTACGTCCTCGCCACAACCTCTGGTGCTGCGCAGATCGATTCTCAGGATGATCTCGGCAACGTTGGTTATCTCATCATCACCGAAGAAGACCAAGCCCATTGGGAGACCTACATGGACGATGAACTGAGCGAGGAAGAACCAAGTGACGAGGACGACGAGAATGCCGAAGATTGGTATGGCGCTGACTACCCCGACGACGAGGTCGCATCAGATGACGAATTCGATCGTAATGCATATGGCTACCGTGCTGGAGGCTCAGATGATGAAGAGTACGACGAACATACATTCAGCGAAGATGAGTACGAGCGACAGATGAACCCCTGGCTGAAGAAACCGCCGCAGCAGTATGCCAAGTATTTTAATGGCGCAGGCGATCAGCATGAGAAGGAAGATGAAAATGAAGATGAGAGCAGTTGAGAGAACAGCTTGTGGAGTCTTGTTGGGACAGGAGCCAACTGCAACGAGGCGCCCAAGTAGAAGTAGCAGCAAGCATCGGCCTACTGGCAAGAATCGGTCCAATTGGTTGTCGCCAAGCAGTCATACTCCTGGTTCAGCGGCAGTTGACTTTCGGCAATTAGGTTCTGTTGGAGCGGTCAGGCCGCTCTGCACAGCATACCAGGATCGTGCTGTGATGATGATCGCGGCGCTTTGCAAGTGCGTGTAGATCGCGAAGTCTCACTTGCAAAGCGCCGCACCTGAAGCATCGAGCACATGGTGAGTGGCCCTCCACGAAGGATACCACTCGCTAGAGAGAAAAGATGAACGACATTCCACACTCCTCCTATCCATGCAGTGGTATTTACTGTTGTTGTTGTGGTCGTGACAGTCATCAATAGGGTATACCATACATCTCTCAACGCCTCACGGTCATTGTGGCTCGCTAATATTCGTTTCGATTTATCGTCCCATCGTTCCTGGTCCTCCTCCACTCTACTTCACCACCAATACAAAGCACCTCATCCACATTCAACCTTCACGACCGACAAAGCTCCGGGTCGTGTGGCAAAACTACCCGGCGTTCTCCCATACAAATTCACCAACATAGAACCCATTTCAAGGGCCCTTCGAATTGCCCACCAGGTGTACAGGTCCAACGCACCCGCTGGACCCTGCCTGGACCCCTCCCCCCTCTCCTCCTCCTTGACACTAACCACAACCTCAAGCTAACCATAAACCACGCTCCCACCACTCTCATTAGCGAGGCGTAGAAACTTTGAAATTATCCGGACTTTGGAACCGCCTGGTCATGGGGCGTTCTGATACATGCTGCGGTGGAAAAAGATAGACGGGACCCAGGTGACCCGACGCTTGATCGTGCGCGACGGTGTTGCGACACACGTAACTCTGGCTTCATCGACATGGACTCGGCCCAGATTCCGTGGCCAGGTCAGATCAAGTCCGGGTCCAGGTAAAAGCAAAACAGGGGGCGGACGGTCACTGACACCACTTTGTTGACGAGCGACGAAGCGCTGGTTGTTGCTAGGCCTCGTCATTCCAGTCGTTTGAAACGGGGACAGATGCTATCCGTTGTCGCATCTCAAATGTGTTGTAGGTAGCCTCTCTGGTGGGGGTCTTTTTGCTTTTGTTCAGTGAATGGACGGCAGATATCCAATCTGCGAGAGATATTCCCGAGAGAAGTTTGTGGCTCTCTGCTCGACCTCCCTGCAATCCGCTGCGTACGATCCGGGTCCACTCTTGAGCACTTCCATGAGGCCCCACTCTCTTCGTACGCGGTAGTAGACAGAAGTTAGGCCACCCTTTGTCCTCGTGCCGAAGAGCTTTTCGAATCGGTCTTCAATCTCGGGCCAGGTGTTGTCCCGAATGATGCGAGCGTACATGATGAAGAACTTTTGCTCCTCGCTGTAGGACGGCCGTGGTGCTCGTGGTCTCCGGTCGGTCATGCTACTGTCTGACCAGCTTCCGGCCTGGGACCTCTGCTCTCTGCTGACAGAAGACGGCTTGTCTTTACCATAGGCGTGGAAGGGGTCTCGATGGAGAATCGGGGAGTGTGCGTTGGATCCAGTGAGGAATAGTGGTGGTGGTGGTGAGCCGAATGAAGTGGTTGGTGAACTCGCATGGCTTCTGGATGATGTTGTGGTGGTGGTGGTGGTGGAGGTGGTGGTCGTTGTTGTGGGTTGTGGTGGATAATCGTAGTGGTGATGATGATGCTGATATCCTCCGCCACTACTGCCACCGCCACTACTACTGGGAGGTCCTGCTGTGCGAGGTAAAGGTTCAGGCTCGATCTCGTTGAGAATGACACTCAGGGGAATCTTTCCCGATGAACGGTCATGCGCTCGTCTTGTAGTCGTGTCTGCCATGTCTGTCATGTGGGCTGCCTTGTCTCTCTGCTGCTGCCCTTTTTCTCTTTTCGTTACTTGATTAGACAAGTCGGGCGGTTGGCGGTAAATCTTCGTTCCAGTTGACTACTTGTGTCGGGGTTCCAGTTTGACACCACAAAATTGGAGCGCAAAAAAAAGAAGGGAAAGGAAAGTGATCAACTGCGGTGTTTGACTTGTGTGGTACGACCCAAGGCGACTGGATGGATGGGCGTCTGCACACATACACAATGACAGCTCAGCAGTACCCCAGTACTACGGAGGTTCTTCCAGCTCCACACGAATCGGGATCGTGAATCGAGGGTATTTCGGAGCTCTGGCCGAGTCTTAGTGGAACCTGATGAGATTATGATTAGGCGCCACTAAAATTTTAAATAAAGGGCAAACCGTCAGGTTAGCCTCACCATGTTGATGATGTTGTAACCTCCCCCCCCCCCCCCTTCCCTCCCCCCCCCCGTTCCACTCTCAATGCGATGTGTGAACGAGGCAAAACGCTGTTCGGAATCGGAGCCAGGCTATGTGGTCTGTCTGTTTACTGTAGAAGCTAGACTAGGCTAGACTAGGTATGTACCTAGGTAGGTTTTTTCCTTAGTGGTGGTGGTGGTGGCGGATTTTTCTCCTCGCCCACGATGGTGGAATTGCATATCTGAACCGAAACGAACCCACGCACGCTGCACGCATATGCAAGCCTAGGTAGGTATAAAGTTTCCTTTTGTGCGTGTGTGAGCACATTATACATATATACGCATACATAAAAAGGATGATGACAGTCGTGGAGACTTGCCGGGTCAGCCGTAGGTTCGGCCGGAGGTCTGTCTTGACCCTGAAGACCTGCCGATGTTGTTGTTGTTGTTGTTGTTGGCTGTTGCTGTTGCTGTTGTTGTTGCTGGTGTTGTTGCTGGTGTTGTTGTTGTTGTTGTTGCAGCCAGAGTTAAGCTGCCTGTGCCTGTGCCTGTGCCTGTGCCTGTGACAGTGAGACTGCCCGACTACAAGCAGGATTAATAATAATCGTAATCATCAAGAAAGTAGAGGCGTAAAAAACACGACCTAATTCTCAAAGGGGGGGGGATGTTTATTTTTTGGTTTTTGTCTCTTGCGACATGTGGAAATCTAGAACCAGTGAATTGACACACAACCCACATGGCCCTCTCACACAGTGAAAGTAAGAGTACCCACGCCTTAGCCGGCGTGGAGGTGGCGCTAAGAAGCACAGCGGCGTTTTCCCCCTACCTCCTAGTATCGAAAAGGATACTTGGTATCAACCGTATCGTACATTGATCCGAAAAGCCGGTTGACTTAAGTCGGGACCGTCGGGCGGGCTCTTGTTTTAAAACATTAAGAGAGACTGTGCGAGAAAAAAAAAGTCGTGCCGTCCCGGGGCATGTGGCGCTAGAAGGGTCGGTTCCTCTTTTTGGTGTGTGTTGTGTTGGTGATGACTGGGGTTTGATCGGTCTTCTGGGCTCTGCTCTGCTTACATGCATTTGTTTTTTTTTGTGCTAGGGATTGATTCACGGGTACTGTGGGTAGTCTTTCTTTGGACAATCCAACCCAGTACCGTACCATTTTTTCCCTCTAATTGACCGCTTTTCACAGGCTCGATTGCTGGCGCCCCGTATATTCCTCAGATCCCTTTCCTTATACAGTCTGTGCACAAACTCTACGGTTTGGAGGGGCCAAGAAACCCACCCTCCCAGGGCTCTCCCACCCCTCGAGCTCCAAAAAGAAAGTATATCTCAACGTCGCCTGCATGCAGGTTCTTACAGGGTCTACATAGACGTGCAAAACGTCGGGGGGATGCTGACCTGGTTCGTACCCGAAGCCCCTTTTGGGGGCCGAAGAATCGATGTGCCGTAGCGCCATTTGTGATGAGAGAGAGGGAGAGAGATAGAGAGAGATAGAGAGAGAGACCACAAACGGCGAAGTGAAGCCCAATGCTAGGCGTGCACAGACCGGATGAGGGAATAAATGTATAGGTACCTAACAACCCTCTCGGGGTGCTCTATCCTAGCCATGTTGATGAGTCCATGACAGCAGCGAGGGCGCCCGGTTCCAAAAGATGCTACAGCCTACAGGCTCTACCTCTTACTACTGCAACCTCTCAACAATCAGACACACCTGCAGTCAGCTGGTTGTTGCCACGCAGGCCCATCCCGCCACTGAAACTCTGGAAAAGCACTGATACCATATGTACAAGCTACACATTTGTTATGTCCAGGCACAAAGCAAGAATTCAGTTCCTGCCTGACCTGTACCTGGTACCTAGGTAGGTGTTTCGTCGCGCTCCCAAAAAAAAGGGCGATGGTTCACTGTGGCCACGATTGCAAGGAAAACCAGACCAAAACTTCGGAGCAATGTCCGAAATGACGCAGTTTATGTCACCTGAACCAGTTAAACCTCCTGCACTTCTCTCCCGTCCGGCGAAAGGTTGCAGACAGACAGATTTCGCAATTTCTTCCACCTCCCTCGGCATCTTCACGGTAGCCTCCCGTTTCGCACTAGCAACTCCCCCGACGGCAGCGCAATACATGTAGTGTATAGTTAGCTTGGTGGTAAATAAACGATACAGCTATACACAACTACCTAGGCTCTTTTTTGCGTTTTTCCTTGTCCCAGTTCCAGTCATTCACTTCCAAGGCCCCCCGCAGGCAGCGCAGCATGGGCTTGACTATTGACCTCCCCGTTACACTACCTGATCCCCAACGTTGCCAAAGCGCGCGCGCGTGGCGTAACAGACAGCATTGACGATAGCGAAATCCTGTCACCTGTAAGGCCTGGTCGTATATACTTTGACAAATACATGTGCAGTCCTGGAGCGATCTCCGGGGGGAGAACTCTCTCTCTCACACAACCCAGACACTCTCTCAGCAAGTTTGCAGTAGTAGCCGCGAGCGACTGATTCACATGTCAGAAAGAGAAAGTATAAGAGGTAGAGAGAGAGAGAGGGTCAAGAAAAGTACGCCACAGCGTGTAGCCTGCACGTGGTGTTTTGTTAGCACCGGAGGAAAAGCTCCCCATTCGGTCATCACTTGCGCGGCTTTGCCTCATATGCGGTGTGCTCTCTGACACAGGGCCCGTTCTGGAAGTTCGAGGGAGTGGGGGGGAGAGGGACTCGGGAAGTGAGAAGTGAAGAAAGCTGATGATGATGACTACCTCAGGTACCCACATACCTGTACTAATTGTTGGGAGCCACCCCGGTATCGGCTCCGCACAACATGAAGAGAAGAAGCGGAGCGGAAGGATGCTGGTGCTGGTGCTGGTGCTGGTGCTGGTGCTGGTGCTGGTGCTGGTGTGAAGAAGACCTACTACACCCGACCGACATGACAGACAGTTTCGGAGATCGGCCCCAGCCACCGCTAACTTAGGTTCTGCTGCTACAGCCTACATATAGGTACCTTCTACGCTTTTACCTCCTTTATCCAATTGATGGATACCTGACTAAGGTCGTTGATGATCGATGTCACTGGACAGGTCAGCCCCCAACTTCATGTGGGTACCTGTATGTGGGTAGACTGGAGAAGAGGCATCTCCACCATGCAAGAGACTATACGGCTCTTGCTGCAGAACGCTATCCTTGGTACGGTGCGAATGAAGCGAGAGGACCTGACATGGGTCTCCTACTGGACCTGGCGAATGGCCATGTCATTTTTGTTTTCGGCTTTCTGTTTTCATAATTTTGATGTGTTTTTTTTTTATGAAAACCACACGCTGCATCATGCATGTGAATGATGTGATGAACAGTGGTCGATCACCGGCTTTCCCTCCCCCCCAATCACAGGCGATGTCATTGTCATTCAAGAAAGATTCTGCCCGGGCACCTGGTTTTTCTGGAAGGCTTGTGGGCCTGCCGAAATGCTTGCTGCACGCACGGCTTGCCGTCGCAAGCACACTTAGGGCTTCGATTTCGAGTCCGGTAATCGGCATGCAGGCCATCCACCATGTCCATACCTGTCGTTTTTTACTTTTCTCTGCCTGGCTAATCTGCGGACTAACCTACTGTGTGCTGTGTGGAGTGTGGACGAGGGTTGTCTCTTTTTGTTTTGGTTGTGGGGCACCATCATCACCATCATCACCATCATCATCACCATCATCATCCTACATTCTTCGCACACACCTCGTTGAGCTCCTTGCACCTTTTCCAAGGTATCCTGGGACGTTTTCCAGGTGCAGCAGCAGCAGCGCCAGCAGCATCAGCAAATCAACGCCTTCGGGGCGAACGGAAGCAGTCTTCACGTTCCGAAGAAGTGCGAAGAAACGGTTTCGTTTTGGGGGGGTGGGCAAGGAGTGGTGAGCTGCTGCTGCTGCCGCTGCTGCTGCGGCATTGGGGGTACACCATGAGGATAATGTCTGACCATCGGATTGTAAGCGAGTGATCGGAGTTGAAGCCCTACTCCGAAAAAAAACATCTCAAGCCCCCCCATTCCTCCCAGGCAGAACGTCGAAGGGGGCTCGACACGGGGCGTGCGGTACAGGTACCTTTCGTTGTATGTTCTAGATTCCTCGTCGGAGGATGCTCCACCGCCGAAGAAGCCTGATGAAGATCTTCTGTGTTCGAATTGGGAATAGTGAGAATGGTGCAGACCGTTTTTTATTGCAGCCTCCAGAAAAGAATCGTTATGATTTATTGTACAACCAAAAAAGTGTCTTGCTATAATTCACAGGTACATACCCACGGTACAGGTACCTACGGTACCTTATCTACCTCTTTGGGGAACTACATGACCTGTGTCGATGGCAAGGTGGCGTCACTTGACAACGTGCGCACTGCCTACTCTACCTAACTTAGTCTCTACCTAGCCACAAATGTTAATATCCACTTCGGTCCCAAGAGGAAGAACGTGGCACACTTGACAAAGTGGCACACTGGCAAAGTAGCACACTGGCAAAGTGGCACATTGGCAACGTGGCACACTGGCAACGTGGTACACTGACAAAGAGGGCGACATAGGAGGAGGAGGTACTGCAGCAGATACCACCAGGAAGGGAGGAATATGTGCGGAACAACAAAATGCACGGAGTTAAGGCGTTCACATATGGTGATACTGACTAGATGTAGGACACTTTGGTGCCCATGCCTACGGTCTGCTTCACCTTTGTCCAACTGTCTTCGAGGCCCCGTTTTAGCTTCATTCGCAGATCTCTTCGGGCGATAATCAGGAGGACAGCGGTCAAGAACATTAGTAAACGGAAGAGGGCCATGTTGTTGCCGGTCATACCACGACTAGCGTCGAGTAACATCTGCTGAAGATTGGAGAAGACGGAAGTTGCACGAGCATACAAACTGGGAGGCGGAGCGCGAGCCTTCTTTTGAGGCTTGCTTGGTGGCTTCGATGTGGACTGCGCTGAAGGTCGCTGGCTGCTTGCTGTAGCATGTCCAGCCTTGTGCCCATTCGTCGGTCTCGCCGAGGACGATGCTGATGGCGCGTTTGCGCCACGCGCCCTTTCGAGCTCTGCAGCTTTCTTGCGCTCCTCGTCCTGGCGTTCTTGTTCTTTGCGCTGGGCTTCTTCAGCTGCGCGTTGCTCCTCCAGCTCGCGCTCCCGCAGCTCTTCCAGCTCTCGCTCTCGTTGTGCCGTGCCGTCTTTCTCTTCCTTGAACGACGCCAGCGCGTGGAGGAATGCTTCTCGGCGCTCCTCGTCCAGCATATCGTTCATCTCTATGAATTGCTGCGCGTAGTCCCACTCATCATTTGCAGGGAGCGCGTGCAATGTATACAACTCGAGAATCTTCAACCGCGTGGTCAATTCCTTGGGCGAAGATGTGCCATTCGACATGGGCGTCGCGATTCCTTCGTTCAGATATGCTAATTGCGCCGCGTCGGCTGAGGCGGAGAGATATGCCTCGAGTCGTTGCTGGTTCAGTCTCTGATGCTGCATATGCCCAAGAAGTAGCGTGGCCAAGTTCACGACTACATCTGGATCTACGTCTCCTTCATTCCCGCCGTAGCCCAGTCGGACGATCTCATCCCACACCGAGCCCTCCCTTGCTTTGGCAGCCAGTTGCCTCCACTTGGCAGATCCAAACAAATTTTTTCCCTGTTCGGCGCCCAGGTCGATGATGGCGTGAAGTAAGCTCAGATAGAAGACCCAGACCTTCGTCCGGGTACCCTTGGAGCTTTGTGCAACGGGCGCAGCTCCGCCAGTATATTCTCCGCCTTCTGTGGTCGCATCGTCATGGGCAGGAACATCGCTCGACTGTGGTGCAGTGATGATGGGCTCCAGCGTCTCGAGAGCTTCCTTGAAGCGCTTCGTGAGGTACAGCTGGGTCGCCTGCTTGTACGTTCGGACAATCAGCGAGTTGGTGGAGCGCGACCGGGACAGACTCGACATGGAGCTCGAGAGATATTGTGAATCTAAGGCATCCTGATATGTGATGGTCCCCGTGGATGCCATGACGGCTGGTACGGTAGACAGGGGCGGAGTGAACGATGGCGCATGTGAGAGTAGGAGGTAGTGCGAGTGAGGATGGACAGCAGTGCACTCTAGTAGTCTACCTAGTTCTAGTGGAGAGCCTCGGACTGGCCTGGCATCGCGTGGCATCGCAGTCACGTTGTTTCGCGCGTCGGCCGCGTTCTAATGTACATAGCTGTTCCCAGCACCACCAACGTCGCCGGCGCCATCGTCGTTTGACGGTGGATGAACAACTCATCCTCTGCCAGCATCACGACCGCCATCACCCCTTTTCCCGACGGCGAGCTCAGAGGCTGCATACAGTACTCTCCCCTATATTCACTGCCCATCACTTCACATGTGGCTCCCCTAACGAGTCTGGCGCTTCTACACGTCGAGCGCGTACTCACTTCGGACTCGCACCAATTGCGCGTCGTGGGCAAGTTTGCTGCTTCCATCTTTCTCTGCTTCACTTGAACGCGCATCGCGACTTGTTTACCGGACAACAGCACCTGCCGCTCAGAGTCACACCGGCTTTACCCGTCTTGTTTCCCGCTTCTTGCTAAAGCTGCTTCATCCTCTTCTTCCACTTGCTACATGGACAAGATGCACTGCAACTGACATTGGACATTACTACATACACCCCAAGCTTAACCGCCAAGATGGACATTGACAAAGTGTCCTTCTACCCTCAGTTGCTGAATATCCTCACCGATATCAGCAAGTCACATTTCGTTGCCATCGACCTCGAGTTGTCTGGCGTGCCGACAAAGGCTTCTTGGGGTGAGGGCAAGCCAACGCTACAGCAGCGATATGCAGAAATCAAGGACGCCGCAGAGCGCTACCAAATCCTGCAAATCGGCTTGACGTGCGTCGAACAAGACACTCGTGACAACAAGTATGTTCTGCGACCGTACAATTTCGACCTCTCGCCGATCATCAACGAGAGAGGCCTTGATGTGGAACGCATCTTCTCCTTTCAGTCCGGGGCAGCCGAGTTTCTGCTATCCGTTGGCTTCAACATGAACAGACCATTCACCGACGGCGTGCCATACTTGTCGCGCGCAGAAGCCAAGAGCGCCCGCGAGAAGTATGCCAAACGACAGGACAAGAGTGCCGTGGCCGACATCCAGATCAAGCCAACAGAATTCGAAGCACTGGCTTTCCTTGACCGAGTGCGCAGCGAGATCAACACTTGGCGTGCGTCGAAAAGGCTGGATGCACCAGAGTATCTCGTGATTTCGCAAACGAGCAACCATTCTACGCAGGAGAGTGACTTCGCAGAGGAACTTTCTCGCTTCGAGAAGAGATTGGTACATCAACTCGTACGAGCAGAGTATCCGGAACTCGTGACTATAAGCAAGCGCGGTGCCATCCAGATCGTGCGCTATAACAAAGAGCGCGAGAACAGACTGGCCGCCGAGCGCGAACGTCGCATGGAGGAGCAAATCAACCGACAAAAGGGTTTTCGCTGGATCATAGAGGCATTGCACGGTGGCAATGTCTCGCAGATCGATCTGAGAGAGTGTGCGAAAGATCCCGTGACAGGCGAGCCGATCTACGCAGACCTGGACGACTACAAGAGACAGTTCAACTACACCCAGGCAATCATGCGCGGCAATCCCAGAATCCTGGTAGGACACAACTGTTTCCTCGACCTGGTCTACATCTATCGCACCTTTATAGGTGCCCTCCCTGACACGGTGGAGGAGTTCCAGCAGAAGCTGCACAAGCTTTTCCCGGTAATCGTTGATACCAAGTACATGAGCACCCATAATTGTGGTGATATCAGCCCAGCATCTTCGCTTGAACAGATCGCGGAGCAGTTGAGTGACCTTGAGACTCCCCCGTTGGAGACAGACCCAGATCACGACAAGTATGAGAACACAGAAGCGTTTCACGAGGCAGGTTACGATGCCTACCTCACAGCTCAGGTGGCAGTGAGGCTGTCTGCGAAACTGGAACGTGAAGGCGCATACATCGAAGTCCACAACGATGTCACAGACTCCACCAATGGACAAAGCAATGGACTCAACGCCCAAGCACAAGGCTTCACTCCCTCAATTCCTGGGGCGAAATGGAAGCGATGTGGCGACGATACCCTCGGTCCTGTGTCGAAGGATAACCTATTCTACCAGGATCCCAGCAAACTCCAGTTTGGCAAGTCGACTCGCCCGCTCCAGGAGCATGTCACCATCCCGAATGGCATGCCCAAGTTTGGAAGTGATTTCTGGCGCGTTTATGGGAACAAGCTGCGTGTCTTCGGTACACAGGAGGGTGTGTGTCTCATGGACAGCAGTGATGCGAAGTCTACATTGGACAGCTCCGACGATGCTGGAGGTGTCGACCTCTAGGAATCGCCGGCACTGGAGCCTCCATCTGTGCTTCGATCACTATCAATACAGCCGTGGCTGACTGGCAGAGTCTGGAGCGGTAGTAAAGACAGTTGGTAAGCAATTTCATCTATGCAATGGACATTGTCGTCCCTGCTTGAGCACCGCTAACCTTTTACAAAGGAGAAGAATTCACAGCGATGAGGCCGAGGCAGAAGGAGTGCTGTTCTTGCGACGAGCGTTCAGGCACCATTTGAGTGCGAGTGTTGAAAGAGCTAGCAGGGCTCATTCGTAGGTGTGAGCTATCCTAAAGCATGTTCACCTCACTCCATAGCCTAGGTACCTACCCGTACCAAGCTGGCTATAGCCATACTGGCGTAGCGGCGCCAACCACCTTGCCATCTTTCGCCTTTCCCAAATTGACCTTGGACACTTCCTGTATCACTTTCCCATCAAAGGAGAGGATAGAAACCCAGCCCTCCTCGCTATCACACAGCGCAAGGTATTCCTTGTCGCCGTGTTCTACCTTCCAAGGCGCGGGCTCGATGGCATTCGCAATGCCACCACTCGTTGGCGTTTCCCAGATATCAACGGCCTCTTCACTCTCGAGCGTTCCATCCTCGGCGAGCTTATAAGCCGCCACGTAGCCCTTGGTACCCTTTTCCAATCCACGGTTCGATGCGTACAGGTAACGCGGCTTCGCAGCATCCGGTCCCGTGGAGTATCGAACTTCATCAGCCCAGTAATTCTTGCAATCCTTCCCAGCCGGGAGGATGGAGCATCCTTGAATATGCTTCAACGTGACTCCGTCATCGGCAATGGAGAAGACATCCACCATGCTACTGTGTTCCTGCAACGAATACAGAATCTTGCCACTCGGATGCGGCCACGTATGTCTCGGACCATCGTGACTGCGCGGCGCAATATGTTTAGTCCCAAACTCCAAAGGAGGATCATCCACGCCTTCAGTCTCGTGCGTGATTTTGTACGTCCAAATACAATTCCTACCAATATCCGCCACAAAGAGCGATTTCCCATCCGGAGAAATGTCTACGCTGTGCGCTCCATGTCGTAATCCCCCAAAATCTCCATGTGCCACTTCTCCTCGTGCGGCGGATTGATTCGCTCCTTGATCTGTCACGAAATCCAGTTCTTGCACGAGATTTCCCAGAGAGCCGCTATCGGATTTATTTTTGCGAAAGACTTCACCGGAAGGGCCGGAGACGGAAAATACGTGGGTGGAATTGTTGCAGACGTAACCAGAAGTGGATTTGACGGTTTTGGTGTTGAGATGGCGGATTTCGTGGCCTCCTGATAGGATTTGGTAGCTGGCGATGGAGGGTTGCGCGGTCCAGGCTGTGCAGTATAAATTGGTTTTGTCCTGCGAGAGGGAGAGCCAGGAGTGGCCGCCGATTGCGGGGTGTTCTTTGGTGAGGTGGAGGGTGGAAGTGGAGGGATCGAAGGTGAAGAGGTAGAGGCTGGGTTGATTGAAGGAGCCGACGAGGAAGTCCATTGTTTTTTCTTCTTTTCGATTTTTCTTTTCTCTTTCTCTTTTTTTCCTTTTGAGGGAAGGGTGGGAGGTGGTGGTGGTGGTGGTGGTTTGGAAAGGTTTTCAAGTTGTACTTTCTTTTTTCTTTCTATACGGTAAGAATAGGATGGTTCGTGGTGAGAGATGGAGTAGGGTTCTTCCTTTGCTTTATATAAGGTATGTATACAAGCAAAATACGAGTTCGTCGGAAGAAGAACAGGGTGTCATCATTGCTATTTGATCCGAAGGTGGAGCAAGTACGTGGTAATGCCAGGACTCGGTCCGAAACCTAGAATACAGGATGAAAAGAAATTCCCGAGATTATTTGGCACACGGAACGACCTCCTAGCCTTCCGAAGCGTAGGAGGAATGGACCAACATCAGTCTTGATAAGAAAAAATGCCTTCGATGCTACTGATTCATTCTCAACTCAGGAGGGCTTTGGCCCATGACAACACAGAGCTAGATGGCACAGTGACACGACTCTTTTTTTCAAGTGTGGAAAAATCCAGTACTTGCAGCCGAAAAAATATAGCGAAGTGGATCGAAATAAGGTGATTGGACAAAGTGAAGTATGCCAATGATCGATCCTACATATCTATACAAATGCTCGCTCGCTTGCACACCCCTAACCGCTATGCAACTCCGTAATGAGAGCTTCATCTGCTCGCAGCGGAGGGTAGACTTGCTATGTGCACCACATTGCGTGGTAGTACGTGCAGGACCCGTGGTCAGCGGCATGCCCTGTAAGCAGCATGGGTAGCTGCTCACGAAGGCTCTATGGCGATTCTATCGCCTTCTCATCTTCTACTTTTCTTGCTTCGCTCACTGTTTCAAGGTCTCCCAGCAGCGCCACCTCCGACGGCAGGCGGTGCGCCCAATCCAGTCTCGCCTTCCGGCGCAGGAGAATGTATTGGTCCAAGTCCCATATCAGGCGTGGTCCCTTTGCTGTCTGGCACTTTGATTGGTGCGTTGAAAGGCACCTTGATCTTCCCTGTGAGCTTCTCGCCGCGCACTACCTTTTCAATTTCCTCCTTGTCCAGTGTCTCGTACTCAACCAATGCTTTCGCCAATCGCTCCAGTCCGTCTCGGTTCTCAGTCAATAGTTTGAGCGCACGCTGACGCCCCTCTTCGACTAATCTCCGAACCTCGCTCTCGACACGTTGTCTCGTCTCGCTGGAGAGCTGCTCGTAGTCCTCCGCCAGATCCACATTCCCGACAAGATCACTCATGCCCGCTCTCATCACCATGTGCTTGGCCACGTTGGTGGCACCGCTTATGTCGCTCGAAGCACCAGTTGTGACATTCTCAGGACCATATATGAGTTCTTCTGCAACTTTGCCGCCCATGGCCACATCAATGCGGGCGAGCAGATCCTTCTTCGACTCGCTCACCTTGTCCAACTCCGGCAGCATGTAAGTTATTCCTAGAGCATTACCTCGAGGCATGATCGTAGCTTTGTATAGAGGCGTGGCGGAATGAGTAAGCATGCAGACTAGAGCATGACCACCTTCGTGGTAGGCAGTCATCAGCTTATCCTTGTCCTGGATCACGGCAGAACGACGTTCGGCTCCCATGAGAATCTTGTCTTTTGCCCAGACCAGATCCGCAATGTCCACTTTGGTTTTCTTGAGCTTGGAGGCACGGACAGCCGCTTGATTGACCACATTCTCGAGCTCAGCGCCAGAGAAACCAGGACAGCCTCGCGCAACTTCAGCAGGATCTACGGATGCATCGAACTTGATGTTCTTCATGTGGTGCTTGAGAATGGCAATGCGGCCACGCACATCTGGCAGTGGTACAACAACGTTACGGTCGAAGCGTCCAGGACGAGTCAGAGCTTTATCAAGAGATTGGGGGAAGTTGGTCGCGCCAATAATGATAACACCGGACGACTGATCGAACCCATCGAGCTCAGTAAGAAGCTGATTAAGGGTTTGCTTGGCGTAGGCGGCATCACGCTCATTGCGCTTGCCACCTATTGCGTCCAGCTCGTCGATAAAGATGATGGCCGGGCTCTTCGCGCGTGCTGCAGTGAAGAGGTCGCGAACGCGCTTCGCACCCACTCCCACAAATACTTCATCGAACTCGGACCCAGACATGTAAAAGAACGGAACCTGAGCCTCTCCCGCCACTGCTCGAGCAAGGAGAGTCTTTCCAGTGCCAGGAGGTCCCACGAGCAGGACACCCTTGGGAAGCTTGCCGCCCAGTGTACCGAACGATTCAGGATCCTTGAGAAATTCCACCAGTTCTTGTAGCTCTTCTTTTGCCTCCTCACACCCGTGGACATCTTCAAACCGGGTCTTCTGCAATTCTGGCTTGGCTTCGGTATCTCTGCCTCCAGCGACTTTCTTGAGCATGCCAGAGCCTTCCACAATGAGAGTGATGGCCACCAAAATGCAGTAGGCGCCCAGGCCCCACGAGAGGATGAATTTGATCCATCTGAAGATATGACTCCATGCACTCTCATCTACCACGACGTAGAGCGGGTCTGCTTTGGCGCCGGAGCCTCGCCCGGAGATGGACACATTGCCTCCCCTAAGTTTTGCGGCAACCGCCTGTCCAACGGCCTGCATGTTCGCACCGCTATTTTGACCATTTTGTGCTTGACCAGCCATGACCCCTCCAGTGCTGCCCTGACCAACAGATGCTGCTCCGAGTGCTTGGAGTGCCTTGTTGTACATGGTCTCGGTTGCCGCATTCGCCGCATACCGCCCGCTGTTATATCTCTCGACCAGAATTTCTGGCATGTTCGCGCGTAGCAGTGCCTGGTAGAAAGCGTTCTGTGAAGCGGCCGACTGGGGTTGATTGTTCGCCATTTGCTCCATATGCGCCAGATGGTTCGTGTTTGTCTGTGAGCCCCAACTGGTGCCAAAGAGCGTCCGTTGCTGGCTAAAGCCAACGAGATTAGGAGTGGCAGGACCGCGGCGGGTCGCGAAGCCAGACAGTGCTGTCGCAGCCTGCGATCGATGTGCGTGGAAAGGCGATGAGGTCGCTTGTGCTGCCTGCCTGGAAGACAGGTACCTCCGTCCCAGCATCGCAACCGCGGCGGGCCTCTCAGCGTGCCCAAAGGGCGCCTTGAGCGCGTTCGCTAGCAAAGACATCTTCCCAGCAGAAAGGGCCGTGTGTTGCAACGGAAACGCCATGTCGCGATATAAGGCGGGTGGCCGCCTCGTCCAAGTGGAGAGACCAAGCAGTTGCGGGGCGGGTAGTGAAGTGGGTAGAGATGCGTGGGAGGATAGGAAACGGGCGAGACGAGGCACCGAACGAGGTGCGAAAGGCACGCGAAGTAGCGATGAAGTGATGAAGAGTGGCGAGGCGAACCAACAGAGAGGCAGTGGCAGAGGCAGAGGCAGAGAGCGCGGTGGACGGGAAGTGGACGTGGAAGAGGAAGAGTGGGAACAGGCTTCGGGCGCTAGAACAGAATGAGAGCTAGCGTGGGTCGTGGCGGAATCGACTCGTCGTGTTTCTCTTCCATGGATTTCATGTCCTGCTTGACGGGTTATTCATTAATGCAGGTGCGGATTGACTGAATATTCATTAAGAGCAGATGTGGTGTGACTCAATACCTACCTACCTACTATCCATGGAGTGTAGATGTGGTTAACTGATTATTCATTCAGGGCTTATTTGATCCCAGTCCTCACGCCCAGGCACTCGTGTTGCGCTGCCTAGGCACCTACAGTAGGTGCCTATGTATTCCAGGAGCCTTCATATATCTCGCACCTGCTACCTAACTCTCTTCCCTGACAATGTTGTAGGTACATGTAGTCACCCACTGACCATCTCAAGACAACTTGCAAACAGTGCCGGCTCTTGCCGTTCGTGTACAACGTGGCTGGGGCCTGTGTGTCGACCGAATAGACTTTGCGGCAACTCCCACCTTTCTTCCGCACTGCGCACATCCTTAGGTACCTAGGAAAGCGCGTCAACTTCACTTCCACGCCCTCTTCCCTGCGCTGTACAGAACTGCAGAACCTCCTCTTCCCTCTCTGTCTCTCTGCCGACCACCACGACTTCAGCTTCTTTCTTCCCATTCATGCGCGAGCCCGAGTTCTGTGATCTTTTCAATCGCCGTCTGTTTCATTCAGAGCATCTTGCCTCCGCGCATTCTTCAGAAGGTACGACGATATTCACCACAAACTCCCATCGGCTTCTCCGCATTCACCATCCTGCGCGCGACGACGACCACCACACCACCAGAATGGTACCACGACTGCCGACATCGCCTATCTGAAACTGACCTCCACGTGTTACACGCAGAATACACGACACGCCTCGACTTTTCGCAAACACTTTCTCATCGGATAGGTCGCGCCTTTCTTGAGCTGTAGCGCACGAGCGCGCATTCTGCTTAGCTGAGCATCGAGACGCCCATCGAGATGTCTTTTGGGGGGTTTGGCAACGCCGGGTCCACCTTCGGCAGCGGAGGTGGCTTCGGAAGCACAACCACTGGCGGTGGCTTTGGGTCGACTGGGACGACAACATCGGGCGGCGGTCTTTTTGGCTCAGGGAACAACACAGCTACTGCCGGGGGTTTTGGCAGTGGCGGAGGTGGGTTTGCAACTAATACATCGCCTGCCTCGACATTGGGTGCTAAGCCAACGACTACAGGCTTCGGCAGTACACCCAACAACGCTGGCGGCAGCCTCTTCGGCGGCGGAGCGAGCACGACTGGCGGCTTCGGAAGCACCGCTGGTGGTTTCGGAGCCGGGAACACTACAAGCAGCGGGTTCGGTGCGAACAACGCGTCTGCTGGAGGTAAGCACCTTTCCGTCCAACGCGGCTCACATGGACGCGCCACTACTGGGCGAGGTCTACAACGAAAATTGCGGCATGCTGCCTTCGGGCGATGATAGAGCGACGTTGATTAATCATGGCGCAGGTCTTTTCGGCAGTAAGCCAGCGGCGACAACAGGTGGTTTTGGCTCAACCAACACTGGCTCGATCTTTGGCGGTGGTGCCAACAACACCACCACAGGCTTCGGCTCGAACAACACATCAACGCCAGCTTTTGGCGGTGGTGCGACAGCAGGTACCAGCTTCGGCGGATCGAACACGAATACCACGGCGGGTGGATTTGGGAGTGGTTTCGGTGCGAACACTACCGCACAAACCAATAATGGCACTGGTGGCACACCCTTCCAAGCGTTCCAGGAGAAAGACGGGGCAACCAGTCAGACGTCACATTACCAGTCGCTTACATTCCAGCAACCATATCAAAACAAGAGCTTTGAAGAGTTGAGAGTGGAAGACTATCTCCAAGGAAGAAGATACGGCACCAGCAACGGCCAAGCTGGAAGCTTTGGCACAAGCACTGGATTTGGTGGTAGCTTGTTTGGAGGGAACAACAACACTACACAGGCCAGTGGTAGCTCGCTGTTCGGCGGGGCCAACACGACGACTGCGAACACTTCTACAGGGTTCGGCGGATTTGGTAGCAACAACAATACTGCACAGCCTGCTACCACTGGATTTGGAGCCACCAACACTGGCGGAGGCCTGTTTGGGACTCAGCAAAACAAGCCTGCTGGCGGACTGTTTGGTTCAACACCCGCCGCAACCACTGGCGGGTTTGGCAGCACGAACACCAACACTGGGGGAGGCTTGTTTGGAACCAACAACACCTCTACGACTAGTGGTTTCGGCGCCAATAACACGGCGAACACTGGCGGCGGTCTCTTCGGCTCGCAGACTAACAATACTGCAGCTAAACCAGCTTTTGGCGGATTTGGCCAAACAGGAACTACGACTGGGTTTGGTGCAAATACGAACACCAACACTGGCGGTGGACTTTTTGGCACTAGCACGAATACCAATACAAGTACCGGCGGTGGCTTGTTCGGCTCCAACAACAATAACAACAACAACACACAACAGCAGAGTAGCAACCTGTTCGGTGGCAGCACCAATACAGGAGGTGGCTTGTTTGGGTCCAACAACAACCAGGCGAAACCTGCCACGGGTGGTCTGTTTGGCAGCACTCCTGCAGCGAGCAACACCAGTGGAGGTCTGTTTGGCAATAACAATAATACCCAGCAGCAGTCTGGTGGTCTCTTCGGGTCCCAGCCGTCCAACAACACTGGTGGAGGCCTTTTCGGCAACAACAACCAAAACAAGCCGACAACAGGAGGTCTGTTTGGGAGCGCGCCCGCGAATAATAACACCGGTGGCGGGCTGTTTGGCAACAGCACTAATACGAACACCAATACTGGAGGCGGCCTTTTCGGCTCTACCAACAACAGTAACAACAACGCTGGCAGCGGCTCCTTGTTCGGAAACAACAACAAACCAGGCGGCGGACTGTTTGGAGGATCCACCACGAACAACAACTCAGGCGGCCTCTTTGGCGGTGGTCTCGGCGGCAACAATCAGCAGCAGGCATCTGGTGGCAGCAGCTTATTCGGTTCCACAAATCAACAGAGCAATACCAACGGCAATTCCATGTTTGGTAGCATGAACCAGAGCAGCAACCAGAATCAGCCCAACCAACTTACTGCGAGTCTGACGATTTCGCCGTATGGGAACGATCAGCTATTCAGCTCCCTGGGACACTCGTCTGCTCCCGTCGGACCGCTTGCAACGCCATTGACTGGAGCGCGTCCTACCCCGGCAAAAACTCCAAGCTTGCTCTCAAGCAGCAGGCTAAACTCTCCCATCTATACACCACGAGCAAGCACTGCTGGCCGACCCGGAGGATACGGATTTTCCTACTCAGCCTATGGCACTCCAGGCTCTGCCTACTCTGTGAGCCTCACTCCGCAGGCTAGTAGCTTGTTGAGGCCGACTGGCAGCTTGGGTAGTGCTCTGACCAGCAGACTTGCCAAGAGCATGTCTATGAACAACCTGCGTGGCGACACTCCATCCAGAGACGGTGATAGCTTGCTTCGGCCTACCCCAGGGAGTGCTTCTAGCCGCTACCTAAACTCGGGTAGCATGCGCAAGCTGACTATTGACCGGAGCCTGCGTACGGATCTCTTTTCCCCACCAACCTCCTCCAATCTGCAGCGGATAGAGAACGCTACAGATCAGCATAGCCCTGGACTGGCAAAGAAGGTCAGCTTTGACAAATCTGCTGCTCCGAGCGCTCGTCAGACTGATGCCACACCAAACTCTGGTAATGCACTTGTCCGAACTGAAGCTGAGGACGACGATTCGCCTCGCGTGACTCGGGCACATACCAGGGCCAACGGTGCCCCGGAGATGGAGCAGGTCAATGGTAGCAAGTCGCTCACTGATATTCCCGAAGATGCTGAGCCACAGCGCCCTGCGTCCGCGCCAGCCACCAAGAAGCCCATGGAGAAGGTCGGAAAGCCTGACTACGGTGACTATTGGACCGAACCTAAGGTCAGGGACCTGAAGAACATGTCTCGCACCCAATTGTCCAAGCTGAAGATGTTCACTGTTGGCCGTCATGGTGTTGGCAAGATTGAGTTCAGGAACGATGGCAAAGGTATCGATTTGTCAAACATTGACCTCGACAGGCTTTTCGATCCAAACGATATGGATGTGGCTGATGGGCCCGATGCCAAGGGTCTTGTATGCCTGAAGCCCCGCAAGGCCACAGTGTACCCCAATGCATCAGAGAAGCCTGTCCGAGGCCAGGCTTTGAATGTGCCTAGCAGGATTTACTTGGAGCAGTCTTGGCCACGAAAGGACAACGGCAAAACCATCGTGAAAGACACATCTGGCGCCAGACTCGACAAACACGTGAAGCGCTTGCACAAGATCGTGGGCACCACGTTCGTGGACTATGATGCAAATACTGCTACTTGGATATTTGACGTCCCACATTACACCACCTACGCATTGGACGATGACGACGAGAGCGACATGGAGGATGTACAGGAGGTTTCTAGCGAGCTGAGCGAGCCGCCAACAATGCTCCAGCATGAACAGCCAGATGACACCATGCAGAGCATTGAATCCATGAACAACGGTGAAGTTGACGACACCTTCGAATTCAAGCTCAATCGATCGAAGTCTAGCTTTCGCAGCTCGCACATTCCCGGGGGCTTCGATGGTCATTTGATTCAAAATGCGGGCTTTGAAGAGGACAACTCGCTAGCGAATCAGGATCAGGACATGGATGAGCTCCATCAGATGTCTGGAGGCCTTGGTGAGCGAGATGGAGAAGAAGAAGATCTGTTCGCTGAACAAGGTGGTGCTGTGCAGGCACCTTCACCTGGTGCATATGAGCGCTATGGTTCCAGTATGGCACTGGACAATACGGGCGCAGAGATCGTTGCTGAACTCGCGCAGGCCGACTCTGAAACCGAAGACGAGCCGCCACTTCCCGGCTCTTTCAGTGTTGAAGAACCAAAGATACTGCGATCTATCTTGAAGCCCACAGCACCTGCGTTTCGAACTTTCGCAAGTCCCGCAAAGCTTGCCAACGACACCTGGGAAGAACAACTGCAGCGCACGTTGAGCCCACGGAAGCGTGACCGCCAGGCATTGAAAGGCTTGCAGCAGAGCTTACTTCGAGGCGAGAGTGACGATATTGGAGAAAGTCCTTTCAAGCGCAGCATGCTTGGACAAAGTGCGTATGGACAAAGTGCACTCGGGCAGAGCTATCTTGCTCAGAAGAGCGCCAAGAAGGTCGGCTTCGGTAGTGTGCTGGGCGGCAAGGAGGACCTCAACAAGAGTCAAGCATTCCGGACAAGCATGGACTTGATGAACGCGCTGTGGCAACAGGAGAAGTCAAGCACGAGAGGCGCTGGGACAAAAGGCTTTGAGGTATGATCGCCCGTCTGCACCACCTGCACATTATACACTTCCCGAGCTGCCCAATACACGAATCACAATGATCATCAGCACCAGGCTGAGTCGGAGGATGAAATTTTGACTCTTGGGCGTTCCACATTCGACCACCCCACATCATCTGCACAGCAATCCACACCATCGTATGTTGTATAGTACGTAGCTGAAATTCTGAATAGAACCCTTATCCGAAGACAACTCGCTTTTCTGCTGCCGAGGAATCCGACGAGAAGAACGCGGCGTTCCACCACGACAGTATGAAGCCGCATTTTGCGGCCAACGGCGTCTTCCTGTACGCTGTCCCTGCATCGACCCGCGGCGTCGACAACCCCCTTGAGCCCGCTCTGCGCCCGCTGGGTGGTGAGCACAAAGAAGTCCGATTTGCGAGATTTGCCCCGAATACAGATCTGAACCCAGAGACGCTATCACTGCAAAAGGCGGCTACTATCATCGACATTACTGATGGCTTCCCCGCTGCACATTCCGACTCTGTGCGATTAAACTTTGCTCAGCTTGCCGAGAAATCCTTCGACTCCGAATCAGCTATTTGGCAGCTCTGCAATATTCTGTTTGAACCGGTGAGGACTGGGGCTGAATATCTGACGGGAGGCATGTCAGATGATCAGATCTTGGCCTTCGAGCCAAGGTTGCGCAAAGATGCAGTCAAGCAATTCTGGGTGGGTATCGTACATGCCAGTGGCGATCAAGCCTTAGTCACCAAGTCTGCTGAGGAGAAAGCGTTGCTTTTTCTAGCGCGTGGGGATAAAGATGCGGCTGCAAAAGTTCTTGTCGAGGCCAAGAATTTTCGTCTGGCTGCGCTCATCGCTCAGCTACCTGGGTCACAGAATAGTCGCGAGCTCATGGCAAAGCAGATCGATGCTTGGAGGACTCGCAATGACTGGAGCGAGATGTCGGATGCAATCCGCGCTCTGTATTCGATCCTGGCAGGCGAAGTCTGCGTTGTACAGGGCAAGAATGGCGCGAAGGAAGACCGCGTCAGCAGCTTCATCATCTCGGAGCGGTTCGATCTAAACTGGATGCAATGCCTACTACTGCGCTTGTTCTTCGCTGGTCACGACACTATTGAAGAGGTCGTGAAAGTATATGTTGAAGATCTCAGCAATGGTAGGGAGGTGACCTTGCCAACGCCATTCTGGACAGCTCCTGGAACGTCAGAGGAAATGATCGCAGGCCGTGAAGACACTCTCTTCGGACTGTTCCGCCTCTACTCGACCACGCGTGCATATCCTGCCAATCTCGAAGCTCTATTCGATTCTCACACTGTGTCAGGCTCGCCCGTCAATTCGCGTCTGGCGTGGCAGCTAGCCACCATACTGAATGCGAAAGGTTGGACGGACCATATCGATCATGTCACGCTCGACCGGCTCACTCTCGACTTCGCCGCCGAACTTGAGAACACCAACAAATTTGTCACGGCGAGCTGGGTCCTTCTCCATCTGACGGACGCCAAAACGAGAGAACACATGATCAAAGGACTCCTTTTCCGCAACGGCGCCAAGATCCCCGACCCTTATGCTGACAACGAATCCAGTGGAATGAACGTTTTTCACCACCTGAGCCAGGACAACAAAATACCCGAAGAACTGCTCTATGAGGCCAAGGCTCTTCACGCCAAAGGCGGACTACAGCGCCCTGCTCTTGAAGCTCGATATCTGCTCAATGCCGGACTCTTCGACGAAGCTCACAATGTGCTCCTGACAACCATCGGCCCTGCTGCCGTCATCGAAGAAGAGTATGATGAGCTTATTGATATTCTCTCTCAATTCCCCGAAGATGGGAGTGGTGTGCAAGGGTGGCAAAGTGGCGGCGCTGTCTACAATGACTTTGCACTACTCGTTACTATGAACTCGGGACGAAAGTCCAAAGCCCAGGGAAAACAAACTATGCAGCGGCTGAAGGAAGGACTGCAAGCCATGGCTCAGGCTGAGGCAAAGAAGACGTTGGAAGAGCAAGTCGCAATGATCGAGATGGGGCGTATCCTGGACGAAGAAGCGAGCGTACTGGAATTGAAGGATGTTGTTGGCACTGTTGTAGGCACGAGGGGAAAGGTCGAGGGCCTGTTTGAGAAGTATCAGGCAGCCATGAGTGTTGTCGTGTAGAGATGATCACCACGGCACGTATTGACGAAGCCATGAGTCAGTCATGCCTTGCGTATGACTGCAGCAGGCATTGTCGATGAAACTGGCGGCATATTGCAGTATTGTAGTCAACGCAATCACGCATGCCAGCCCCTTTTGGCGTTAATCTCCCATGTTTATCAACATAGTACTGTTGGTACATTCCAGTAGTATTTCCCACTTCCTGTGTATACCTCGGATGAAAGTAAGTGACTACTTAGAAACGTTTTCTTGTCTCGGTTGGGTAATCAGCCTTGTTTCTAGAACATTATTAAAACATGAGCGTGTGAATCCTCGAGGCTCTTTCCAACTATATACAACCTCGACTTACAAGACCCGTCCGTCGATCGATATCCCTCTAACGTAAGAAATTTCAGACTGAAACTTGTATATTCTAGGGTAGGTATAGGTTATTCAGAGTGTCTATAGACTCGAGCTGTACCTCCTAGTGTGAAGATAGCGTTTGTACAAAGCCTTTTCGAATATTTTCCCGTCTTAGTACCCAGCCTTGGATACAATGGCATCGCGCGCGACAAGGTCGACGATACCTACTGACCGCAGCAGCACGATCCCTATCCCCTGTCTCTCTCTCATCGTCCCAAATGGGAGGCCAGTCGTTCTCCACGCGCCATGCCAGACACGGCCGGAGGAGGTCTTGTACTGTCTCCATCTGGTGGAGCTCTCTGTCCTTGCGCCGGACCACCCATGCGTCTCAAATAATACGGATCTTCATCGTCGTCGTAGCCTCGATAGTGACAAAAGCATGTGTACTGCAAAGCATGTAAGAACTACTGACATCCTGATTCAGCTTGACGAGTCTTTTGCAAGACTTCACAGCGCCAACACTTGGTCTTGGCCATGCGATGATGCCAGGTTCCACGCTGCTCCCGGCGATGCACAAGCTATGCGCGACCCTGGGGATCTGTCATGGTGTCGCAGGACACGTCGGTCGAGAATGTCGTGGCGTGTGTGATTCCAGGCATGGGGTGGTCAGGATGCACATCGAAAGTGGCATCATCTGCTTCGTTTGGCGAAGAGCCCAGTACCCGGGTGGTCGGCGAAGGTGGCTCATCAGAATCTGACTGCAGCCGCAGAACTGGGCGAGAGTCACTAACCGTCGACGGCACATGGAGAGCTGCATGGTCTCGTATCGCTATTGGTGAGATTTCGTGAAGTGCGATCTCAGGTGATGTGCCATCAAGAGAGCCATCAAGAGATGACACAGACTGGCCATGGTGAGCGAGCAAGACGGGGGACGATATGGCCTGGGTATTCTTCAGCTTGCTAAGCTGATGCTTGCATAGCTTCGGCGTAGATTGTGCAGGTATCTCATTGCCCTGCTGCACGGTTCCATGTAATGCCAGTGTCCTCAAAGATCTCCCTGAAGAGGAACTCGAATAAAGGTTGGATGGTAAGGGTGCTGATCGCTGGGCTAATCTCGCTTGGGCTCTTGTGGGTGTGACAGGAACATGATTCTCGCTCGCGTATCGTAGGCTTCGCTGGGACTGCGTCAGGGCAACATGGCCTGGTGGAGCAGATGCGAACGGATGAGATGAGAGGTCTGCGAAGCGATGCGTGGAGTGAGCGCTCCTGGGTGGTCTCCAATGCCGCTCGCCGCTCGGTCTGGATCTGTTCCACGCGATCTCACGAAGCAAGTGCTGTTGCTGCCAATCCTGAGGTGCACATATACGAGTGTGCGCGCGCAGCCACTGCATCAGCAAAGGCCAGTTGGATATCGGTCGACGGAGACCATCAGATCGAGCACTCGTTTCGTTCTCGCCAGGCCATCTCGGGAAACCGGGAGGCGTATGCCGACGATGAGGTGGGTCATACAGAGGTTCTGCCCGTCTCGGTATGTCAGGCAGGTCTGCAGAGCTGCTTCTGAGAAAAACCTTGGCCAAGATGTCGTCGGCCGAGAGACGGCGCCGTCGCTGGACCGCTGGCGCCGCGCTCCTCTCCCGGCGGAGCTGAGGCTCGGGAGATGCGAGCCGTCGCTGAAACGTGCGGGTGGAGGGGATGGTCTTCAGCGTCGGTATGCTTTGTTGCTCCGTAATGGTGCAAAGGCGTGTGCCCGCGCTTCGATCTCTTAGGCCCAGTTCCGACGAGAGCGGTCGTGCATCTCGACCAGGATCGGTATCGACGAAAGGCTTGTTTCTGCGTAGCTCAGCATTCGTTGTGAGGGCTCGGGTGCTTCGTACCTGGTATCACAAACATCCACAGTCAGCTTCTTTTTGATTTTATTGGCATGTACCTTTTTTTTTTTCCTTTTTTTTCCTTTTACAGTTCACGACTGCAGTAAGTCAGTTGATCTGACGTGCATGTATGCGCTTCTACGTGCCGGATGATGGCTTGCTCCCGCTAAGGTTCCGGCAGCAGCTGGTGTTGCAGGTGTCGCCCCAAAACAGTCGGTCTGTAATCCTGAATCCATAATTATGCGCGTGCAAGCATAAGCATGCTTCCGCAGTTCGTTGGTCGGTGAACGACTGTCACAAGCGGGAAAGTGACGATGGTGGAATCTTGAAGGAATAATGCTCGGGATCTGAGCGAGGTGAAACGAGTCTCCGATATTCGTCGGTGGAAAGCACGATTCCAGCTTTCCCGGTGACTCTGGAGATTCATTGCCTGGGAAGGTGATTTACATTGGTGGCCCGTTGATAGTGACTGCCATTGCTACTGTATGTCTCCCATCCATGTTTCCATGTTGGGCGGAGCTTTCCTTGGTGTGTGCTAGTATCGACTATCGAGTAAGGTATCGACCATCCACGTCAGCAATGCGCTATCGTTCATTCAACTACATACCTGTACCTACATGTAGGTATGTACCTCCCATACTTAGGTAATGTACCTGAGAGTCAATGTTGTCCCCACGAGCGGCGTATGGAGCCCGCTCATCATTGAGATGTCCAATCTGCATAAGCATAATGCATGAATGCTGCAGATATGTGCCCTTCCATGGCAGTTTATCTGCTCCGTTGGCGAATGATCTGTACGAGCCCGTCACTGAGCAGACTGTAAGTTCCGCTCATCTGCTTGGCTTCACCCTAGGGCAAACTCTTGTGGCGACTCTATAGGCAGGCTATAGCATGTCGCTGGCAGTGGGGCAGCAGGGGTGACGACTCGAATTCTTGCAAGCTTATCCATTATACATGCTGCCATGTGGCACTACTAGTGCAGCATCGGGATCTGTCGTTGGTCGTGTTTCTACTGGTGGGAAAGGAACGAGGAACCTGAAGCCCGTTTCCGCGCAATACTGGGTCGTTCCATCTTGCGCTCGTCAAAGAATGGTTGGCTGGCTGGCTGGTTGGCTGGCTGGTTGGTTGGTTGGTTGGTTACTTGGTTGGCCTTGGAGCCCACGTCCATTCCAGTGTAGAGTCCTCGTAAGTATACATTGCCCTACTGTACCTACAGTATGCATCCAAAACAACAACTGCTGTATACCCGGGTTCACGCCTGGATCTTGATAGTGCAGACTTCTGCAGACAGTTCATAGCTCAACATCCAGTGGGCGCTAATCACGTCCACCGGGTGAGACTCTCGGCACCAGTGCAGTGCAATGCGGTGTGGTAGGTTTCTCAACTCAACAATGTACCTTTAAGGTCTGTACATGTATCCGTGACACCAGAGAGTTTGTGTGTTGTTCACCCATGATGATGCTAATAAATAAGGACTTTTTGTCCGGCTGTCCAGGCGACGCATTGGCGCCTCCGGCCCGCGGGCTCCACCCAGCCAGGGAGCCGAAAGTCAGGGGGCGGGGGGTGCAAGATCCATGTTGGTAAGCAGACACAGAACAGCACATTGTTATTCTTGGCATGTTGCATCGACGCAGCTCGACCAAGCGAGGAAGCGCGGGATGTTCAAAAGCGGTGAAGACAATGCGGAAAAAACAACACTCTTGGGAGTGACAATTCTCGCAAACCTGCAGCATGGTATGCTTCCCTGCCCGCCTGCCTGCCTGCCTGCCTAAGTACATACAAGAATTGCTCAAAAAATGGCCCCAACCTAGCATTGCTAGGAGCTGCGAGCAAGGTACAATGGAATACATGTAAGTAGTAATAAAGAGGGTGGGCAGCGTTCCGCGTCGGAAGCTGAGCGCCACGGATGTTATTCCAGGTTGTCTTTGAGTCGTCGCCACTCGCCAGAGACACAAACATCGATCCCCCCAGTTGCCAGTCCAGTCCAGTACTTCGCAGAGGTTTGATCTTTGTGAGGGCCGTCCGTGGCCAGTCGGAAGCGCCCAAGCGCAGTCCATACTGTACATACAATACCCGAGTACCTACAGTAGTACCTCACAAACCGGGCCTGAGGTTCGACCTTCTTTCTGGTTAAGCGCCTCTGGTGGGCCTGGTCGTTAAGCGCACTGCTTATTGCCCACCTCGTACCACAGAGACCTACCTCCTAGGTCCTAGGTCCTAGGTACAGGCGACGGCGCTTATAATGTACGCTTCCCAGACTCGACTCCAGGCGTATGATACGTGGGTATCTGTCAGTAGGTAGGTAGGTACCTGTAGTTAGGTAGGTAGTGACGTAGTAGGACTTTAGATTTATTCGTCAATGTCCACACATATGGCCTAGCAGCCACGTCGAGTACTGTGTGTAGTATAGGTATACCTCGCGTTCGCGGATCCCAAACGGTCTCAATGTATCATAAGGTAAGCAGCAACATATGAACACACTCATGCTGTAAGGAACGTGCTGAACGTTCACTTTCTACAAATCCAGAATCCTAGTGTAGTAAACACGGCAGTGTGCTAGGGGCTGCCGGCCACCACCTGGATGGCATTACCGAAATGTTGGAAATCCCAATGGATGGATCAGTGCAATGGATGATGCCAGTGTTTGTAGCTCAATCTTGGGTGATGCACGGATCCAGCGCGAAGAGGCTCAATATGTGTGGTGTAGTCGATCGACAAGTAGGTAGTGGTGGTACAGCATATAACGTTCCCGTAAGGTCTTTTCACGCTGCTAAATTGGGTTTGCCGTGCCTAATTCCTTGGTAGCGAGAGAATTTCAGCTCCACCAGCTGCGACGAAGATCGTGGTACGCTCAGTTCCAACACCATAGGAGGCGCGACCCAAGAGCTGCGCTTTGCACAACCTTGAAGCAAGCTGCCGGTACCGCTTTGCATACGCGAGTGCCGCTTTGGACGCGGTGGATCCTGTTGGGGATTTGTTCCAATGCTCTGGGAACTGCAAGCCGGAACTACAACCAGGAAGTATATACGGACGTCGTAGAGGAGAGATAGTTGGTTGATCATATTGAACGTATCGGAAGGTCTGATACATGTTTCTTGGACGCCGTGACACTTTTAAACTCCCTACCGCACGAACGTGCACCTCTGGGATCATGCAACGACGTCCAGCAGATGGACGAAAGCCTTGGAAACATGCTCGAAATTGTATCTTCGATTTGATTCAGCTTTGACATTGAGCAGGTCGTCCTGGACCATGCCTTCGGACCAGGATCGCCCGAATGATAACATGTCACTGATGCTGGTTGCAGAATTACAAGAGTACCAACTATACCATTTGCAGCCTCGCACATTCCCATGAAGTCCATGATGAGTCGTGGACGGTGGATAGGGGATAGTGGATAGTGGATACTTATAAGGTACCTTGATTGATATACGTCCACGAATTCCCTGTTGTGCCTCCATGGAGTTCGGAGTCACGCGCAGGAGAGTTGTGGAGGACGCGCCCGTCAGAAGCCAGCTGCGGCGCCCGCCGCCCGGTGCCATCACAGGTGCCGGTTCCGGTATTTTAGCTCCCGGCATTCTAATACTGGCGCCTCATTGCGGCTCTTGATGGACAGGCAGCGTGCGCGTGGTGGACTTAACGATGCGGGCGCGGGCGCGGGCGCCTCGCTCGGCCCGCCTGCGCAGGTCTCCTCGATGGCGTGGCGTGAGCAGGCGTCATCACAGCTGCGGTGCAACGGCGATAGCGCGAGGTACACAGCCATGTGTGAGGGAGGCAAGTGGTACGAAATGATGAAACGCACCTAGAGGCTGGAGGCTGGAGCCTTGAGGTGTGAGGGTGTGAGGGTGTGCGCACTGTGCGGGTTGTTGGAAAGAGCTTCGACCAGGGGTGGACGTCGTGGATGTGGATTTCAGTGGATTTTGAGCCACTGGTGGGAGGCGTCGCTGTCTGACAGAAAACTCAAGTCTCCACATATCACAGTAGGCGCAAGCCAGCCGTCCTCCAACCGCAACCCTGGCACAAGCCGCGTCTCGCTGCGAAAACGGACACGCAAGAGCAGCGTAGTGAAGCGTACCCAACCCCAGAGACGTGGAAAAGAAGGCCAGTAAGTGGGGCGACCGTGATGCGAGCGTAGGTCCCCCGGGAGAGAAAGAGAGAGAGAGAGAGAGAGAGGTCAACGTTTCGGCACTTCGAGTGCAAGATGAGAGGTTGTCGCAAAAGCCATGGTTGTTCAAAATAATGTCCTGGCAAAAGCTCTTGCAGTAGATCTCACTATTGGCTGCGCTGACCTGCCTTACCTTAGGAGGTACCTACCTAGCACTGCTGGGGCACATGTCATGTCTTTCCGCGCGTTGCCGCGAAAGCCAGTCATCGAAAACATCGAAACATGGTGCACTCTCGAACAGCTCTCCAACCGCCACGCCTCACTTGTCCGAGCGAGGAGGTTGTTTCGCAAGCGTCAAGCACCGTAGGCAAGCAAGTCAGGGCGGAAAGGCTATGCGAGGATGTCCGAACAACCAGTCGCATGAATCATGAGATTTAGCTTGCTCCCGCAACCGTTGTGGGCATTGCTCTTGAGCCTTGTTCTCATTCTTCTTCTTCTTCTTCTGCTTCTTCTTCTTCTCCTGCTTCTTCTTCTTAGGAGGTAGCCTGGTTGTTGTGGTTGTGGTTGTTGTTAACAGTTGGAAGGTCGCAGCGGAAAAGGATCGTTCTTCGCACAACCATCAAGCGTGCTTACAGTGGCCCAGTCAACTACTGGATACGCACATACAGTAGTGCGTTCACATACTGTAAGGTAGCATTGTGACAGCAGGTTGCCAAGTAGTGCAGATTGTTGTAGCCGCATACTGATAAGATTTGGGTGTGAGCAAGGGGTACTCCCCAGACCGCTGTCGGTGCTGTAAGCCTGGGGGAAAAATGACCACCAGCAGCAGTTCAGATTGTCGCAAGCCGCTGTTCCCGAATCGCCACTTATTCCTCTTATTCGTGTGAAGAAGCAAATCCGCCTTGGCACCACCTGCAGAAGCGCAGCGGCCGGGATCTTCAAGAGAGGATAGTGTGTCATGCCCGAATTCAGTAAGGATGCCAACCAGGACCGCCAGCCGATTAGATGGTTGTGAGCTCCCCTGCTCAATTATTGTGGACACTTACTTTTTGGTGTGGGATGGCATTGACCGCCTAGTGGTTTAGATGAAGTGAGGGTGAGCACTGGAGGGTGAAGGGGGAGGGGGAGGGGGGGAGGGGGGCGGTCCCGTGTGTGTGACTGTGAGAGGTGAGGGTCAATGGCATTATTGGCAGTAGCAACAAAAGGTTCGGCTCGCCGACGCAGGCGTTGCATTGGTCCTTTGCGGCCTAATCATCCTTCCCTTTCATGCAAGCAACGCATGCCACTACTAGTACTCTTTTGCCAGACCTGCAGTTGAGTTCCCGTCGCAGGTTTGGCATGCAGTGTGTGGTGGAAGCAGTGCGGCCAGTGCATCAGCCGGAGCCCTCCTAGCAGTACTGCAGTAGTAGCATGTTTGCGTTAACGGCCCTGCAGGCCTACGCTACGCGACATACCGCCTGACTCCTGTGCGTTCCGTTCACAACACTGGGGTAGTCTGCTAGGGAATATTATAGCTTCCAAACTTAAGTGCATCCCCCCGTCTGGGACTGCCGCAATTTACTGGAATAGCAAGAACCGATTGGGCTCCAACAAATTCGGACTGCTTGTTGTATCGATACAACCATATATCATCACCAGCGTGCTCCCGTCCTTTTGTTCGTTGTCACATATTCATATAAGAGTCTCAACCTGTCCTAGTGCCGCAGTCACGACCGTCGATCTGAAGTAGCGCCTCTGCCATCATCGAGCACTCGTCCACGAGCACGTACCGATGGCACCACCACGACCCGCCCTGGCCCAAAGCGAATCCAAAGCCCGATTTTTTGAAAGACTCGGTCTGGACGAACGGAATGAGTTTCATCGTCGGGTATATGCAATGATGAAGGTATGTGTGTGTGGGTGTGTGTGTGTGTGTGTGTGTTCGGCCACTCTGTGCTCGGTCGGTGTTGTTGACGAGCAAGTTCTTACCATGATTTTGCAGGAAGAAGCAGTGGAAGGGCGAAGACGGATGACTGAAAGCCAGGATGTTCTTGTCCCATCGTTACGAGGAAAAGAGAATGTGGAGCCACCATACAGCAATGCTCAAATCAGCGAAACTGTCACACATCGCGAGATCCTGCGAATATACAGAATGGCCCGCCCGGAAACAAAGGTGGTCTATGACCTGGGCCGTGATACCGATCGGGTGGAGGAAGAGAACTGGGTGATTCGGTGGATGCTATGGCACGTTTTCAGGTATCGTGACAGCCGCAATCGAAACCGAAGACACATTTCTCCCAGCCCGGAGCGGCTGCAGCCACCACATCCCAGCATCGCTGCCGTGACATCCAGCAGCAGAGGGTCGTCGCATCTCTGTGAGTTCCTTCGTCATTGTGTCACATCGCCACGCAAACGCTGACTGACCATCCCACTGCAGACCACGCGAGTAGCGCCCAACAACGACAAAACTACTATTGGGATCCCGTCCGAAACCAATATGTGTTGCGATGACGAGCTGCGGGGGCAATCAAGATGATGGCTTCAGGCGTTGGAAAGAAGATCCAAGCTGGGGTGCTCATCTGCGATGGTTTAGTTCATCATGACGAACTGAGCGTGGTATGGTGCGGCTGGGACGCTCCGGGGGAACTTGACATTCACTCTACCTAATTGTTGGGCCGAGCCCACGTTTTGAGACCAGCGTAGCTAGACTCCTCCATTTCGACGTCGCTATGCCGCTGGCACGACAGCGACGGCGACAGCGACAGCCTCCTGTTGACTCAGGGCGTCACTTTGGACGAGAAACAAGACACCAAATCCGCCAGCTACAGCCCGCCGCCGCGGTGTGAGCGTTGCACGTGCCGCGCGGGGACACTGACACCACTCTACAAGATGTCGGTGTGGCTTGGGAAGGATGGAAGGGGAAGGAAGGAGGCAAGGAAGGAAGGAAGGAAGGAGGGAAGGAAGGAAGGAAGGAGGGAAGGAAGAAAGGAAGGAAGGCACGAACGTTGGTGCACATGTGAGCTTCAAGAAGTTGAAGGCTGGCGGAGAAGCCGAATATGGCCCTCGAACTACCAAACTACCTAAATTGTAATCATAGGTACCTACCTACTACCTGTACTCTATATCCAACGACACCTCATCCTCCAGATCTTGCACAATAGCAGAAACAATGTCTACCTTGTCGAAGTGCTGCGCAGAGGTTTCTGGCGGCGAGACCCACGCCCCACGCTTGACTAACACTGCCTACAGGTTCCACAACATGGAATGGAAGCCGCCCACTTGAACCCATGCTCACCAAAAGAAAAAAAAAATAGAAGAAACTCGCTGACGTCACCACATGAAACCCTACCTTACCTTCCTCCCTTACCTGCTAGCACATGTGGGTTGGTGGGGTGCGACCGGGCAGAATACTGTGCAGCCTGAACATCACGTGCACGCCGCAGTAGTGACCCTCATAAGGAATATATTTACATGATTACATCGTGCATACCATGTACCAGGAATTGCAAGCTGGTCTGCCGTCTGCGCTGCTGCATTGGTGCGAAAAGTCTGATGGAACAAACGGTGGACGCGACGCGATACGGAACCCAGACATGCGCTCACCTACGAAACATGGGCGCGGAGAGAGAGTGGTGGTTGTGCGTGGCACACGACAGGTATCTGAAATTATTGTTCTGAGCATTGATGGTTGCTGTGGTCGTCTTGGAAATTAGAGCCAAGCAAGAAAAGCTCCACGTCCCCATGGGCCCAGGGACCCTCGTACACACTCGGCCGAGGTCTCATTGCTTGTCAAACAAGCTTCAACACGTGTCACGAGGTCAGCCATGTCCAAGCGATAATCTTGATATACCAACTGGTCGACGTGCAGCGCCAAGACGCTTTTCCGTCCGCCTAGCATCTCTCCGCATCGTGAGCTTTGCGGATTGACGGACTGCATCCTCTTGTGCGTCGTCTGGTTCCTGCCATAGGCATGTCGTCGTCGGCCGAGCACCTGATAATCCAAACGATACCCGCGAAGATGGCACGATGAGGCCTTTGGAGCGAAGAGAATCCCAGGAGCGCCTCGGAGATCATGAAATGTCACATCTAGGCCTTTGGGGCGAAGAGATCTCGCCAAAATTCTTTAAAGCCATAAGCCTTCGAAGCACGCTCGTCATGCACATGCCCAGCTCGATCCATGGCAAACTTTTCTAACACAGAGCCGGCTTTGTGGCCAATAACCTCGACACCTTTGACTTTTGGCGCCATGGCACGGTTCTGTATAGTGGCAGCAACCTGGGGTGCGACGTCGGCGAAACAAGTTCGCAATTCGCGATCTAGGGAAAAGTATGGTTTCTTGGCCAAGTATGGGGCCATGAGGTTGTATGATCGGGTGAGATTGTTAAGCTCCTGTATCGCAAGTTTGTGGTATGATAGCTCCGTCCTCTCCCACTGGGGATCGCGAAAAGGCGTGACAGTGGGTACTCTGGCCGCTGCAGGTGGTAGAGCTTGCGACAGCAAAGTATGCTCAGTATCCATGCTGACTTGACCATCGGTAGACTTCAATGTGCCATCATCGTTGAAAGTCTGCTCCAGAACCTTGATCTCCTTGTCTATCTGGGTCGCATCGTCCTCGTCGTCTACCTTGGGCGCATCGGAGATGACTACCTGTGATAAAGTTCCTTGCTCGTCCAGGGCATGCAATTTCTCCATTTGCTCCTTCGTTGGATTCTCGAGGCTCTCAGCAAATGCATACTCGTCAGCCAGTCTCAGTTGACTCTCTAGACTTCCTCCACGGCTTGTGATGACCCGGGCTACATGACGCCGCCAATCTGTCCTCAGCCGTCTACGAAACATGTTGGCTGTCGCCACCACCTCTTGTTGCTTCTCGATCCAAGGAGGCACAATGTCGTTCTTCTTCAGCATCATCTTGTTCATGAGATAAGTAGTCGTATCTATGAATGGCGAGCTGGCGTTATGATCCCTTTCTATCTTCTGGCCCCTGGGAAGATTCTTGAACTGGCCCCGAGCGATTGCGTCCTCGATTCTTTGGTTGGCCAAGGAAGTCACCGCTTGCACAGAAGCTGCGACGTTGCGAGCACCAGGCAAAAAACGAGCTTGCAGCTCCTGTCGAAATCTTTCGCGCTCTTCGTCGGTCAGACCGGCGGCGTCTTCACCGGTGGAGTATTTGTTGACCTTCTCACGAGCGCTCGCAATACGAGCGCCAGCGCTGGGTTTCGTTCTGGATCTTCCCGTGTCCACCTTGCGCGGTGGGCCACGCGGAGCTGAATCAGTAAGCATACGCAGACTCGCGTCTTCGATAGATTCAGTGCCCGACCACGGCGCTGCAGCGGCGGTTTCGCGAGCATGCTTGGGAGCACTTGTGGGCATTCGAGACTGCGAGATGGCGCCAGCATGATCGCTATTGAAATTTGCGGCCGCGATTTTGTCTTCCAGTTCTTGCAGGAGATCTTTGAACCCTGAGCCCCCAGTCTCTTCGACAGCCTTTCGAGCACTTCGGCCGCCTGTCGATAGAGCCTCTTCACTCATATGCTCCAATCTCTGTGTCATGGCGCCCTTTGCCGTCTTTGGCCGTTCAGGAGGGTCGCCTTCATCACTGCCATCTCCATTGCCACCAGACCGTGCCGGCTGGGGCGATGCTTCAGTCGAGGCACATCTCACCAGTGCTGCATAACCATGCCGCAGACTCGTCAGTCGTCCGCAGCTTGGCTGCCAGTAAGCGCTGCTAGACAATAACGATGGACAGATCCTGTGTGGCATTCGTGGGAAGAGATGCTCTGTGGCAAGAAGCTGGAACAGACGATGATGAGGTGACATGGAAGCTGTAGAACGAGCGGGCCGATTCGCCACCCGCAGTTCCTCGGGCGGGGGTACCTCCTAGTGCACTTTCCCTCATTGACGGCTGCCTCGCACAGTCCAGAATCATACCTCCTAGGTACTTACCTGCCTCCTACCCACCTAGGAGGTAGGAGGTCGTGTGTATCTCTGCGCCTCGTCGTCGCTTCCGGTCATCGTTCCTTCTCGCTTGCTCCTCGTCGGCCTCCGCGCGTACATGTACCTACCTGCTACTTACTCCTCTCGCAGGCTCGCATACCTTACATCAGCTGAACAAGAAGCCCACCGTTACCGGACCTGGGTTATCTGCCCTCTCCCCATCACCTACGCAGCGCGTGCACCACGTCGACGAACTCCTTCGAACTTATCCGCCATGGCTTCGAGCATTCTGACGCCTGGAGGACGCACCGTCTGTCGAGAGCGACCTGCTCAGAACCGTTAAAGCGAACCAATACGATGCTCCAAATGCGAAGTCGTGGAAAGCGCAGAAATGAGTCTCTATGCACGGGGTGGCGGTCAGCCTTGTGATACTGGCGTCATGGATATTGATGGCGCAAAGCTCAGTGTGGAGTGTGCGACGTGTCTGCGCTGGGACGATCCTGCACTTCGTCTGAATCATTGACGACGGCGGCATCGCGCAACATCGATGTGGTGGCGCAATACATTCATGGCGTAAAGTAGGACATGCTTGGCCTCTTGCGTGAAACAGGACATATGATCGCGCATGCACCTCAACGCGACCGACGACAAGACGTTACGCTACCCTCACGCTGCTTTGTAGAGTTCAAAAGACCGCATCAATGGTAAAGAAATGGCCGCGACATGAGAACAGTCTGCGGAACTTCTGAAGCAGGCACTCCCACTCAAGCTGAGTTGGCACTCACATTCAAAATATACAGTTTTGCCAGAAATCTGGTGGTGAAGAGCATCAACCGACGACAATAGAGCAATACCGAAGTACCTTATCGCACGCCATTGATTCGGAGAGCGGATCTTCGACAATGGAAACGGAAGCGAGCAAGCGACACTAAGGTACGGGTATGTGGCGCGAATGCAGCGACGCCGCGAAGCTCAGAAGCCATAGCACATTGTCTGTCAGAGTATACTGTACAATGTCAGGTCCGTCGCTTCGGCCTGCAGAGTGGGTTCCAGTGGAGTTGTAGTTCTAGTGCAGCGATGCGACCCCTCATTCGTGCGCGACTTTAGGTTGTCAGAGCTTACAAGTACATGTAGTCACACCCACACACACCCACACATGAGTTTGCCGCGTTCCAACATCCGCGCGCGCAATAACAAGCTCGAGGTACCTCCTGACTTGCCACGACTATAGCAGAGACCCTTCTCGTGCTCCAGCTTGAAGCTCACCTACTAATCGCTTCATCGAACGGAACCCAACCTACGAAATCATTCCCAGCCACGCACACTCCATGGCGCACGCCAGCACGACCCTGCTGACGCAGTTGCCGATCGATCCAAGTGAACGACCGCAGTATGATCTCAAGCAACTACAGGCTTACTTTAGGCGCATCCGACTGCCTCAAGAGCATTGTGCGACGCCCATTCTCCATGATCACAAGTTGGCAAACACAAAAGAGCATGGTCTTCCTTTACTACGAGCACTGCAGCTATACCATCTCGCGAACATTCCGTTCGAGAACTTGGAACTCCACTACTCTGCCAAGAAGAGCATCTCTTTGAACATGGATGACTTGTACCAGAAGTTCGTGGTTCGTGGGGAGAACTACTCGAGAGGGGGACGATGTATGGAACACAACGGCTTCTTTGGAACTGTCTTGCGGAGCCTGGGATATGATGTGCGAAATTGTGCCGGCCGCGTGAGTCGAGCGTGGAATCCAGACTCGGAAATAAGAGAGCAACAGGCGCAAACCTATGATCCTTGGAATCACATGCTCAACCTCGTCAATGTCGAAGGCGTAAGCTTTGTAGTTGATGTGGGAATGGGTGCTATGGGCCCAAACATAGTCTACCCACTAGAAGACGGATACGAAACTGCCGCCATTCCACCGAGGCGAATTCGATTACAGAAACGAAGCATTCCAGAGCACTCATTGAGTGGCGTGCTGCAGGCTCAGCAGTTATGGTGCTACGATCAGTGTCTCAAGCCCGACCAGCCTGGTCAGGGCAACGTATGGATTCCCACGTACTGCTTCACGGAGACCGAATTTCTACCACAAGACTACGAGATGATGTCGTTCTTCACATCACACCACCGGCGATCATTCTTCATACATCATGTTTTGTGCACAAGGATGTTGATCGACGAAGCCAGTCAGAAGGTTGTCGGCGACATCACACTTTTCAACCGCAGCGTGCGGAAGACAACAGGGGGCGTGCGAGAGACGCTAGCAGACTTGAAGACTGAAGAAGAGCGCGTGAATGCATTGAAAAATGTCTTGGGAGTAGACCTTACTGCGGAAGAGAAAACCAACATCTCCACGGAGATACGACTTGGCCAACGAGCATAGCGGTCCTCGTTCACATCGTGCTAGATCCCGCAGGCATCGCAGGACGCTCATATGGCGCGCGGCACCAACCTGACTGTTCCGCATTCTCAAGTCGGATCGTCATCGGTTTTTGAGGCTCAACGACCTCATTTACACTCAGGGCTGTAGAGAACTCGGCCAAGTAGATAATATTCTTAGTTTCCACCCCGCTGCAATACAGTACGATATTGTTCATCAGGTCCCTACCAGGCGCTATGCTAGTCGGCATCCGAACACCATGCACTCCGATACTGCGGCCTATATGGAGCCCGAAGCCGCAGCCAAAGAAAGACACTGCCGTCTTTATACCCACCTCCTCACCAGCTCACCGCCGCTGCTGAAAGACTTTTTGACAGTTGAGCATGGGTCTAACGATACGGGGCTCGCATCTGCAGCCAAATTGTCCTCGCACGGATCCATGATGCTTGCTGTTTGCTGACAGTGCTACAGAGTCCACATCAGACCCGTCCTTGCTTAGTCTCATGATTCCTGGAGATCCGAGGAAGGACGTGCTCAGTGACTCGGCGTGATAGCGTACCTATTTGCTGTGGGTCACTCCTACTCGGCTACAAACTTTAAGCCATTATCGGACATATGATCCCTTATCGACAACTGCCGAGCATCAAGCCGAGGAATAATAATAAAAAAATGGGAACAACTACAAAGTGTGATGCAGCCTCAGTCCTACAGCAGGTCTTGGCCATGCTCCGATCGTACGCCAACAAGCCGTGTGCAAGCGAGCATACTGTAGCAGCAGCGGGACTGATGGATACGCTACGGATTGCGGCCACCAGGATGCCATGCTATGCATTGATCGTACGAGCCACGTGGGATAGAGGAAAGGCGGTCGGGGACTCGGGACGGGGAGTCTACAATCCGAAGCACGCTAGAACTACCTACAACCACACCAGCTCGCCGACTCGGACGCCTACAGTTGTCACGACATGACGACAAGAATCCATCTTTCAGGCTGCAATACATGCCAAGTCTTATTACGCCTCATCATGAGCGCCCACATCCTTTGCGATCTGCCGCTGTGGGTGGGATCGTCAATAGTAGTGGAAACACAGCATGATGACAGCACCCCGTCTTTCGAACACTATTGCACATGAGAGTCGTCGGGGCAGAAAATACGAGCTTGCATAGTGATGACTCCAGCATCACGGAGGGTCTACGCTAGCACCGCTTAGAGGAATGTCCTCTGCACGCTTGGAGACCATCAACAGCTATACAGTATACTTCGTCCGACACTCTCATCTAACAATCAATGACACGAGGCTAGTCTAGTCAGAGGTGGTGGCGGCCTTGGATTCTTAGAACGTCTGGATTATGATCCGGCAAACAACCAGACAGGTCACAGAACTCTGCATCTGCGCCGCGGATCAGAAATCTCGTTTAGCTTCGAGGGTTGCTCATCCCGCCGCAGTGTGGCTTGCGCCAGTGGAAGCCAGTGGAGTAGTAGCATGCCAAAGATGCAGTACGACATGTGTCTGCGTGAGCTCGATCTTATTAACAAACGCATTATCGCGAATAGGCTTAGTGGTCTCGTCTTATGGATGCTGTTGTGGCTGTTGGCCACGCCGATCGTTCTGGTCGTTCCGTGGATTTCGTGGTTCGCCCTGTCGTATTCCACCTCTTGTCGTCTATCATGGGACGTTACCGCTTTGGGCATCTCGCACCTGGTCCTACCTCCTACCTCTGCTACCTACTAATCTTCCGCCTACGTTCAACTGCTTCACGCTGATCCAACGATTTCCTGTTCGCGCAAGCATGTCACAGCAAAACTTTCGATTCGTGACTTTTCAGAGCTGCTGGAAAGGTGAGGGAGTGGCGACGAGAGCATGGGAGTTGGACCTGGATGATAGTGTAATAATACGTAGAAGCGATGCTACATAGCTATATATATAAGGTACAGATAGGTACCTGTACATTGGCAAACGCACACTTCTATGATTCAAAAGATTGGAGAAATGTCCATAAGGCCAGGTAGGATGGATGTATGGATGCTCTGCCGAAACCAGTTACTACGCTTTCCCACAGCAGCTCGATCGAGAGCTCGCTGGAGCAATACTTACTTTCATTCCGACCGCACCTTTCCACTGCTCTTACCGTACTTTCCGTACTTCTTGTTCCCACAATGGGCCCACAATGGGAAGAGCTGAAATTAATACCGACAAGGTGATGTGGATTGCGGAAAACGAGATTGGACTTGGAGTTGGTTATACCTTGTCAAAAACGTACATTACATAAACAACAACAACAACCTTTGTTCCTCTGCCGTATACATATCCATCCCATATTCCATATCGTTTCTCGTACATTGTACTGCTTGCTTCTGCTTCTGCTTCTGCTCCCGCTTCTGCTTTTCTTTTTCTCAATACTTTACCCGGCCTCCCCTCATCCCCCCAAGCTAGCTCTACTCATGGAAACTTTATGCCACCTGACTACCTAGGTCATCGACGATACATTCCATGGAGCCGAGTAGGTCGGAGTCGTGAAGAAAGCAAAAATCAAAGCAGAAGGACAAAAGCCCAAGTCTTACAATTGAGCAGCGAAACCAGCCGCACCAAAGAGAACTGCAGCAGCGACAGCCCCCGTCATCTTCGCAGCACCAGCCGAGGAAGTTCCACTAGCGGCGCCTTCCGTGAGAGAATTAAGGTCTTCAGTCGGAATGGCAGTGTAACCCTCTGCGACGTTTGCTGTAGTAGTCACGAAAGCGGTAGTGGCAGCTGGAAGGCCAGAGGTGTAAGCGACTTCACCCTCATCGGTTGCGCCTTGGAACTGCACCACTGGGCTCTCGCTGGCTGGGTCAGGGGTGAGAGTGCTGTTGGGGTTGAGGACGGCGTCGATGACGTGAACGACTCCGTTGGCGACGAGGACATCTGTGGCGATGACGCGAGCGGCATTGACGAAGACTGCGCCGTCGATGACTGTGATGTTCAGGTCTTGTCCTGTGGATGATGGGACAGAGACGTTTCCCAGGAGGGAGCTGTACGCCACTGTTCCGTTGATGACGTGGTATCCCAGAATGCCAGCGGCGTCTTCAGCGGTCAAGTTTGCAAGAGCAGAGGAAATGTCCTCGAATGCTGCAGTGGTCGGGGCAAATACTGTGATGTCCGAAGCAGCGTTCAGTGGCTCCGTGAGGTTGGTAGCATTGAGGGCTCCAGCCAGGGCAGTCAGGTTGGCCATGACTGCAGTCATATACAGATTTTGAGGAATGGCGAGCACACTATCGATGATATGCACCGTGCTTCCATTGTTGATGGCAATATCTGTAGTGGTGACATTGGCCGTGCCACCAAGACCACTGGTAACGACCGCATTCTCGCCCTCTGTCCTGACGCCGACGACTTGGCCACCAGTGACATTGGTATAGGTCTCATTTGCGAGAAGGGTGGGCAGAAAGGTCGGTGTTTCGGAGATGCCTGCGGACATCAGGGAGCCATTGGCAACGTGGTATGTGAGCAGCGCCGAGATGGCGTCGGGAGTGGCCTGGAGAGCTTCGAGCGCCGATGAGGCAGCTTCGAAGGCCTGGTTATTAGGCGCAAAGATGGTGATGTTGCTGGCATTTCCCAACAAAGACACCACTGTAGATTGGTCAGCTCCCGTGCTACTGTAATCAGTCACAATGATGATCAGACTCACGGTCTGGGAATCCACCCAAGATCTGATTCAGCTGGGAGAGTTCCGGCGTGTTCGTGAGAGCATCAGTGAGAGCTACAGGCCCTTGGGCTGCGACAAGAGCAGCGGATGCTGCGAAGGTAAGAGCCTTGAACTGCATGGCCGCTAGATGATCGTGGTCGGTAAAGTGAAGGAGATGTAAAACAGGGCTGGAGGACTGCGCGTTCAAGAAGTGGTAGCCTACTACTTACTTACAATACATATCTCTCAACTCGCAAGATCTACCTTGAATGTCCGTGTTCCCGCTGACGTGCGCCATGCAACGATGGATCGCTTGTAGACCAACTTTGACAGAACTTGAAGCCATCCGGAACATCTTCATTGGAGCCATGTACGTGCACAGCCTGGACCCTGCTGTGCCCAGCATTCCCGGTAGTGGTACATCCCGCGGCGACACGCGACCTCCTTCTAGCGATGTCCTGATGAAGGTGCCATTAAAGACTTTGACGGACAAAATACTGATATGTGTAGCTGCTCCAGCATGACGGGCCGCCATCCAATGGCATATTGATCTCTGTCTCTCTAACGTCCCAGCGGTTCGTGGATCCGTAGGAACTCAAGTCGGTTGATACCATCGTATCGGTCTAAGACAGGACATCGATCCGAAAGACACGTACATGTTTGCTTGGAGGATGAAACTCGTGGAGGTCTATGACGATGTGACTTGATGAAAATATCAGGTCCACCCCGCAGAATCGACCTTGGCTACAGCGGCTATCTGCCAAGAGCAAGACTTGGCGATATGCCAAGCCATATGGGATAATAGAAATCATAATCCCAGTTGCCCAGTATGGCGGGTGTGCGTAAGCAAGACGGACAGGTGGTGTAGGATGGGTGGTGTACAGTAAAAATATTCCGCGGACTTATGCGGCCTCTGAGCTCGGGAAGCAGGGTTCGGCCTGCGTTTGCGAGTAATGCCAGTCCATGCCTGAAGATTGTGTCGGCTGGTCTGAACTCTTTCCGCGAACCAAGTTCGTCGTCTTCATGATGATGATGACTGTGATGATGATGATGATGATCTGGAACATGCCGAGGACACCGATGTCGATTGCATTGGTGATCGTGAGCGGCAGGAAAGGGCTTCGAACCAATGGAAGCTAGCTTCGTTCGTCGTCCGCCATCTTGATAGGTGCTGGGCAGTTAGTGAAGGATGGGAAGGTAGTACAGGAGATATATCTGCTGGAATATATCGAATTCATCCGGCTGCCATGCGTTGTGTGCTGTCATGTCATGCATGTAGCCATTGCCTGTAGCTATTAGACAGTCCCGCAGCCACCATAAGCCATGTGACGGTGCTCCTATGAGAGGCCTGAGACGATCAGCGGTCAAGCTGAACGGAACACAGCACAGCCAGCGCGCGAAGGATCCGGGATTCCAGCGCTGGCCATTGATGAGCACTTGCCAGAATGGTCAAGAATAACGGTAGGTGAGAGATGACAGAACGATGCCGGAAGAGGGCCGAGAAAGTGTAATACGGTCCTGGAGGTGATAGGCAGACTGTAGACAGACATGCGAGAACAGCAGACGTGCTGGCATTGTTTTCACTGGCCGCTTCTGTGTGCACCAAGCCAGTCATTGGTTGCTGCATGTGTAAGAGAAAAATGCATTTTGCTTTTGGTGGTGGTTGTTGTTGTTATTGCCTTTGTTGCGGTGGTGGTGATGGTGGTGGTGGTGGTGGTGGAAGGAGGAAGCGAAAGTGAAGTCGGCAGAAATAGACTAATTTACTGCCTGCACTGCACCCGACCTTGAATCTTCAGACCATCACAGAACCATGTCACTCAAATACGGCCTGAACGTCAAGAAGAAAGGGCCCCCGCCTCCGCGACGGACTCTTCTCGACGATGAGGACGGCGACGACGACGACGATGGGCTTCAGCAGTCCGGACCCGCCGAGGCTGCCATAGAAGAAATCACCACTTTCGGTGGCAGCAGCAACAGCGCTACCACCAAATCCACCTCACAGTCCACACCGGCACTCGGTCTCACCAAAACTAAGCCCAAAGGCATCCCGGCACGACCTCACGACAATGACGAAGCGCGACAAGATCTGTCTGCCCTGCGCGCCGCTGAGAATCGAGTCAAAGATGCCGAAAAGGCGGACTCGTCCATTTTCGACTACGACTCCTTCCACGATGCCAAGACATCGGTGACAGAAGCCAAAAAAGCTGCTTTGAAAGAGGATGCCATCGCGCGGAAACCAAAGTACATCAACAACTTGCTTGAGTCGGCTTCGAGACGGAAACAGGACCAGCAGATCGCACGGGAGAAATTGTTACAGAAAGAACGAGAGGCCGAGGGAGATGAGTTCGCCGACAAGGAGAAGTTTGTCACGAGTGCATACAAGGCTCAACAAGAGGAAACGAGGAAGTTGGAGGAGGAAGAGAAAAGGAAGGCCGAGGAGGAGGAGAAGAGGAGAGGAAATAAGCTGGTGGGAGGCATGGCTGGATTTTATCGAACCATGATGGACCAGTCCGAGAGGCAGCACCAGGAAGCTGTCGAGGCCGCTGAGAAAGCTGAAAGAGAGGGCGTAAAAATCGCTGATGAAGATAGGAAGAAGACGGATGCTGAGTTGGCGGAAGAAGCCAAGGCAAGAGGCAAGAACATCCACGTCAATGAGGAAGGTCAGATCACAGACAAGCGGGAACTGCTGTCTGCTGGACTCAATATCGTTCCATCTGGGAAAGGCTCGGATAAGAGAGCTGCAGACCATTTGAAGAGCTCCAATCGCCCTGCGCAGTCCGCTTTTCCAACCAGGAAACACGATGCCCAGCAGGCAACGAGAGAGCGACAGAGTAAGCTGATGGAAGAGCAGCTTGCTGAACGACTGAAGAGGCAACGAGAAGAGGAAGAAGAAGAGCGAGCCAAGCTAGAGCGGGCTGCAAAGTCAACTAAGACGGCGACGGATGTCAATGATGCAAAAGCACGATATCTGGCAAGAAAGGCGGCCAAGGAGAAGGAGAAGGCTGGAGGCTGAGCTTCGCCATGAGTTGTGCGTCGAACTACGGAAGTCTTCAATCGCCGGACGATTCTCGTCGAGTTACCAAGGTAGGATGCCCACTTTCGGCAGCATCGTTTCCTTCTTACTCCCTTCCCCCACAATATACTCCGGGCGGAGGACGGCAAGCTGGGCTCCTGCACCTTGATCAGCTTGTATCATTTTTGATGCCCAAGATTGAAGAGACTTGCCCTCGCGCGGTCTCGTAGCACTCACTTCATACCTTCGATTGCGCTCGTAACTGTTCGCGTTGTCTTTTGCGTGGCCGTGCTGACATTCTCTAGCGCTTTTCTGCTTGCACTAGGGCATTTCCACGATCGCTCGGACCATGTGACGAGAGTATCTCGAAAAAGCTCATTCGCACGGGTGGGCACTGATCCCTACGATCACGCGCTCGCTTCTGCATCCTACCGGGACCTTTCAGCACACTTTGCAACGTGGAACAACAAGCACTACATCTCGCGAGCAAGGAATTACAAAGTGTTTAACACTTTCAGATCAGACAAGGCCTGTTCTGGGCGTGTGAAAGGATGGACATAGCGATCCATCAAAGCAGCCACAGGATCTTACAGTGCTGCAAGTGCCGACTGCTTCGGCGACATCTAGAACGCCATGTTTTCTTACAATGCATCGACTGCTTTCCGCTCTTCGGCGATGCGAAAGAATGAGATGACAATAGAGATTGAACATTGTGTTCACAAGTATATTTCCCGAGACCCATCACACCATGGACCAAACCAAAATAGGGACCCATTGGCTACAAGGTAGAACTTCCCCGCGCGACCATTGGAGAGCCATTTCCCGCTTGACCAGGAATGGATTTGGACTTAAACACCCATATGGAATGTCGGACCCGGGAGATGACGATGAAGATCACTCAGACGTGGTCAAAAAGCGGATTCCCCTACACGAGCTCGCGAATCGGGAGTCGCTTTCCACCCTCCTGGGATACTGACCAGCGCGCAGAAATCATCCGCCGCTTGCGGTCGCCTCCGCGTGATGATATAGACCGTCAGCACAGCATGGTGGCATTGGAAATGACGACAATGTCTGACTTTGGAGATATTCTGACTTTGGAGATCACTTTTCAAAGTGATATCATGAACCCTGTCAATGTATCACGACCTACCGCATTTTCTGGATGTGGCCGATTTGCAGCCACCGTGGACGTCGCGCAAATGGCTAGGCTCGATGTCGGCAGGTATTTGTCGAAGGACACGAGCAATTTTGTATTGGCACATAGCCCTCTGCAGATACATGTATTGACGATGCGATGGCTGAGTACCGCGCGGTATGTGACCGTAGATTCTAGCGACTAAAGTTATCAGTGGCTCGGCTTGGTACGGACTGTTGTACACGATCATGCACCAATCCCGTGACACGAGCGCGACCTCATCTGTCTAGAAGAGGAAGAGCCTTGTGGGCCGCATCTGTTCTCCGTCTTCACTCTCCGCTTACACAGACAAGTCAGGAACAAGTATTCAATCAAGCCTTCCAAGCCTGCGCATATCCGTGCAGTTTGTCAATCAAGACTGGGCCCCAAGCCCCAATCTCCCTGTTGATCATCTCCTCGAAAACTCTCGTTGCATCAGTCTCGCTGACGTCCAGCTTGAATCTCTCTTCCACTTTCCTCACAGCCTGATCACCGAACACAGCCAGGCCGGGAATGCCCGCATCCTGCATCAAGGAGAAGAGATTCAATATGAGAGAACTCTGCCTCCTCAGAGTTGTATATGCCGTAAAACAATACGACTTGAAAGACTCGAATTGGCTTTCTTGTTCATTGTTGGAGCCTCCCATACCTTCAATCATCTCTCGAGAAAGTTTCATGAGGGGGGCCATGGGTTTGGGATCGCGTCCGAGAATGTAGCCAAAGTCAATGTGAAGGAAGTGCCCATCTCCAGTGAGGAGAAGGTTGTCGAGGTGGCGGTCTCCAACTCCTAGAAGGTAGGTGACGACGCAATACCCAGCGACGGATTTAACGTAGTTGTCCATGGCATCTTTCCGGACGCCGAGAATTGATTGCGAAGAAGATCTGGGAGGATTGTGAGCTTTCAGGTAGCCGAGGATTGAATTGTTATATTTGGGATTTGTCAGTATAGCGGATATAGGCGTAGATGCAATAAACTGCACAGCGCCTGCTAGACGTGATGTAGCCAGTGTTCGATATGGCGTGAGTTTGAGGTCTAGATTCTCTTTGCGAAGGAGTCGGTCCATGAGGGCGATGATTTGGATGACAAGTTGATCTTGACGTAGGTCGTCTCCGGATTTGAACATGAAGGGATATACCTCTCCGGTGTCGGTCTTGACGTTGAGCAGAAGAGGCAGCAAAGAAGACTTGAAGACATTGCAGTTATCGGGAATGATGCCAACGGCCTTGATTTCTGGATCGAGTGGCAGCGGCAATGGAGGATCCAAATGGAGAAGCTCGTTCCTGGGGTCTGCGAGCATCTTCTTCAGATGTTCGATCTTCCTCAACCGGTCTCCTTTCTGTGACTGCACGTCTTTGCTGATCTTACTGAGGACGGTGATGAATTCCCCTTGTCGCAAGAGCACTCGTCGTCGCGCCTTACCCTCTGCTGTCGTTTCGAGCTCCTTTTGAAAGTCGAAGCTCACACGTGCAAAGAGCTTCTTGTTTGCAGAAGATTGGGCCTGCTCGTCTCCCAGATCCAATTCCACCATGAGATACCAATGTAGGAAATTGCCGAGCTTTAGATTAGCCGCTGATCGTGCAATCAATAAGGATGCGAGCGACGAGTCGCTCTCGTCTTGTTCTCGGGAATGTTGTGGTTCGAACTTCAACGCTTGTACAAGCTGTAATAGGTAGAGCAACAACTCCTCGTCATCAGCTTTGCGTAGCCGATCCACGGCATACGCGCGGACAGTGGGATTTCGTACGCCGGGGCCGAGGAGTTCAAGGGCATCATCGATGTCAATCTCGACCCATTTGGGCAGCAATGCAATGGCCTGCTTGCTCTCGGCCGGCTCGTTCCAATTCACCGACTTGACGAGTTTCGTGAGTGCTCGCTTGTCCCGCGTGAGATGATGTCTGAAGCGCCAGACCTCGTCCTTCTCTTTGTCGCTCAGGTCGACAGTAGGGCCGTACATCATGACACGATTGAGGAAATCGCGCATCTTCGGATTCGGCCTCAGATCACGATCTAGAGCGTGCTGCTGGCCTCGAACAAGTCGTCGATGCTTTGTTTCGGCCGGATTGTCAGCGTAGCCTACCTCCGGATCGTAGATTCCGATCAATCTCCCGCCTCCATCTGTATCATTCAGTCCATCGGAGTGGATTCCTGGGCCTAGTTGCACTTCAGGTGGTGGCTTGAAGTTGACACCGGGGGTACTGAGCGGGTGTGGCGCCGGTATGGATGAGACGGGCGGAGGCGGGTATTCATGATCGGTAAATACAATAGGGTGGTCAAATCGAGGAAACTCAATGTAGAGGAAGAACGTGCCGTCCACGTGGTCCGGATCGCCGTCTGCACACTGCATCTCTGAGTGTTCGCCACTTGTATCACCGTTGACTGGCAACGCAGGACGTCTTGACTTGATAGAGTCTTTGATCTGCTGCCTCTCCAGCTTCTCGACCTGGCGGAAGACCATTTGATCGAGCCACCGACTCTCGGATATCTCGCCCATTTCATGCTTCTTCATCAGAGAGACTAAGCGTTCCAACTCGGCGTCTCGCCGACTCAGTTTCTCATCGACCACGATCGGCTCTGCGGGCTGGTTGCGGCGGCCTCGCTTGCGTGGCTCGTCGAAGCGGGTAGTGGTGTCGGAGAAGCCATCGGCAGCCTTGTGCCTCCAGATCTTGCACTTCTGCCGGCCAGTTCGAAGAGTGGCATCGTCGTCGAAGAGGGGAATGGTGGTTCCCCCAAACGGAATGTGATGGCTCTTGTCTCCACCGCTCGGGTTGATGGGCGACAGATCCCAGAGGGTGATGGCGAGCTGTGTATTGGCAGGCAGACTGCTGTAGTCAATGGGCAGAGACAGCCACTGGTTCCAGACGCGACCGTTGCGAAAGTGCTTGTAAGGCGTCTGGGCGGGGACGGTCAGCGGCTTGGAGTCGGCAAAAGGCGTGACGGTGATGTAGAGCTCGGAGTTGGCGGTGAGGTTGCTGCCGCGGTGGCGCAGATCGGGTCGCTTGAGCAGCGTCGAGTAGGGCAGAGGCTTCTCGTACCCTTCCAGCCGGTTTCTGCACGCTCCATCAATTAATTCAAGTACTTGGACGGGCTGTCCCTTGGATTGGCGGCCATAGATCAACCCACACCTTGACGCCGACGGGCATGTGCAGCTCGGACGAGCTCGCAAAGGTGAACGGCTCCATGATGGGCCAAGCAGGTGTATACCTGGAGGTTGTCGGTAGGCGAGGAGGATCAGGTACGGGAAGAGAAGAGCTGGAGTGATTAAAGGTGATGTTGGCCAGAAGGGAAGCTCTGACGTGACCCGTGACAGGTCCTGACAGCCCGCGACAGGCACGCCTCGTCTTCAGTCGCGTCAAGCTTTACAAGGATGCGCGCGCGACACAATCTGAATACATGTAAGGTACCTGAGTAACTGGCGAGTAACTGAGTTCTACAATCTGCTGTACATCCTGTCCAAGCCGTATCCTCATTTGCGACAACCCCGTTGCCCTCGCACGACGACAACCGCGCCCTCCACCACTGCACTCCGCGCATATCGCTAGAAACACACACCTCCACGACACATTTTCTCATGGTCGCGCCATGGCTCGATTGAACACCAGACCGTCGAGCGTCCGCGGATCTCGCGCTGCTACAAGTGTCAGTCCTTCACCAACGCCGGAACAGGAGAATCGCGATCCTGCTACGCGCCGCGACAAGGGCAAAGGACGCGCTTCGACAGCCTCTAGAACGAGTCTGCCGACGCCAACTTCAGACACGTCTGGCGCGTCAACAGGGCAGAAGAGGAAGCGAGCGCGAACGCAAGCAGGCGCAACACAAGAGGCGGACATTCCAGAAGACCAGGACCCAGACGACGCAAAGTTCACGCGTTATTATGACCCCAATCAGAATGCAGACCAGCGCAGGCAGGTCAAGCGCAAGTCGCGTGCTATGATACGCGAGCTGCACGGTCGGTCGCGCATTCAGATTGGCTGGCTGAGCAGTGTCTAATCGATTCGAGTAGAAAACCGCGATGAATTGATGCGAGGTAATGGCGACGGCCTCAAGGCGAAGCTCGATGAAGCCAACCAGAATTTCAAGCGCGTCAAGCAGACTGCGGATGCAACAATGGACGCAAGATTACTCGTCGATCTGTCAGCTATGGCAAAGACACGCGCTGCAAGTATGATCCTTGGTGACACTAGTGCTGGTCTGGACGTGGACATGTTCCTGAGCCGCTGCGTATACTACATGAAACATCTCCACGCGTACGGGTTAGCGGAGGATGAGGCGGACTTTCAGGCTACGCAAAGACAGACGCAGACTCAACGGCGCAGACGGGACCACGATGAGGAAGAGGAGGATGATGATGATAATCCAGAAGATCTGAGCTGGGAAGTATTGGGTCGATATGCTTGTTTTCCCTACAACTCACGGCCTGCATGTCCTTCATTTTTGCTTGGACCCCTTTCTGTCGAGAAAAAAGTTCGCGTGCAGACGCAACGACGGGCCAGACAGACGCAGAACACTGGGCCCGCGAAAAGTGTCGAAAGGATCCACAAAGAGGACATGTCAGCAGCTGATCCGAATGCTTTGACGACACAATGTAATGCGATCTACAAGCATCTACAGAGCCATTGTACCAAAGCCCGAAAAGCTGCTGAGCGGATTGAAGCAGAGGAAGGTCCGATGGACGAGGATCGTATTGCAGCTTTCTGCCGCGAGTACAAGGTTACCAAGAACGCTTCGCCGTCACTATTTGAGTATGTCATCAATCCCGACAGCTTTGGACAAACGGTCGAGAACCTCTTCTACGTGTCCTTTTTGATCAAGGAAGGCAATGCTGGTGTGCAAAAAGACGAACAGGGATTGCCCACGTTAGGTGTGTATCCGGTCTTGCCCGCGTAACCGATTTCACGACTGACGATGACTTGTAGTACCCAGTCAGGCACGGTCAGTCGAACAACAACGCGCCGAGAAGACAACGAAGAATCAGTCCATTTTTTCACTCGACTATGCGACGTGGGAGAAGCTTGTTGAGGCCTTTGATATCACAGAGTCGATGATACCGCATCGCAATGAAGATCAGCCCACACAAGTGACCGGAAACGGCTGGTATGGTTAGCTTACCAATGAGCTACTGCTTCAGCTTCTATTCCAGCATGCGTTGCAGTGCTACTGCATCATACGATCTTTCTATATCACGAAAGCACAGTAGCATACTCGTGTCCATACCATCCGTCGAGCAAGTAAGTCATGGTTAGGTAACATCCAGAACACCTTTCCTTCCGTGACCCTAACCCACGCCTTCTACTGACTTGCTGTGTCAAAGTGAGCATCATATACGATATGGCATTCGGGGTGTTCATCAATCACAATTATGACCCCTGCCGGGGTAGCTCAATCGGTAGAGCGTGTGGCTCTTAGGTGCAACGCAAGTTGATCAAAGACAACGCAAGTTGGTCAAAGATAGCGCAAGTTGGTCAAAGACTACACAGGTTGCCCGGTCAAATGACAACGCAAGCTGATCAAAGACAACGCAAGTTGGTCAAAGACAACGCAAGTTGACCAGAGACAACCTCAAGGTCGTGGGTGTACGTATTCCATCATCTGGACACTGTTCATGAACAGTAAGGTATGGTCTCAGTTGCTGACATCTCATTAGTCGAGCCCGTAAGTACATTCGAATGCTGCGCCTTCTAGCATACAAATCTGACTGTTAGCCAGCACCTTCGGCTATTCCTATACAAATATCTTTTTGAGGGATTTTCTCTTTTTTCCTCTTTTTTTCTTCTTCATTTTTGAACCATTGTGGAGGTGGTGACGTATGCGCAGCCTCTTTCCATTCCAATTACATGTACTTCCCCCTGCGCAGAAAAGTCCTCGACTCTACCCCCGAAATGGTCGCGACTCTTCTTGGACCTATACAATATACCTATAGTCTCTTCTTGAGATCTGCGATCCTTTGCATCTTGGTGCTTGAACTGAGGTTTATGTAAAAGGTGGCGCCACAACGCCACAGCGGAACGACAAGCGCACTGAAGATGTCTCGTTTCGGAAAACCGACATCTCGAACGCATCCCTGTGGGCGATGATTCGAATCCAGCGGCTGCCACATGCGATGCGTTACAGCCTCTCCCATATGACTCTGCAGGTAACTGGCCAGGATTCGTTGCTCACAGACAGACCTTGCTTGGTCCTTTTCGACCCGTCTTCGAAACGAACGCGCCATCTGGACCTTTGGGCCTCTATAGGGCGGAATACTTGATAACCTGCGCAGAAACAACGATCCGCAGACGGGACAGTTAGGAGCCGAGTATGAGTGCCTCGTTTCCAAAGAGCGGCGGCCCCAGATGCGAATACAGATGTTACACAGTGTGTGACCACATCGTATAAGTCTTTCTGGACTCCGCAAAAGACATGATTGGCATACTAGGCTCTTGAGAGTTTGCTGATAGATTGCGCTCTCTATAGGCTGGCTCGTTGAAAGCTTTCTGCAGTGCTCCTAGTCGAAGCTCAGACTGATATACATGGTTTCAGATCTAGACCGCTATACATTCAGGATCACGGTCGCATAGCGTAGGGTTGGAAAATCCGCCCTACTTTGCAAGACTGCGCAGTACTGTAGTATCTCCAGACATCACCGCCAGACTACGTGTATGTGAATTGAATGTAATGTGTGCGCCGCAACGTCGTGTCAACCGAGCGATTGCCGTATGCAGTCTTGACGACGTGGATAGCATCGCGCAGCAATCAATCTTCACGCTCCTACTGTGGCCAGTACCTACAAGTGTGCCCGTGTATACCTATTAGCTTTCCTTTCTTCCATGATATAGAGGACAGCGATTCAGAATAAGCGAATGAAGTTAATAACAAGCATTAGTAGTCTACCTCTCGGAGAGATATTTCAGACTTTTCAGTATATCGTCCTTGGCACTTGCCTCGTCGCTTGCTTAGTCAGTTGCAGATATGATTCCTCCCTAGTTCCAACTTCCATCTTTTCTTTTCTCTCCCTCGGCACAACAGGCAAAGCCTTCTCTCTTCCAACTTGGGGCACAAGTGGAACAACATTGTGGCCATTGCCCAGTCGTGCAGCATCGGCTCAGGGAAGCCGAGATTGATATTGAACCGCCAGAGGATTCTCAGGAAGCCAGCCAGGCCGAGCAAGGACAAGATCTTTACTACCTGGTATAACCAGTGCACCAATAAAACCAGTCCCAAGACTAAGCTCGAAGTTCCTCAAGCCTCATCAAGCCTTATTCTGGCCACATAGCCGTGAATTTCCTAGTCTGGACTCTGCAGGAAAAATATCTCTTCTGGGGTTGTTATCGTGCAGGCCACCACTATTTTAGCCAGCACAAGGCCACAAGCCGACCCCCGGAAGATGCCCTGGCTCCAAATGGGTCTCGAAATAGCGGATTGCCCACAGCACTACCTTGAAGCCTGCGCAGAGTGAGCGCATAGTCTTGGTCAAATGAATTCTCGAGAGAAACAAACGTGCCGTACTCTACGTGCAGCTTCCCGCCTGGCCTTGCCGTGCTTTGCGTTGTGAGAATTGGACTAACTTTCTCGTTGTTGTTATACCGCAATCTAGGCCACTCCGATTGCGCCCAAGGTTGCACTTCTCTCTGCCCGGCCTCCCTGTGCCTACTGTACTCGGCACTTATATCTATCAGGAGCGCATATCGTGCAATGATGTGGTGCATTACTGCCACGGAAGGATTCTTCTCGCTGCCCACCCCCGCCCCCCACGCTCGTACACCAGGTCTGTCGATCGATTGTCCTTTTCTACGCGCAATATGCATCTATCAACTTTCCTCTCGACGACCTCCCTGTTCGCCCTAGGCGTGAGAGCACAAGTCCTTGGTCCAGCTATAGGGGATAGTGCTGCAGCTGCAGTCGGCACTCCAGTCAAACGACGCCACAATTTTGGCGCGAGATTTGCATGCTCAGCGGCTCGTTCTCTCGAACTCGTTGGCTGCAGCACGGTAGGGCATTACTACACTGCCTGTGTCCTTGTGGTCGAATTCAAATACAATCGATGCAGGCAGCGCGCGTCCAACGATATCTCGAATACTTCGGAGGAAGGCCATAGCTGCCCTGACTCCTGTCAACCAGCGTTCGAGACTTGTGCTAAGATATGCGTAAGCTCTCACCCTCCCCCCTCCCTACCCTACTCTACTACTAGTAACCCATGTGCTAACGTACATATGCAAATAGGATGCTGGTACGGAATTGGAAAAAGTGAAGTCGTGCTTTGGGGATTGTGTGAGCTACCTCCTACGTGGCTATAAAGTTATGCTCAATCCTCGGCTAAACAATCTATGACACTAGTGCTCAGCGACAGAGAAATGTTGCGGTATTGCTTAGGGTTACTGTCCAGTAACGAGCATACACCAATATAGCAGATGGCTCGAATTCGTCGTCTACGAGGACTAGGACCAGGACCAGGACGAGGCGAGCGAGCGGTAACAAGAAAATTACTGCGCAGGACGATCTGAAGAACTTCACCGCCAAGCTCTACACCGTACACGAATTGAAAATAATGTGTAACTCGGTACATGTATGTATCGGATCCATATACCTCTAGGCTTCAAGCTGTGCAATCCCCGATTTCTCAACTACTCGGCCCGAGCACAGGAATACAGTAACGCTTCCACAATGACGTGTCAGCAAGCGATTGCCATAGTCTTGACTTGGCATCGCGCATCGATCTCTGCGTTTCTACAGTGAAAAGTGCAAAACAGGTGTTCTTGAGAGTGACTCGGTACGGAGTTGGAGAGTGCAAGCAAGGGCTCTCATTGGATTTCGAGATGCCCCCCAGACTTGATCCTCAGTTAAGGTAGTGCAGAACTGCAGATGCACAACCAACACTCATGGATCTTGCTACCCGGCTGCTTGTGAAGAAGCCAATTTTGCATTGGACCGGCCAGACCTGCCGGTCAATGCTGTTCACGCCAGGGTTTCCTCGCACACCTCCAAGGGGAGGCCACACCATGATCGTCATCGCATCCATTGTACACATTACTACCTAGGTTAAATGGCTCCAACTACACACGAACAACATCGTTGTTGTTGACGCTCGTGGTTGGAATGCCCATCGCAAAGGCCGAACAACAAAAACACAATGCCCACGCACGGCATGGTCTCGCTGCTACTACACATTGTAGGAGCATGGAGTATTCCCATGCCATACGATGTACCTTCCGCAGAAAATCACATCCCTACGAATGCTTGCGATCTGCCATTATCACTGATCCCTCCCGGCTCTTCCTCTTCTCTATCTCCATCTCCCCATGACGGTCGAGCCAACTTCACCCAACTCATTCACCACCCCAACCCCGAGCTCGGGCTCTTCTCCCAAGCCTTCTTATGGAACAACACATTCTGGAGACCAGGAGCACCCATCGTGCTATTCCTCGCAGGAGAGACTTCCATCGATCATTATGGCATATTTTCCCGCCCCGAATTTTCCACCGTGGGCGTCATTGCCCAACACCTCGGTGCGGCAACGATTGTTCTCGAGCATCGCTATTTCGGCTCCAGCCTTCCCTTTCGAAACTTTACAAAGGCACATTTGCAGTATTTGACGGTGGATAATGCGCTCAAGGATGTGGTGCGGTTTGCGGAAAATTTTGTTGCGCCGTGGACGGATCGTCCTACTACTGCACAGGATGTGCCGTGGATTTTGATCGGTATGTTGCCCTGGAGAGAGAGAGAGAGGGAGAGATCTGGTCGCTGTGAAATTGTTTTGCTCAAAAGCCGAAATTGATATTTATTTATTTATTTATTTATATCTTTTCCATCAGGCGGCAGCTACTCAGCAGCACAGACAGGCTGGATCGCAAACATCATGCCCGGCACTTTCTGGGCATATCTCTCATCCTCACCAATTCTGCAAGCAATCCCCTCATACTGGGCCTACTTTTTACCTCTAATAGAGCATGGTGATCAGAACTGTCTAAAATTATTAAGCAACATCACCCAATTCATCGACGATATAATCGAATCCGGGGACGAAGAGAGTCTCCAGACCATCAAGAAACTCTTCGGACTGGCCGAGATGAAGACGTCCGATTTTCTATACAATCTCAGCTTTCACTGGAGTGACTGGGGTAGTATCGACCTCGGCCAAAATTACACAACGATTCAAACCTATTGCACTTGGATTGTCGAAGGCTCAGAACACGAACAAGAATTCGAAGAAACATACCAAAAATTATTCCCCGTATACAATTCAAAACATAATTTCAACAATCAATCCCTCGCACCCCGAGCAGACTGGTCTCTCCAATCCGAGCAAACCCTTCGAGCTCTCCAGACATATGCCGCAAATTTTCGAAAACATTTAGCTCCCTGGTTATGTATCGACGGAACTTGCTTAGACGACACATATGCGCAACTGCGCGAGCCACTTGGAGTCGGAGAGATGTACGAATGGCTGCTCTGTAATGATATGATGGGTGGATTTGTAACTGGCACGCCGCCCTCGGCTCCCTTTTCTATCGTCAGTCGTTTTCTGACCTATGACTACTTCTCTACGAGATGCGCCATTGTAAATTCTACCACCTCAGAATCATCATCACCATCACCCTCATCCGGCCACCACACCGCCTCCTCCTTCAACAACTACACAGGCGGCTGGACCCCCACGCGTGCACGCCGCATCATCTACACAGCAGGCGAAATGGACGTGTGGCGAGAAATTTCGGTATCGGCAAAACTTCGCCCTGGAGGGCCGCTGCAGAGTGATTTCGAAAGGGATGTTGTGGTACATTTGGTTCAGAAGGGTTGGCATCATAGTGAATTGTATACGAGGAATACGGAGTTGGATGAGGATGTGAGGTGGGTGAGGGATCGGGAGGTGGAGAAGATTTGTGCGTGGGTGAGGCAGTGGGCGGGATATCAGGTGATATGATTTATTGGTAGTTTTGGGGAAGTGGTGATGCGATCATGTGATATGATTTATTGGTAGTTTTGGGGAAGTGGTGATGCGATCATGTGATATATAGCTGCTGCTACTACCTACTACTAAAGAACGACTGATAGGAGATACAGAGAGACGTTGGAACTCCCTCCTTCCAACTACTTCTCCGCGCGATCGTTATCCTCCTCCGGGACCATATCGTGATCGATATCATCCTCCTCCAAGACCATATCGTGATCGATATCCTCATCATCCTCAGAGACCATATCGTGATCGATATCCTCCCACTCCGAGGCCATATCGTGCTCATGATCTTCCTCCTCCTCCAAAACCATACCTCGCAGCAAACCCGTCAAAGACCGAAGAAGATGTGGCAGCGTAGAAGAAGAAGAAGAAGAAGAAGAAGAAGAAGAAGAAGAAGAAGAAGAAGAAGAAACACCATCCCCAGACCCTCTCACTCCCACCCCCTCAACACCATCCCTTCCATCTCCATCCCCCCCAGCATCCAATCGCAAACTTTCCATCCAGCCAACAAGTTGTGGCAGTATAGAAGAAGAAGAAGAAGAAGAAGAAGAAGAAGAAGAAGAAGAAGAAGAAAAAGAAGAACCCCCATCCCTCCCATCTCCTTCCTCAACCCCACCATCCAACCTCAAACTTTCCATCCAACCAACAATCCCATCATCATCTTCCATCCCCCAACAATCCACCTTCCTCCTCCTAAAATCGGCCAGCAAAGAAGAAATAATTTCACATACCGGACAAAAAATTCTCAAAAGATAAATCTCTCGTCGATATTTCTTGCATATCATGCTGGTTTGCGAGGGATAGAGAATGTAAATGCATCGGTTCAAGGGACATGTGACGTAGCGGATATATTCGGGCGAGGGTTTTAGGTCTTCTCCGTTTATTCTTGTTGTTAAATGATCCCCCGTAGTATCCTCCGGAGAGTGTGGATTTGAGAAATTATTCCCGTGCTGGGTGTCGAGATGGCGGTGGAGTTCGGAATTGCTGTGGGCTATGTAGGGACATTGTTGAGAGGTGTTGGTGTCGATTTCACCGCAGATGACTCCTGCGCGGCGAGACATTTTTTTTTGTTTGGGTTTGGTGATTTTGTTTGGGGTTGGTGGTTTTGATTTGGTTGGTAATGCTGATTTGGCTGATAATGCCGATTTGGTTGGTAATGCCGATTTGGCTGGTAGTGCTGATTTGATTGTTTGTTAAACTTGGAAAAAAAGCAGAGATACTTCTTCTTCTTCTTCTCCTTCTTCTTATACATCTCGTACTTCTTCGGTCAACGGGTCCCTAGTAGTCTGAACTCAACCACCTTCAGGGCTACGCAACACACAACTACTGCTACGCGCCTATACAGCAGCCTACACAGCAAGTAAATGAGTCTTGAACTTCAACGACTGGCTCAGCGGTCGTATCTCTAAAAGCATCAGCAAGCGCCTGTTTCGGGAATCACCATCCTGCTTGCTTGCTTGTCAATAGGCAGGCACCACTTGTCTGTCTTCTGAGTACCAAACATCGAGAGTACGGAGGCGGCACGGATCTAGCTTACTCGCTTGTAAGAATAGAGTCGATACAGCTGTTCTGCCTCCTCCCTCTACACACACACACTCTCTCTTGACGCCGGGCGCGAGGAGGCGAGATAAGGAGGTCTTCTAGAGGTTCAAGAGTATGCTCAAATAACCAGCTGGCTGGCTGGCTGTGCCGTATCGAAGCGCCCCAATTTGCTGCTGAAACCGTGCGGCGAGGTAGTGCCTGATCGATCATAGTGCACACGCAACTCCCCGTATGAGAACTCGTTTACTTACTCTGGATCAGACGCCTACCGCTGCGGCGCTGTGAATGTTGTCCGTAAGGGCTCGACGTAAGTGTGTAGGGCAGTAAGCGCAAGCCCTGACATCGCTTCTGAGCCGGGAAGCATTATAGACGGTCGGATTCTGTACTGTGGTTTATAGGTTGATCTTGTTTGTATGTTTGTATGTGTGTGTGTGTGTGTGTCGAATACAGATACAGTGCTTGATGCTGCAGTCGTAAGTTCTAGGAGGCAGGAGGTACTGTACTACGCACTCGTCTAGTCTTGGCATGTAGTCCAGCAGCTTAGTAATGAAGTAATGACTGCGTATGAATCTTGGCACCTGTTAAGCATTCTCGATAACCTAGATAATCTTTTGGGTCCCTTTGCTAGGTAGATTGTATCGACTACTCGACTATCTCGATCTATCGGCCTTTTAGCAAAGAAGAAAGCAGCCTAGGTAGAGTAGCTTATAGTCAAGAATTGACTGGCTCTAGGTACGTACTGTGCATAAAGCATGAACCTTTCCTGCTACCCTGACCTGTATAGGGTTCAGTGCAGTATAGCGAACAACTTACAATATCAGCCTTTTGATGACTCTTACTATCCATCTCTCGGTGCCCCCGACGTGCTTGCGTAGGTATTGAGCGATAACGCATATTCCTCAACATTGCCGCGATCGAGAAAATAGGATCATCAGACACTACGAGGCAGGTGATGTCTTCTAGCGCTACTCTTCTCTGTACAACTAGAGCGGGACACCATACGGCTAGCGCGGAACATACCTACTGTAGTTCTTCAAGTGTCAGGTATGGCTGTAAATGTATAGCGGTAGCCGATAAAGCGAGCGACGCCTTTGCGCTAGGAGGTACGGAGGGGAGGGAGGTATAACATACCAACAACAGTCTTGACGATGATCTCTGCTTACAGGAATGTCATACTCAGTAAGGCCAATAGAGACCGTTTGCGCACGCTGCTGTTGCTTCGGATCCTCCCCTTCCCTTGATGACCCTTGATAAAAGACCCAATTCTCCGCAAAGTGTACAAAGGTGGATGGGATGGAATATCGGCTCGATTTCGCACCGGCGCTTCTGTGACCTGTCAGCCTGCTAGGGCCCTGCCCTTTTTATACCCTTGGGGATAATCCGAGAGGTACCCATGAGGATATCGAGAGGCTAGTAATGACTAGGAGGTATTTGGACCGGGTGTATGTGTGTGTGTATGTGTGATGAAAGCCCGATGTGTCCGGTCGGATACAGACTGTATCGGGGCCGTGTGATAGAAAACGCCTTCGTGGGCGTTGGACACATGGCAATGATGGCATTCAATACTGACATCATGCAGGAGGTATATCCCCCAGACGTCGTTCCGGAGTCTTCCATTTCGCATTCCCTCTTATACATTATATCATTGATGATGAATATACAATAGACAGGCTGTAATGCACTCTTACGCCATGTCTCTTGTTGAGTCTGCCACTCTGCATCCCTCGATCGTCACTCTTTCTTCCTCCTCTTCGGAGCATGGCGTACTAGGATGGTGCTTTAGCTTGCTGCCCATTGTCTGGGACTCTGGGGGTGGCATGTGTGCATGTCTAAAACTATCCAGTTCTAGACCTTCCCTTAGTACCTTGGTATACACAAGGTGGTATATATATGACCCGCCCCCTCTGCCTAGTCAATCGTCCCGCCCCGCATTCACTATCAATCACTACTCTTACTACCTTCACCAAAAAGAGCCTTCTAGAGTCATCATATCATTAGACTTAGATACTTACTCCCACCACCACCACCACCACCTTTACGCTGGACCAACTACATCTCAAGTTGCCTTACCACCACGAACGACCACCATAAAAACCCCAAGCCAAAAGGAACAACAACAACAAAAAAAATGCCTTTTTCCTTCCCCACCCGTCGAACTTCCACCCAAAGCGATTCTAGCGCCAAATCCAACTCCTCCTCTCGCTGCTCCTCCATCGACGAAACTCTTCTCGCGACGACTTTACCTATTGCCCCGCGCGAAGACAATTATGCTATTTCGGAACAGATTCGTCAGAAGAGATTGTTGGTGAAGTGTAAGAGGTTGGAGACGGATGGACCACTTTGTTATAAGAGTGTGAAGCAGGAGCTGCGGCAGGAGCAGGAGCAGGGTAGTACAGCGAGAAGGTGATTGAATGGGGTGGTGTGAGAAGAGAAGAGGATGTGAACGCTGCTCTCAAAGTTTGGGGAGGGGAGGGGTAGCGGGGTTTCGTTGCGTGGTTGGAGGAGGGAGGGAACTTTCTCTCTTTCTATCTCTCTGTCTGCCTACCTAGCGGCTTTGAAGGGACCTCGAGTTATGGAAAGTCGTGAGAGGAGGATACATCATCATCATCATCATCATCATCATTACGGGGTCTGATAAACACGGGTTTCCTCTTCAACGGACGGACGGACAATGCACAAAAAGCAAAAAGCATTCTTTCCCCTACAAACATTTTTAACAGACTCGAGAAGAGATTCTCAAGTCGAGTCAGTCAAGTAATAGAAAGAGGAGAGGGAAACCGGCTTATCGACCTAGATAAGATGTCGAGGAGGAGGAGGAGGAGGAGGAGGAGGAGGAGGAGGAGGAGAAGCAGGAGAAAGAGTCCGCGGAATGCTTTGCAGCTAGGGGAGGATTTTCTGACTTTCAGACCGGGGGGTTGCCCAATAATATTGCGAGGAGGAAAGAGAGGAAAAGGAAGAGAGAGATTTGCAAGAGGAGTTCAGAACCAAGAGGAGAGAGATTTTTGCGCTTTGCAAAAAAAGGATAGATAGGTTGCTAGGTACCTAAGGAGTATCATAAGGGCCAAATGTATGTTGGCAAATCTTGCTCAGATTGTACTCTTCCTGTTAGTTTCACTCAGGCATAGGTAGATGATATTGAAAAGGGATTTAGTTTTTTGCACCTAGCCTACCTCTACCTTACCCAAATCCCTCTTGTATACGTGTACGTGTAGTTTCTTTTTCCGCTTTCTCTTTCTCTCTGTCTACAGACTAAAAGTCGTACCTGTACCTCCTACGATCCGATCTTACCTGACCTACCTACTCCTACGTCAGACGCTATATCCTCAATACAGGTCAAGTTTCCGTTTCTTAATGCAGCTGCTATACCTTCTTGTATGTAATACCTAACTGTATTAAGTGCCAAGTACATAGCAAGTGATCATTATCATCATAAAACTGCAAACTATACCTTAACTTTAAATTTCCAGGTTGTCACATTTGCTTAGGTACCTAGGTAGGTTGTTATCGTGATATGAGTGTATAATCGGTATGAAGGTATCTACATACCTACATGTACCTACCTGTATGTACCTACCTACCTACCTACCTACCTACTGGTAGAATCGCTTATCAGTACATGTATCTGATAAGAATCATCAAGTCCCAAGGAGTGCCAACCTAACCCGTCAACATGCACATACTCATCAAGATGCTACATTCGGGAAAAGTATACGTGTAGGTGCTGCAGACTTACCTAGGACTAGGAACTACCACATAATGAGCTTCTGGTGATATGATAACAACCCCCACGGTCCCACCTACCTCTTACCTGCAGGTATACATGCTGCTGCGTTGATTTGAGAGAGAATGTGAAATCTTTCACCTACCTTACGTGTACATACATGTACCTTGGACTTCTGCCTCGTCTTTTTTTTCTTTTCTTTCGGAGAGGTAGACTGGCCTATATTTACCTAGGTAGGTATCTTGGACCACTGGTATTCAATTGTGCTTGCATGATCGCGTGGGATATCATTCCGTCAACAAAAAAAAAACAAACTTCAAAACTTTGAGTTCCAAAAACACTTGTACTCGTGATCGTGGCCCATCTTTTTTTTCGGTACTCATGACGAACTGTTGTTCCTTATTATACCAGAGGTATCTAATAAAAAGGTATCCCAAGGTCATGCGCCTAAAAGTCGCCCCTCGAGATTGATTTTGCGGTGTGCATGCTCATCCAAAAAGCTTCTTATTACGATATAATCGCAGGAGCCGACATTAGCGTCATCTCGTGAAGATCGATCCCGCTAGACCGTCTGGGTGGATGCTATTGCAAGCCAGATCGACGAGATCCGCAGCTCACGGGAGGGTCTGTAGACATATTTCGCGCATAGGTGGTGTTGTCTTGCGGATTCGTCGGCCGAAGCTCGTCAAGGTATATGCTCGATTGAGAGCATATCCATATCCTTCTCCTGCTAGAAGTCTTCTATCCCTAGCAAGATGCGAAATCTCACATGCGACTTCCGTGGGCATGTAGAAAAGAGAACTCACTCCCCTTCTACCCTCCAGGGCAGACATTATTAGAGACTGGTTCTGAATATCCCAATGGTGGTCTTGCCTCGCGACATTTACCATCAAGCATCATGATGTGCGCCATTCGTCCCATTCGTCCCATTTGTTTCCACCTCACCAGCCCCAAATTTCGCTTCCGTAAGACGCTTCAGTAAACCCGCCACATCTCTCGCATTCTCATCAGTCTCCCGCTGCGCTCTACTCTCGCCCAGCGTATTGAGCTGTCCAAACAGCCACATCTCCTGCATTTGGCGAATGATGGTTTGGACATCTTCTGCGGCGCGAATCTAGCAAAAAGGGGAAAAGGAAAACAAAAACAAAACTTGTCAGTCCACGGTGCCACACAGAAAACGGTTTGGAAGAAGCTTCAGCTTCATCAGGAAAAAGGAAAAAGGAAAAAGGAAAAAGGATCGCACACCAGAGCTGCCGTCTCTGCTTGAATTTGATATTGCGTGACTGCCGAAACGCCGCGAGTGTCGTGTTTGACCTGGACCGTCCAGTGTCAGCGAGAAAATCAGATGAGGCTGGGATGAGAAAGAACTGACTTCTGCGAGATTCACGAGGTTCGTGAAGCGTCTGAGGAGGTTCGCTTGCAGTGCACCGAGCTCGTCGTGCAGGCCTTTCGCATTCCGAAGACTGGCGTCCATTGCGGGTGTGGGTGTGAGAGACGGATCAAGAAGCGTGTTCACGCATGACAAGGAGGATGGAAGCCTCAGTGTGTGGGTTGCTGTTTAGGTATTCAACTGTCTCCCATGAAGTGGATGTCTCAAAGTGGTCTCGCGTGATGGCAGTCGCGTTGTTCAAAGTCGTCGCCAAGACATCGAAGCACAGACGGTCAAGACAGAAGATGCACATGGCGAGGTAATACTATAATACCAGATACTGTACTTAAACATGCACATATATCGAAGTTGAGGCGGAGAAAATCATAATCATCACTACCGTCTGCGGTCTGAGTGTAGTACGCATATCTGTATAAAAGCAAGTTTTTTTAGGCCCAGCGATTCCGCCGAGGAGTGGAGTTTACATTCTGATTGCAACGCAACAATAGCGAACGTGTGTCCATGCAACAATTCACAGGCGAGGTCTCCTTTCTACTCCTCGTCAGACTCTTCCTCATCCGACTCCGCGTTCTCAAGCCACTCGAGGAACTTCTCGGCACTCTTGCGGACCTTGCGAGAAGTCTGCAAGTCCACGTACTTCTTGCTGGCCTTGCCGCACCAGGCCTTGAGGTTCTCCTCAGTAGCCAAGTCATTCTCGTAAACCTTGAGCAGAATGGCACTGACTGATGGGATGAGATTCGGCTTGTCAATACCGACGAACCGCTCAATACCACCCAGGAAAGCCTTCTCGTGGCGGTCAGAGGTGATCATCTTCTTCAGCATAGCGGCACGGGTGTCGATCTGCTTCACAATACTGTCGTCAAAGATACACTGTGCCAGAACAGCAGGAGTGCGGTGCTTGGACTCGATGCCAAGCTCCTTCGCCTTGAGGTAAATGTCGACGTCTTTGACCTTGGTAATACCGCCCTCCTCCTCAGCCTTCGACTCGATCCACTTGCCAAACTCCTCGAACGCATTGTCTCCGCCTTCGGCGTCATCGCCGTTCTCGATGACCAATGTGTTCTTCAGATCCTCTGGCAATGCCTGGGCACGCGCCTTGACGGCAGCCTCGGACATATCAACAGACCACTCGACCTCCTTCTCCTTGATTTCAGCGAGTTCCTTGGCCTCGGCATTGATTCTCCTGGTAAGATCATCGTCGCTGGCGTTGCCCTCGTCTTCAACCTCGTCCTCAACAGGGTCGGAGCCACTGTCGCCAGGACTGCCATCCTTCTCAAGAGTACCATTCCTCTCGGCTTCCTTGCGCGCCTTGCGATCTGCCTTTTTGGTAGACTTGTCCTTTTTGCCCTTCTTTGGCGCATCCTTGAGTATGTATCCCGAGAGCTTGTTGCGCAGATCGGCCTTGCTGATCTTGCCACACGCCTTGCAGTCGAAAAGAATCTCGCCATCCTTGATATTGACCACAGTCTCCGGGTTCTTGCATTCCTTGCACAGCACGAACTTGTTGATGAAACCGTCCAGATAATCCTGCAGCTTGCTAGCCTCGTGGGCGCCATTGATGATCCAGCGATCATCCTTGGGGTCGACGTTGGTCTGGGCGCCAAGCTCGAAGCCGAAGTATTTGATCACATAGTTTGGTGGACGAGCGAGCTGATATGCGACTTGGCTCAGGTTCACAATGACGGTTTTGATGCCGTTGCCTTTGCCTTCCACCTTGGACTGGATTTTCTCCATCTTGTAGCGGTAGAAGGGGTCAGCGACATCGCGACGGATGTTGACGTTGGCCATGACTGCGGTAGTGGGTGGCTGAATTTGGTGGGAGAAGTAGTGTGGCGGGATCGGTCGAGTTTACAGGGCGAAAGGCCGACGAGACATGCAGTAGACAGAAGCCAGCGTGTGCTGCCGCTGTCGTATGTTGCAGGGAATGGCCGTGGTGAAAGACGTGATGTCGGAGGTGGTGTTCAAGTCTCAGACAGCAGGTCTTAGACAGAGAGTCAACCGTTATTACGTTCGTGTCCGCTACTACGGGGTCTTCGCGTTATGCGGAATGGTTGCTGCACAGGCGGCGGTTCGACTTGAAAGGCGTTCGCGTGGGACGAATACATAAACCCTGTGCTCTGCTCGGGACGATGAGTCGGGGTTGATAAGAATCCTTTCGGAGGGAGGGTATGGTGATGGCGGCGGATGGTGGGCGGCGTGGCGTGGCCTCTTTGCGGTGTGGAAGTTTGTGATTGCTGGAAGCGCGTGCTGCTAATGGCTGCGGTACCGACGCAGGTGCGGATGAAGGCGGCAGGCGGTGGTGGTGGTGTTGGGTGGTGTCGATGCTGGAGGGAGAAAGGACGAGGAGGTGGAAGCGGAACAGAATATGAACCGCCGCCTCTGGCCGCACTAGGAGAATCTGGTCTGCACGTGTCTCTCGGGTAGGCTGCCGGTTTCCTGGCCGTCACGTGATAGCACCACCGGACAGCGACATCGACATCAGCTGGCCATATATGCTGCATCACATCAGTCGCACCGAATCAGTCATTTCCTTGGTTCTGGTATAATCAATGCCACCGCTGTGCAGGAGTTGAGCATATTTTTGTGATTCAGTCGTCGTCTGTGCTTCCAAGCTTCATCATCGAATCCAGGGTGCACATGAGCACGGGCACAAGACATATCTCGTATAACTATCACGATAACGTGGAATATACGCATGGTAGGTCCATGGATGATGGACGTGCGGAGGAGAGTCCATTGCTGGGATACTACTCTGTGATGCTTGCTTGTTCATCCCGACGGGCAATGCTCAATAGTAACAGCCGCCACTTTTGAACTTCACGATTCCGACAACGGAAGAACAACCCCTCCAAAACCTCCGAAAACTCCACCACCTCATCTAATAGCACAAACAGGCAGCGAATACCGTCATGGCGCCCCCAGAAGTCAACTATGCTCTATACTTGGTGACAGACTCTACACCTGCGATACTAGGAGACAAGGATCTGGTAGCTGTGGTCAAAGCGGCAGTCGATGGAGGTGAAGCACATCAAATTGATCCGGAAAATGCTCTTCTTACACATGATCAGGCGCCACCATTGTGCAGTATCGCGACAAGACGTCAGATACCGCAGACCTCGTGCGGATAGCTGCGCAGCTTCATCAAGTCACCAAGGCAGCTCGCGTGCCTTTGCTGATCAATGACCGGGTCGACGTGGCTCTTGCGGTGGGCGTGGAAGGTGTGCACATTGGCCAGGATGACATTGACCTGAAGTCTGCTCGCAGACTTCTTGGACCTCATGCCATCATTGGAGTGACCGCGAATAGCGAGGAAGAGGCCATCGCCGCCGCCAGAGATGGTGCAGACTATCTTGGCATCGGAACCGTCTTTGCAACACCTACCAAAGAGAACACGAAGTCGATCATCGGGACCGCTGGAGTTCAGCTCATCCTCGCCTCGCTCGCCGAGAAAGGTCTTGACGTCAAGACTGTCTGCATTGGCGGCATCAACGCATCAAACGCCCAGCGCGTCCTGTACCAGACAGCTTCGAAAAACAAGAACCTTGATGGAGTTGCCGTCGTGAGCGCGATAATGGGAGTTGCAGATGCGAAGGAGGCTGCCTTGAAGCTGCGAGATCTGATTGAGACACCACCACCGTTCGTCGTCAGTAGCACGAAGAGGCCATTATCCTCGGACGACGTGATTGCGAGAGCTCCAGACCTCGTGCAACGCCTGGCTGGGCGAAAGCCACTATGCCATAATATGACTAACCTTGTAGTCCAGAACTTTGCAGCGAATGTGGCACTTGCAATTGGAGCTTCGCCCATCATGTCCAACAATGGTCTGGAAGCTCCCGATCTTGCCGGCCTAGGTGGTGCTCTTGTCATCAACATGGGTACAGTGACGCCCGAAATGAGAGACAACTATCTGAAGGCATTGTCGGCCTACAATGCTTTGGGAGGACCTGTACTGTATGATCCAGTGGGCGCTGGTGCAACGCAGCAACGCCGAGATGGAGTCAAGACGCTGCTGGCTGGAGGCTACTTCACTGTGATCAAAGGGAATGAAGGCGAGATTCGTACAGTCGCTGGCGCCACCGGCTTTCAGCAGCATGGCGTGGACTCCGGAGCCTCACAGTTATCTTTGGATGAGAGGATACACCTGGTCAAAGCCACAGCTGCGAGAGAACACAATGTTGTTCTCATGACCGGCTCAACCGACGTCATCTCGGACGGCGAGCGAAGTCTCGCAATCAGTAATGGACACCCATTCCTCGGCGAGATAACTGGAAGTGGATGTACTCTAGGCACCACGATAGCAAGTTTTCTTGCAATCGAGCGAGAAGATCCTCTACTGGCCGCAGTCACGGCGATTCTCATGTACGAGATCGCCGCCGAACGAGCTGCCGTAAGAGACGACGTCAAGGGTCCGGGGACGTTCGTGCCGGCTTTCATCGATGAGCTGTACAGGATACGACAAGAGAGCGTAGGAGGTAATGGTTTGTGGTCTCAGACAGCAAAGATAGCAATCATTTAGAACAATAAGCCTGAATAAGGTAATTACCTATTTAATTGATTCTCCAATTATCCAAAAGCTCGTCCCGTCTTGGCAGCGGTGTTATTTCACCGTTTAACCTCGCCGCACCCTTGTCCAGAACTCGACGCGATTGATGAACACCAACATTGATTTATTTTACTAACGACTGCACACGCACATCATGGCAGAAGTGTATGATGATCGCACCGAGTCCAATAATGCGTCCACTGACAGACGGCGCAGCATCGCATCCGCAGTCGCACTCCCCGATTCCGAGGACGTTGTCAAGCGTGCCACGAGTAATGGCATGAAGCGGCGACAATCCGACGTGGCAGACGACATCGATGGTAGCAGCAAGAGACAGCGCACAAGTCCGGGTAAGACATCACCGCGATCGAGATCAAGATCAGCAGCAAAAGAAGGGGGAGAAGTCGCGTCCTCAGCAGCGCGAGCACGATCCACCTCTCCAACCGAGTCGAAGAACGGCAGCGCTTCCAAGCCGGAGACATCAGCAGAGAAAGATCGCGAAGGTGGCGGTCGCAGAAAGAACACGGTGGTCAAGGCGCCAGACGAAAAGCAGCGCAGTAAGCGCCTGTTTGGCGCACTTCTAGGGAACTTGAACCGGCCCAGTGATAGGACATCGAAGAGACGCGCGGAAATCGAGCAACGGAAGAAAGCTGAGCTTCAGAAGCAGGATGACGAACGCCTCGAGGATCGCCAGAGGAGGCTCGAGCGGCTGGCCATCCAGCGGAAGAACGAACAACTTGAGGTAGACGAGCGAGATGTGGGTGCCCCAGCTGCATGAAATATACGGAGAGGAGTCACTGACTTTTTGACCAGATGCACATCCGGCACAAGCACATGCTGAGTACTGCAAACTTTTTGCAGACTAAAGCCACCCCGAAGCTGGTATGTAGAAGTGATTACACGATCTCAAGGAACACCCAGCTGATGAATGCAGTACTATCGACCTTGGGATCTCCTTGATGACGAAGAAGATCTCATCGAGCGACAGTTGAAGGAAGCCCAAGCGCAAATAGATCGAGAGCTTATCGAGTGGGAGACCGAGAAGTGCAGACGATTGGGCATCACCAAAGACCTTCTTAATATGGCCCCATCCACTTCTGCTCCGTGCCAAGCCCGACAGGATACAAACGACAAAGTCGGGAACAGCACATCACCTCATGAGGCATTTGAGGATGCTGCGATAGCGAAGAGTGGTTCCAACAAGGACGAGGAGATGGCGGCGAAAAACACTAATATCCAGCCCGAGCAGGAATCTACCACTAATGACGAAATTTCCGATCGACCAGTTGAAGGGCCCGAGTGTCTAGCAGCTTCGCCTCACAATCCTAACAGCGTGGTTGATGGAGGCGCAGCAAAACAAGTCAGTACGTCAGGAGAAGTCGAGACGAAAGAATCAGAGAAGCAGCGAAAGACCGAGGTAAATAACGGCACATCCGTCGATCGCGAAGAGACAGAGACGACTCCCAGTTGCGGAACGAGAGCCGCCCTTGATGGCGATGCAAAGGACGAGAAAGACGAGCTTGACGATGATGGTGACCACGTGGTGAAGGGCGATGAAGACGATGTAATTTATTGAGGTACTGGGATACATGCTCTGAGTATGGCATCCCTGCCATACTGCCACAGAATGCCTTGGTTTGGTGTGGTTTGAGTTGCAGTCATACATACATACCTACCATGTGCAGGTAAACGGGGCACTACTACAAGCGCATCGCCAGCTTTGGTGATGGGAGATTTCGGAGGAAGAAAAGCCGCAGATGATGATGATGACGATGATGCAGAGGTGGGCGCGCCAGATACGTCACAAAACAAAGTACCGTATATTCGATATTGACCAGAATAAAGCCAGAACCCGATCCAAGATGGGTAGGTATTATTGAAATATACAAAAGATTTCCCATTCCATGTTATCCAGAAAAGCCTATCTGAACTACATAGGTACCTATCTTACCTACCCAGTAGATCTATTACCGGCTTCGAACACGTCGTCCTTAAGACTCAAAATGGGAAGCAGGAAACATATGATATAGGTATCCCTATAAATCTGCCTAAGGTAGGTACTAGCCCTTTTTCGACTAGTGCAACTGCTGTTATAACTACCTACTACTATTCCTACTGAATTTCTAGTTTATTTGTTTTCACTCGACTAGGTTCCTACCTACCTATATGCGAGGGAGCGATCTTCTTGAGGTAGTTATTGTCTTTTCGAGGCAGTCTGATACTCTTAGCAGAAATTAATAGATAGACAACGAACGATACTGGGCGCTAGACATTATCGGATATGGATAAATCGAAGAACGCCCCTAAGCTCGCGAAGCACGTTCTTAAGCTCTAGTAGTACGAGTGCCGAGATTAGTAGGGTAGAGTGAGGTAAGGTAAAGGTACGGTAAGGTAATACTACCTATCAACATCTCAATACGTCTTCTCAAAGACTCTTTTTGCCAAACCCGCAAAGTCCAAGTTTTCTTTTTCGTCCACAATCTCCCACAAGTTGGGCTGCGTAAACACAGCAAGCGTGTTTCGCGCAATCTTCCTCTCCTGGCCATCGTCTCCCACGACACCAGCGGGTCCGCGGACAAAATGCGGTACAGCTCGGAATTTGCCTCTGGTAATTAGCTGCAAGGCCTCGCCGGTTTGGAACGCGAGACAATCTCGTGGAATGTGGACTTGAGTGGTTCGACCAGCTCGGTCTTTGATCCAGAGTCCGGCTTTGGGATCCGGATGGTGGTCCAGTTCGGGAAGATTTGCCAGTCGTCCATCTGGCGCTCGCGCGGCGTCTGGTGCTGTAGGCGAGGACATGGATTCGTCGATAAACATATTACTGGTCAGACCGGTCAAAGCTCCCAGATCTGAATGTGTGCCACACCAATCATCATCGCCCTTTTCTGCGGAACCTGGTGCTTTTGGTGGAGGAGGAAAGTAGTGCAAGAGTCTTGCTTTGGTGCTCACACTCCCTCTGACAATGTTCTCGAGCGTACCATCTCGGTAGTCCTCGAGCTTTGCTACGCCATATCGGTCACAGCTTCTAGCTACTAAGCCAGCTACATCGACGATCAAGCGACAGAGCTTTTCGAAGAGTGCTTCGAATCCAGGCAACACATCCTCGCTTGGCCATACGTTGGGGCTCGTCATGTCTGGAATGTGCGGAAACAGTTCTCGTGCCTTGGCTTCTGGCTTTCCGTCTGCTGAGTGGATGGGTTGAACGTAGTAGGAACCTTTAAAGGTATCGAATTGGCCATTGTCGAGCTTTTCTTTACCGCAAGACCAGCCGACGTTGTAGCGTGCTGCAGGGATTTCGACCTTTTCTGAAATGAGACAAAGTCAGCTTCTAGGTAGTCAGTGAACGACCACTGAAGATGCAAGTCTCGAAATACAGTAATTATGATCTAAGCATCAGCCGAGCCTCTTGCAGATTCCGACGTGATCTGCCATATGTGAAGTCACCTTTACAAGGTCTATGATCATGATCATGATCATCAACACCAACACCAACACCACCAACACCACCACCAACTCCTCCTCCTCATAAAAACTCACCTAATTCCTCCCTCGGCAAGTTCGCCAAGTAACTAGCATAACTCAACAACGACCTTCTCAAACCCACAAACTCCTCGGGTAAATCTCGCACGAGGATGATGCCCAAACTGTCTGCCCCAAACGCTTGCTCGAGAGTATCGAGCGAGACGGTGCCATTCTGGAGTTCTTGGAGAGATACCGAGACCGCGCTTGGGGGTCGGCTGGGTGGAGCAAGAGAGCCCATTGTTGAGATGAATGCTGTGTATTCTGGTGGCGGGACGAGAATGAGCCAAGGGAGAACGTGGATTTCGAAAAAGGTCTGGGGAATCGAGGGTGAGAAGGAACTTGGAAAGGAGAAATGATTTGGTGTGTGTGTGAGAGAGAGAGAGAGAGAGATGTGAAGTGACAAACCATGTATGCCTGTTATCGGAGATGACCGAGAATGCCAAGAATATAACTGCCTTCCCATTTGGGCGCTGCAATTGAAAATAAAGCTGTACATTGAGAATACCTTATAATAGCTTTCTCAATCTGTCCGTCCATAAAATAGTGGCCGACAGACAGATGATGATAACAGCAAGTAGAGCCTCGATAAAGACGCCACAAAACGCGAATCCCAGAATCCATTCAGACCTCCCAGCCCAGCCGTGGCGTTCAGGGGTGCTTACTGCGCACCAAAACACCTACGCTAAGTCCCATTTGCCCATTTCGTATCATCGCGACGAACCAAACAAAATTCAGAGGTTTTCTTTTTCTTTTTTTTTCACTTCTTCTCGGCAACTCCATTTGCGGCACGCCGCTCATCTCCAAAGCAGAGCATTCTAACCTCGCAATCCTCACTTCCACTCGCAACTCTACTGTCTGACAACCATGAGCACGTAATGGGTCCCTGATGGCCAGTAAAGGTCCTGTCACATTTGCCGGTGCGCGGGTCCCAGACTTTCATCATCTTATCCTCACTGCCCGAGATGAGTCTGAGGTGGTCGGCTGACAATGCCCAGATGCCTTCCACGTGTCCAAAGAACGTGCGAATGCACGCCTGAGCGCGGGGAAAGTGAGAATTGGTGAGCGGATCCGTAGGAAGGATAGAAGAGCCGACTTGACCACAATCCGACGTACCCTCCTGCCCAAAACCTGCGGTCTTGAAGTGAGTGTCCCACAGACGAATGGTCGAGTCTAAAGCGCCAGTGATCATGTATCGCGGTGGTGCTGCTCTGTCCTCATCATGTGGCCAGAACTGGGGGGCTGCGTCCAGGTTGTGATGATTGTGTTCTCTATGCGAAGGAGCAATGGTAACGGAACTGATACTACTAGTATCGTCATCCTTGTCGTTCGGAGTAAGAACAATATCGTCCAGGTTGAACTCTGGTGGCATAGGCACCACTTGCTGCACTTGGCCGACGTGACCGGTGAATTCTCGAATACACTGTCTGCTATCCAGATCCCATATGCGGACGGTGAGATCGTCGGATGCGGAGAAGAGCGTGCGAGAGGCGTCGTCAATCTTCACGCTGTTCACCCAATCCTGGTGGCCTCGGAGCAAAAATGTTTGGCCAGTGGTCAAGTCCCAGACACGGATATTCTTATCCTGAGACCCTGAAGCCTGGTATCTTTGTGTGAAATTCACAGTGATGACTCCGGCATCATGTGCTTGCCATGTCTTGAGCAGCTTTCCTTCCCTCCAGTTCCATATCTTGACGGTCGAGTCGAGACTGCCGGTGACGAGTCTGTCTCCGCTGAATTGCAGCGCGCGAATGCCGGCGGTGTGGCCAGTGAGAGTTCGAATGACTTCTCCGGTGTCAATGTCCCAAATCTTCACAGTCGTGTCGTATGAACCCGTGATCAAGACATTATCTTCAAATTGCAGGCACATGACTCCATTGGTGTGGCCCTTGAAGACCTTGGTGGTACATCGTCCGTTCTTCCACGCGGTGCTCACCTTGAAGCGGTCCTTGTACACATCTTTCCAAGGTCGCTTGCGAGGTGCAAAGTATGCATCGTTGCCTTCGACACCGACGGGGACACTCTCTTGCGACGATATGGAACAATGTCGTTTGGCAAGCTCCGGTGAGATACTGGCAGCGCCTTCACGTGAGCGCTTCAAGCCACGACTGCTGCTCGCCTCTCCGTCGAGCATCTCCGGCGGACCCATGGTCAGTGATTCGAAGTCCTCGGGAATGGGAGTGATGTTGGGTGACCACTGATTCAGTCCTCTACCCGTAGCCCTCAACTGTATCTGTCTCTTTTCGATTCTCAATCTTTTCCTCTCTAGCAGAGGCAGACCCCAGCCACACTTGTTGCACTTTCTGTCAATGTGCTGCTCACACATCTTGTGCCACACGACGTCGTCATCCGCCAAGGTCCTCCATCGTTGGCTCACCTGGGCGGCCTTGCAGAGCGAAGTGGTGTCCAGGTAGCACAAGATCTTAAAGCCTAGCTCAGCTGGAAGGGCCGAGAGGAAGTCAATCTTGATGAGATCGCGGATGTTGGCGGAGATGAAGGAGAGCTGAGGAAAGCAGCACTGGGTGAGAATGCCCTGCAGCATGAGTTTGCGATGCTTGGCAGGCGCAGCAGAGAAGGAAGACCAGACTTGGGAGATGACTTGCTGGTCCATCTGTGGCAGACCGGACAGCTCGTCCTGCAACTGCTCCATGGACGTCTCGTTTGCTTGACGGCGGCACTTGATGTCCGGGTGGTGTCGGTAGCAGAATTTGGTGTTTGGTCTCTGTTCTTCCGCGTCGTGCTCGTGGTGGTGGTGGTGGTCTTTGTGAGAGTGCGAGGCACTGCTGTCAGCGATGGGGGGGTTGTAGGAGGCGGGAATGTGTTCGTGGAGGAAGGTGGACAGGTTCATGTCGGCGTGCTTGTTCGGGGGGTGCTGCAACTTGCGACTGCTTTCGTGATCGTGGTGGCCGTGGCCGTGACCATGGTCACATTCGTGCCGTTCTTCGGCCATCACGACAGATTCCGCCATGAGGCGTGATGGGGGAAGGTGCTGGGTCTCATCCAACCGCTACCAGGGTTCGAGTAGGTAGTCTCTGGAGAGGTGTGCCGCAGTGGCGCAGGGACGGAGAGTTCGGAGATGTGCGCTCAGTGTTGAATGCGCTGTAGGGTAATGTCAGGTAAGTACTAGGTAGAAGTACAGCTACATGTAGCTAGGTACGCAGCCACTCGTCGTCTTCAAGTCGGCGGGCAGAAGCAAATACCTACGTGCTACCTTCGTTATCTTACACAGACACACGTATGCACTCGCGCACACAAAGAAGCAATAAAAGAAGGTCGTTGGCGCGGATGAGCCGGTGCGAAACAGGGAAGAGGAAGGTCGCGGCCGTGGCAGTTGGTGAAGTAAGGTAGCTGTAGTGTGCACCAGTGGGATGAGGTGTGTTGGTGGAGGAAGGCGTGATGAGTAAGTAAGGCACGTGTAGTACCTTAGTAGCTAGTGTGGCGACACTTTTTTTGTTGCTTGTGCCATTCGGGATGGCGATGAGGTGCTCACTGCTCCCGTCTGGCGCGAGAAAGACGTCCGAGCGGCAGCTCACGCCATCACAAAAGTCACAACCACCAACAACTTCCGCTAACTTCTTTGTGCTCTTCCATTCTATTGGACGCCGCTCTGGTCTCTCTTACTGCTTGGCTCAGGCACGAATTGAGGCAACGACACTGACATTCTCTGCAGACCTGCCCGTCAATGCGAGTGAGTTCGTTACCTAGTACCTCCTATCGACGCCTGACCGCTACTTCTTCCTATTAATTACCTTACCTTAGGTACGTTACCTTAGTTGCCCTTAACTATATTTGACTTACATTAACTAGAACTCGAACTAGAACTAAGGTAGGTTTGCCTTATGCAACCTTGCAGACCCCGAGCACCTCCGGGCCGGAGCTCGGGATGAGCTGCCGTCGGGTGGCTGAAAGCTTACCTAAGGTAGGTGTAAGCTGAGGTGAACTACCTGTACCAGTAACTGCAACTGCCTTGACTCGTTCACCTTCATTCTGGTCCACATCCCCCATACCTAGGATAGCATGACCAACCACTATCCATCTTATTACAGATCCAATGTTTCTCGCTGATTTTGGAACTGTCTCCGGTCAATTCATCTAAAGTGGAATCGCTGGCAGCGACGAACGTGTCAGCGATATGAGCTCGTCATCTACCACCACATCAGCCGAACATTCTGCGTCGCCATCGCCATCGCCGTCGCCATCACCACCGCAGTCGCCCATCATAGACCAGGCGCCAGGCTTGCAGGATCTGATAACGCATTTTGTGAACGCGAAGAGATCTCTCACCGCCACCAGCCATGTCTATCGTGCTAATGAGCTCGTCACGAATTCCAGGTCGCTCATAGAGGAAATAGCCATCCTCAATGCCAAGAACATTTACGTCAGACGACGCGTGGATGAGCAAGTCGAGACTCTGAGTGCCATCCGAGAAGCCCTGGTGGAAGATGGCAGCCAGGTCTCCAATGAGTTCGATCAAACCATCGCGGACCTGGACAAGGCTCACGCGCGACTGGACAAGACCTTGACCCAGCTGCGAAAGACTATTGTATCTGAGAGGCATCCTTTGTCACGACAGCGTACGAATGACACAATCACAGACGCTTCCACAACTGTAGATGAGGATGAGAACAAGACGCTGTTCGACTTCATTGATGAAGACACCCACGACACTTTGTTGTCTGCTCTGCGTGATCTGATAGACCACTACAACAATGCTCGGGGCGATCTGAACGATAGTCTGTCCACCTTTGACTTGTCCCTCCATTCCATTACCGACAGACTTGCGGAAACCGTGGATGGTGGGGGCACGTCCACACTCTCGCCGGACAAACCCACCATCTACGATAACGGGCCACCGCCTTCCATTCCCCAGCTGTTTCGCGACATGGAAGAACACGCCACAGAAATGGCAGGTCTGCTTGACAACCTAGTCAACCATTATGACCTCTGTGTCCGAGCTCTTCGCTACACCGAAGGCGGTGGCGAGGCCGCACGAGCAGCCACATTAGATATGAAGGACGCCACTCCAGGCGCAGAGGAGAGCTTATACCGCAAGACCGTCGCCGAACCCATCTCCGACCACGAACGAACCGAAATGCTTCACGTTCTCGTCAAAGACGCACATGAAGTGGATGACGTGATCGTGGAGATTCGCGACCGAGCCGCGGAGATGGAAGATCAATATTCCTTGCTTGCGAAACACGCCGCCAAAGTTCAAAGCCAGAGTCATACTAGTAAGCAGGTAGTAGAGAGCATCCGCGAAATCCGCGCTGCCATACCAACTCAACTCGAGGCGGCGGGACATTTCCGTGCCAGATGGGAGGGAATCAGAGTGGAGATTGCAGGCAAGACGAAAGAATTGGCAGAACTCAGCATTTTTTACGAACAGTTTCTGTCGGGCTATGGGAAACTTCTGCGAGAGGTGGAAAGGCGGAAAGTGAGTGATTTGGCCATGAGGAAGATTGCAGACAAGGCTCGCAAAGAGTTGGACCGATTGAGTGAGACTGATCGCCTGGCTAGAGAGGAGTTCATGGAGGATGTCGGTGTCTATCTGCCACGAGATCTGGGAGTCTGGCACGGTTTGGATGACGATGGAATGAGATGGGAAGTCCGACCGGTGTATGATGAGCATGTTGGAGAAGAGGATGCGGGAGCAAGTCAGCCGAGACTGATGGATGGGTCGTGAGTATGTACAGGTAGTTCTCTGCACCTATGGCATCCCCGGCGACAGTGCAGGCGGATGCATACCGTTTTACTTCCCACCCGTGCCCGCATGTTGCGCTTCCTGTCATGTCTGCTACCAGCTTGCTCTAATGTCGTAGCTTGGGTATTGTCCTTTCCAGTCGCATCCTTGCACTACGCCTCAAACGCCATACCCGCTGCTCTCCACTGGCGCAGTGAGCCAGGGTTCACAAAGCCCAGGGAACTCAATCCTCAAGATCAGCTCGATCACGCCCGCTGTCCACAATTCGTGGCACCGTTTCCAGCACGACTGCTCCACTCAAGCACTGTGCGGCTGCCATGCTTTCTGTGGCGTGTATCTCAGTCGTAGCTTGACTTCCACGCAGTCCAGCCAATCCATATTGTCACGCCCTTTTCTTTTTTCTTTTAAACTCCACCGCCTCATCTCCCCTGATCATACTCGTCTCCATACTGCTTATCCCCAATCTGTTGTTTTCCAAAGCCACCCCTTCCAGGATCATATTCCTCACGATACTCATCTCTCACTTGACCCCCACTTCTCCCTCGCCCATACTGTCTGCCCTCGGAAAATCCCTCGTCCAGGTCCGTTCGAATAATTCTCTCGTCTAATTTCGTCCCTCCCACATACTTGAGACAATCCAGCGCGTCTTCGTGCGTGTAGTATTCTACGAAACAGAATCCACACGGTGTCTTTGCGAAGCGATCGAGACCCATGACTAGACGTTTGATCTCTCCGCAGGTGCTGAAGAGGGAGTGGATTTGTTCTTCGGTGGTGTAGAAGGAGAGATTGCCGACGTAGAGGGTGGTCGCGTTTTGGAGCTTTTCTTCGAGGTCGGGAGACGCTGCGCGAGCGGAGCCATCGGTGGGTTCATCGGCCGGGTTGCGCTTACGTTTCTTGTACTGTAGGGAGCATGTGTTAGCGGGTTGAAGTGATGGGTTGTTCGATGATGTAAATGGATAGATGTATGTACCTTGCTCATGGCATAGGAAGACGGCTTGTCGAGACGCTCGACCGTACTGCGCATTTGAAACTGCGACACCATCTTGCCAGAGGAGATTTTGTTGTGCTTGCGAGTGACCTTAAGGTGAGGCAGCTGGAGCTTGGAGGATGAAGTGTGAACGCGCAGCTGTAGGCTAGATTTGATCAAGCCTAGCTCCGGGCGGAGCGGAAACTGCCGTCAGTCGCGTCAAGCTTTCGAAGGTCGCGTTTGGCGGTCCAGCACGTCAGGTGTCAAGTCGGTATTGGCGGGAAGAGAGACAGGTGGAAAGACAACAGCAGGAAGATGCCCCGAGTGTTGCATCGAGCGCCGCGATGGCTGGACTATGGCACGCCCGGCTTCCACTTCTTCCAGGAGAGCAGCGACAGGCAAGCCAGCGACGCTCCGGCTCATGATACGGCATCGCGCCGGATTGCGCATCGCGACAACGAGGTCTTCTATGCGGTGGGCAAAGAGCTGCGTTGGTCCACCATCGACATTCTCAAGGAGGCCAATGAGGGAGGTCCGCCGCCATACAAAGTCCTCGTCACGCCGGTGCCGGCAGACCGACCGATCCAGCAAATCTCCATCTCGCGCGATGGAAGCTTCGTCGCCGTATTGACCACCCACACCTGCCATGTCTGCATCCTCCCGCCCTCCGAGAGCCTCGACTTCTCCGGCCAGCAGAGCCTCAAGCTGAAGTACTTCACCGTCGGCGAGACGGCGCACGTCCGCGAGAATTCCCCTCTGGTCAGCGCCATCTGGCACCCACTGTCACCCTCCGGGACTGGCTTGGTCACCATTACAAAGGATGCCTGCGTGCGGCTGTGGGAGTTGGACCAGGATAATAGAATCTCCTTCAGTCAGCCCACTGTTGCTGTCGATCTCAAGAAGCTGGCCAACGCTACTTCCGCGAAGGACGATTTAGGTGCCAGCAAGTATGGCGCCAACAAAGGCTATTCCGCCGATGATGTGGATATGCTGGTTGCAGGCGCATGCTTTGGCGGTCAAGGCTTGGAGGAAGAAGATGGCTGGTCCAGTATGACCCTCTGGGTTGCCATGACCGAGGGAGATGTCTATGCCCTGTGCCCTTTCTTGCCTACTGATTTCTGGGCTCCCGCTACTTTACTGCCGAGCCTGACTACCAGTGTAGTCGCAAAGGCCACCTTTCTCGCCTACGACGGGGATGCTTCGGATGCGGAGAAGCGCATTTCCCGACAACAGGAAGCCTGGTTGCAGGAGCTGGACGAGCAGGATCCTGTTTGTCCTCCTGGGCACTATGACTTCGAGGTCTACTCCCGACCCAAGAAGCTCAGCCCGATCGCAAAGCTGCAGGGGCCATTTCAACTTTCGCCCGAGCCTCTGGATGGTGAGATCACAGACATACATGTCATTGCGCCCAAGGTCAACCAGGAGGACCTCTTTGAAGACGAGGACTTTGAAGATCTAGCCGTTGGCGAAGGCTTGAGTATTGGCATAGTCTGTCTGGCCACAAGCACCAATCAGGTCCACGTCTGCCTGAACGTGGAAGGTGTCGAGGCTGAGTGGTTGCCTGCGAAGCGTCCCCGTACGTTTCAGATCGAAGAGGCTATATCACATAACTTGCTACTCTTTGAGACCATCGACCTCGCGACAAAGGGTGGTTCCGCTGCAACATATCCTACGTTTACCACATCCCCCGCCGATCGCTATGAGCTCTTCACGACACAACCGTCTGGCATCTATAGCTTGTCCTTCAGGCCATGGATTGCCATTCTTAAGGACGAGCTAGCCGCTTCGGGGGGATCGCACGGCATCGGCTTCCGAGTCGATGTCATCCTGAAAAGCTCTACTACGCTAGTCGAAGACATCACTGGCGACGTCAACGAACCGCTCGAGTATGCCAATGCTGCGATTGTGGTCCTTGATGACGCCGACGCAGAATATATTGCCCTCACTTCAGTTGCCTCTCGACCTCTTGCCGCTGTTCTCGACAAGCCATCCAGCGCTACTCACGGCTTTGAGCCTGACAATCCTTTCCAAAGCAACCCACTTCTCACGCCTGAGGCTCGTACTCCATACATCCCTTCGCCTGTCTTCTTCAAGGCCTCTCGCCTCCCAGCTCAAATTGAAGAATGGCGACGTGCAAGTGCCACAGGCGTAGATCAAGGGAATATCAAAGGTGCCGTGAACTTCTCACCCTATACTCTACAGAAAATCACGGCTGCTCATCAAATTGTGGCGAATGAGACACACGACCTGAACACAGCGGCCGCCGATCTCTTCCGAAGGATGGAGCGCATGCTCAATGAGATGAAGGCACAGATAGATCGTGTGCGCGATCTCTCTAATCGCGTGAACTCTGTCACTGGGGAGGACGAATTCCCGCAGAGTCATAGACCTGGCGATCCGGAATTGGTTCGAGGTGGACGAAACAAAATTCAGAAACGAGTCGAACAGCAGAGGGAGAAAACAAAAGAGATTCAGGATCGTGTAGAGCGGTTGAGAAATAAGATGCGGAATGTCGGCGGCAAAGAGATGTCTTTGAAAGAGAAGCAATTTGCGGAAGAAGTCGACAGGATCCAGCAGACTCTATTGGGCAAGCAGCAGTCTAACCCCACTGGGCCCACGGGTATCTTGGATATGGAGAACAGCAGTCTCACTGCCAGAACTGAAGAGGATGAGGAGCAGAAGAGTCTGGAAGCGAGATTCGAAGACGTGCAGAGGGTGGTCAAGCAACTACAGGCTCAGGCGGAACAGATTCAAAGTGAGAGGGAAAAGAGGGATGAAGAAGCCGCTGTTGCCGACTCGAGACCAACTTCGAGAGCGACCTCCATTACGCAGGGCGCAGATTATCGACAGAGGAAGATGGATCACGTATGGGCATTGCTAGATCGAGAATCCGCGCTTGTGGATGCCGTCAGTGCGAGGCTGGAAGGGCTTCAAATGGGGACGAGGGAGGCGATGCTCTAATGGACAGTATTCCATAGCTCGTCCGAATTGCCTTACTCTATTTCCGCACCCATATCCTCCAGAAATGGGCTGTTCACTCCATAATCCTGGCAACCGACTTTCGTCCCATACATGTACCCGTCATCACTAATTCCATCGCCCCTCATCTACCAAGATCTCGTCTCTTGTCGAACACGCCTCGATTATACTACGGCACGATCGCATCTGCGTCTTGCTCATCGAGATATACATGGTATGCAGTACTACTACCTAGGTAAGTAGCGAACCTGCCTCTACAATCCTTTCGTCCATTACAGGAGGGCTCTTGATTTCCATTTACTATCAACAGGGACAAGACATGGTCGAGCTTATTCGCCGCAGAGAGCAGCAGATATATATGTATATATATAACGTACCTAACCAATCGATCGATCGCTCCATTGCTTGCTTCTTGTTTTTCTTTTTTTTTTTTTTTTTCTTTTTACTGCTGCCATGAGTACGTACCTACATGTACCTTCCCAGGTCCAAGACCTCAGGCGACTGCTGCTGCCGCCGCCTCTTTCCTCCTCAGGAAGAAACGCCGTCTCTTAAAAGCGTGTGTGTCTGCTTCGAAACATCAATGAAACGGCTGCGTAGGTACTTGGCCGGCCATGTTGAAAGAGACAAGAGGCTGTGCAGCTTCGTTAGGTACGAGTCAGCTATAATATAGAACATGCAGGCTGGAATTCTTCCCTTTGCTACATGGTGGATGTGAGCGTTGATGGTGGGCTCGATATTATCGTGTAGTTGCTGCTTGGTACCAGCTACCTGACATTTTGTACATTTGTTGCACGAGAAAGAACCTATCACCTCCAGATCCGTTGTCGTAAGGCACGTATGTGACTCGGACTCGTCAGATCGCGTCGCGTTGCAGGATAGGCTTGGCGCTTCAAAAATTGATCCGAGGTGTTCAGGAGGTACATTACATGCACCTTACCGCCACCCTCCGACAACCCAACGACACAGGCTTCAAATTCGAGCTCGTTGCTCGTACTTTGCCTTCGCCTCCGCCCTGGCCTTGCCGTAATGAAACGCGGTCAGTATGCGACAGCGCTGCCTGATCTGCTCACGCCTCAGATAATCTTCGTTCTGGCTCAGAATGCCCGTGCAGAATGATGGATCACGTATAATCCACCGCAATGATTCAGCTGCTGCTTTCCCTGTTGTACATAATGCCGTATCGAGGCAGCAGTCACATCTCAGGACTCGTGCTCTTGGCCGTATTTTCCTTCAGTCCAGCTTATGAACTCCTCGAACGCCCCGCGGATACTCCTATCCACCATATCTGCTCTTAGAAACCTGGTGGGTTCAATCTCTGGCTCACTCTTGTCCATTTAGGCAGTTTATGCACACCCTTCCTATACCCTCTCACTTTCTTGTCAAAAATGCTGTACTTGTCCCTCGGCAGCATTTCTGCTTCTGTTGGCATTTCAGCCTTCCATCTCTCAAGCAATTTGGTCGTGCCCGTTTCTCTCACGACATCTCTGAGCAGCATTTTCCCCGGTACAGGCACACCGACCGGATTCGCTGCGGGGACCCAATCGCCCAGCTTTGGCCCTTTCCCGTGCCGTCTCTCAGATACTGCCTTGCTTTTCGGCGATGAATTGGCGAGAAGGCGTTGCCCTTCTGCTGTGGTAGAAAGTTCGTCGCTAGTGGCTGTTCCAATGGATTCGGAGAGATCTGGTGTTTCGTTGGCAGAAACCGTCTCTTTCGTTTCGAGCGGCGTCTGAGACAGTAACGCTGTCTGTTTCCGTAGCGCATTATCGAGGACGGCGACCACGTTGTCGACGCGTCGTAATCGTCGCCGTTGTCGCTGTTTTTGAGGCGATGAGAGTCGCCATGGAATTTTCCTAGCACGTTGTCAGTGCGTGGGCAGCATGATCCGGATCAACCAGGGCATACCATAATAACCCAACAGAGAGCTGCGCACTGGGTTTGAACGGGCCGAACATGATGAGGACGCTGATGAGATGTTGAAGGGTTTACAATGCCTGCTGGGAAGTCGTCGAAGAGGAGCCTCAGTCATCATCCTGCCTTGGCATGCTATTCCCTATTCGGGGCACCGTGTGAACAACACCATCCTCCTCTGCTACACTTCACTTCGTAATCTCTTGTTGGCCTTATCCAAGATGTCCTACTATTTCACCATCATCGGCACGCGCGACAATCCTCTCTTCGAGCTGGAATTTGGGACGTCCAAGGTAGGCGGCGATGGCATCGCACGCTTTCGAGAAGAAGCGAAGCATATGAACCAGTTCATTGTGCATGCTGCAATTGATCTCGTCGAAGAGGCACAATGGAGCACCAAAGAGCTGTACGCTAGGCTCTGTCCTATGTGAAGATGTCCACGGCACCTACGATGCTGATTGTACTTTGCCTGCAGCTACTTGAAGAAAGTCGACTCTTTCCAGAACAACCATATACATTGTTTCCTGACAGGGGGGAATGTGAAGTTCATGCTCCTCATGAATCCTGACCCGAGCGCAACGGCATATTCCAACTATCAAGCACCGCCTTCGAGACCGAGCACAGCAAGGCAGAGCACCTTAATCGCCAACAACCCGTCTAGTCAGCAGACGGAAGAAGCTGTGAGGCAGTTTATGACGGAGGTAAGCATGCCGATGGTGTCTCGCTCCCGCCGTTCCCTACTGATTAGGGATAGGTATACGAAGCCTGGATGAAGTGCATCATGAATCCGTTCCACAATGTGAACCAGCCCGTCACCAGTCCCGTGTTTCGAAGCAGAGTTGCGACCGCGGCGAAGAAGTATCTCTGAGCTCTACATGCCATTACTTATCGCATCGGCACACCTACGTCTACTACCTGGCATTTCAATCACCAAGGAGAGCTCCGAGCAACTGAAAGGAGCCTAGAGAGACTTTCGTTCGTCCTGCACTACTCACTAGTAGTGTCTTGAAGAAGTCAAAGCCCTTGAATCGAGAAAATGGTGCTCGTGAAGAAGGCAGTCTGACCGCCTCACACATGCCGGAGAGTGAAGTCAGAGGAAGACTGGACGATGTCAGGAGGTATGGATCCACCGATGTCGACGATCTTTTCTGGTCAGTGGTAGAGTGAAATCCAAAGTCCAGCAAACGAACATTGGTTCGCCCTGCATCGGGGGCGTCTTGGAACAGGGGAAATCAGCAGGTATTGAGAAGCTCAGCTGACCCGCCAACCACGCTCCGTGGATCAAAACAATAAGCCGTAGATCAGGAGGAGGAGATAGTGGGCACTGTATCCACCGCAAGGAAGGACGCGAGAGCCCTTGGAGAACTGCAATCCATCGTGCTCGAATGATGAAGAATGAATGTCTACATGCAATTATATGCGCCAGCATCAAAAAGAGGAGCAGTGGCTCTCTCTCTCTCTCTCTCTCTCTCTCTCTCTCTATTCCATTAACACGGTAATATCACACTTCAACAATAAACCCCCCTCCCCAAACAAAAGCATACCTGGAGTTAGGAACCTACCTCAGATGCCCAATTCAAACCCCTGCGCGCGCCCCAAATCGCCACGAAACATCCTACCTACCTGATCGACTTGGTACATATATATATAGTTTCTAGTTTCTCTCCACTACACAAAAATATACAGGCCCTTCGCTTCTCAACTCAAGAAGGGGCCCTACTACATGTATCTCGTTGGTATAGAGAAAAAATGCTATATATGCTGGCTATATTGAAGTACGATATACGTAGAGGAAAGGTAAGGTAGATAGCCTTTAGATTATCGACTGTTTCAAACGCGATTGAGGATGTCCTCGTTCGATGTCAATGGAAGCATTAGAGAGAAAAAGAATATTCACTATATGTATATATGTATATATGTAACTATATACCGTTTCTAAATACGTTTCTTCCAACATCAAAAATCATCGTTCCCGTGCTCTTTCTCATTCTCATTCTCATCCTCATCCTCTCTATGATAATAAGTACTAGGTAAGCAAGGAACATATATAAATATAACCATCATAATTTTCCTACTTCAACAAAAAATCCACAACCTTCCGCCCCCAGCTCCTGCTCCCCCTATTCCCCGCATCCACACTTTCCACTCTCGTAATATTCCCCCGATCATCCGCAACCAAATTCTCATCCTGCATTTCCGCCGTCGCAATACTCTGTGTATCAGGCAATCTCGGATTGCGAGTACACAATCCAAATAAAATAATAGGCAAGCACAGACACAAGCCCGTGATCGTGAGTAGTTTCTGCGAATGCCGATACCCATCAATAATGGCACTACGCTCGGGCGTGCCAATGGGGTATTCCACCACAGTGACGTATGGGTTCGCGTACATGGCCGCAGTGATTTCGGTGGCGTTGTTGGAGATTTCGGAGAGGGCGTTGAACATGGCATCTTGCAAGGTATTGGTCCAGATGGCGCCGGAGACGGCTCCACCGAAGGAGCCGCCGACGTTATACAGGGCGAGGTAGAGAGCTGTCACGCTGGCGACGTGTTCGTGTTGGGTGGCGGATTGGATGCTGGCGAGGGCAGGGTAGGGAAAGAGGCCGCCTCCGATACCGAGGAGGACTTGGGCGCCGATGAGGCCGGATACGCCTCCGCTTTCGTTGCTTCGGAATCGGATCAGTAGGCCAAAGGAGATGAGGTAGAGGATTGAACCGATAAAGATGAAGGGTTTGAGTCTGCGGACTTTGAGCACTACGAGGCCGCAAATAATTCCTGTAATGGTGGAGCAGAAGTTGAAGAGTGTGCCGATTCGCTGGGCAGAAAGGACAGACTGGCCGAAGGCAATGGTGGAGATGGCATAGAGATAGTCCCCTTGCAGGTACCACGAGAAGTTGATGAAGAGTGCCAGGCACAGCGGACCCCATACGGCACGATCTTTGACGACTGGGACAGGTCAGTAAGTGCAATATCTTTTGCACGGAGACGCTCGCTACTCACGTTTGAAAGGCACCATGGGGTGCGGCGACTTGGTCTGCCACCAGAGGAAGACAGGGAAGAGTAGCACTCCCAGGATCAGTGGCAACAGGATATGGACCTGCACCCAGCTTTGTTGACCGCCCGCAAAGGAAGTGTCGGTGAGCGTGAATGGCACCAAAAGGCACCCCAGTGCAGCGACGATCAGAATGATGCTGATGACGTCGAGTTGCCAAAACAGCGCGACAGCGAGCTTCAGCGGGCCTAGCATCTGATAGGGAGTACGAAAGTTCGACAGGTCGTCGTGCTTCTTTGCGCGGCGGTGTGCCATGAAGAGGGCACCCACCAAGGGGATGGTCAAGGCTGTAGGAATTTCGTTAACCTTGCTGCTCCCTTCTCAACAACAAGCATACGGCTTCTCGTACCTGGGACGATGATTGCCCACATGCCAATGCCCCAACGCCATCCTATGCTGCCACCGGCTCCCGCACCAGTAGGGTCATTCAACGGGTCGACGATTCTGGCTGCGATGTTTCCAGATATCCATGAGTTGATCTGCCCTTCAATCAGCATATTGCACCTGGTGCCATTCACCCAATCTAAACGTGGCAGTGTCTCACCAAATAAGGCATATTTGGAATGAACGAGAAGAACAATCGCGAGCGCAGCGACGTGGTATCAGCGATGATAATCTCGATGAGCAAAGACATCAACGTCCATCCAATTTGAAACAGGACGGCACCAGCGGAGAACTCCCGGACATTGTTAGAGAATGTTTCGAGGACAGTGCCTATGGAACAAGACTTAGCGCACGCTGGAACCTCTCCAAAAAAGGGTCGAGCAAATCATACCGGCGATGTAAAAGACGACCGATAGGATCAGCAGCTCCACACGACCGAAAACATCAGCGATTTTGGCAGCGGTAGGCTGGCCGGCAGCAGCGGCGACACCTCTGATCACGGCGACTGTGGCAAGGAGGGAGTGCTGTCCATAGCTAGCAGTTGCATATGTCTACCAAACGCTGTCAGACTCCGACCGAAGATCTTCATAGCGACCGAGGCGATACAACATACCTGGAAAGTGTATCTCAGAGTGTTGTCAAGGGTATAGGCGTATGCCAAGACGAAGATTGTAATGAATAGCAGTATTCGATCCTTGAATGTGATGTGCTTGGAGATAGCTTCCATGCGCTGGACGCCGGGGCTGGTTTTGCCGATAAGCTTGATGTCTTGAAGGGCATAGGGAGGGGCGGCTTCGTCTCCAGAGGAGGCTTCGCCAGCCTCTGCTCGCTTGAGGTCGCGATCCATATTGATACTCGGGTGTCCTTGCTCCCAATATCCCAATATAGTACGAAAGACGGGTTGCTGATGAAGCTGAGTGGGAAATAGAGTAAAGTCACGATCAGATTAGATGGGAGATGCCCCTAGGATAAATAACGGGTTTCTGCTAGGTAAACTTAGCGAGCAGAACGTCAACAAAGTGTTCTAGTCCAGCCCCATCGGCCCTCCATCGGTCCTCCCTCTCGACTTGAAGTACATAATCCGTGCCAAGTGATCTGATTCCTCGGTCGTCCAAGAGTCGCCAAGTCCAAGTCTAACTGCAAGTAGAAGGCACTAAGCGCAAAAAAGCAACGCTGACTGCGCCGCATCGCTTCGAGGGTGGCTTGGAGTCTTGTTCTCGCGAGGGATTGTTGGGATATACCTCCGTGGAGAATGAGTAGGAGCATTAAAGTTCGAGGGCTGGCCAAAATATCTGATCATTTGATCTGATAAAAAGCCAAGTGAAAAAGCCACCTCTCCGAAGCCGGCAAGCAGTAGCTGATCAAAGCTCCGCGACCGGACCAAAGCTGTGGAATGTACCTATGCTTGAACATCTCTCGTAGATGCTCATGGTTCAAACGTTACTGCAATCCTGACTTGCTATTGTGTCTAGTCAGTTGCAGCTGTATTCTTGATCTGGCTTCTCTTGACATAAGAAGAAGCCAAGAGTAGCCCAGCGAGGTCGAGAGCAGCGAGGTTTAGTAGCACTTTGACGCTGACGATTGATCCAAATTGTTGTTTCCGGCGCGCTGCAAATATTGTGCAGGGTGATATGGACACATACGGATTCAACATTAAAGGCTCGTTGTAGCGCGGGCCTGGCAGTTTCGCAAAACGATCAGACATCTCGTCACATATCTCCAAGCAATGCGAATAGCACAAAGTACCCTCCGACCAGCCCTACGACAGTCCCAGCAAGCAATGCTTCGCCCTGTCCAGTGAGCGTCAGGTATGCGCCAAGGCCAACAATCAGCTCACGGCGTCTGGCCCAAGTGCGTCTGCTCTGCCAGTTGTCGTCAATCTTATAGCGTGAGGAGTCCTTCAATGGGGATACAGTCCCGCGTGGTATTGAAGAGATGAGAGTTACAGGTCGATGGTCGCTCGTAGGCTGGATAGGTAGCGCTTTGTATAATTGCACTTGGGGTGCTGCTTCGGCCAGAAAGAGAATGCGATCACACCAAGACGGCATCCTATGCTTTGCCCAGAGCCATGCCTGTTCCTGCGCGTCAGTCAGCTCCAGACCTGGGAATGCTTCGTCTTTGCTCTTCGCAGCCTCCAGCTTCTGGGCATTCTCTTTTGCGAGCTGCATCGCTTTGGAGCTGTATTTGTAGGTGGGTGGGAAGTCAATGGGCGCTTCTGCTAGGCCATGCAGTGTGCGACCTCCTTGGAGCTCGCGCCTCAACTGATCTGCCTTAAGGAGGTTTCTGTAGTGACTGGGGTCCACGTCTGTAGACATCGGCTGCGGCCATGTTTCGAAATCCTTGGAATCGGGCTGATGGTCTGCAGTGCGATAGTTCAGATCGCCTGCCACGAAGACATATGATGCTGGCGTGAGGATGTCGTGGCGCCCTGACGACTGCTCCATCGTTGTTTCGCTACTACTGGCGAGCAGGCGATCTTGCTCTTCCGTAGAAGACTGCGGCGGCGGCGGCGGCATTCCCTTCCGTCCAGTGGAGTCGATAGGCTCAAAAACCAGCGTCTTGCAGATGTTCCGCCAGTCCTCGTTCCTCCTCTCGTATGCCTCTTCCATCGGTGCCAGGTGAGCAGCCACAAATGTTACCACCGTGTCATCGTCCAAGCCCAGTCTCACACCCACAGCACCTTTGTTACCCATCTCCCACAGGCCCACTCCCACACCAGCCTCTTCGATCCACTGGATGCTGCTCTTGACGCCGCGTCGCGCAAAGACCAGAATGGCCGTCATGCCGGCGTTGCGCGTGAGCACGTGCTCGTAGTCGGCGTCGGTGCCGTACTTCCATTGGGTCGCACGGTATACTGCTTCGGCAAAGCGACTGAAGTATGGTGCAAGCAACGAACCGCCCAAGAAGCTGAAGCCAATGGGTGCGATCTCTTGCAGTGCCAGCACGATGAGGTCGGGAGGGAGCGCGCCGGACTTGAAGGTAGCGTAGAGAGAGGAGGCGAAGTAGTCGATGTGAATGTCTTCACGCCCGGCATTGAATGTGGTGACATGGCAAGTGAGGTCGGCCATGCTTGTGTAGGGACTTTGAGTACAGGCAGGAAATGTACGGCTGTTACTGGCAGACAATCGTTCACACCTGCAGACTGATGTACTTGTAATGTACATACCTGTACCTGTTACATACCTGTACCTGTACCTAGACAACGACTGGAGTTCCACATTAGACCTAGCGACGTCATCAGGAACGCCCAGGTGAGGAACTACAGGTACCTCAGGTAGGTAGCCATCCCATCTTCGACGATGAAGGACCAGCATTTTCCAGGGAAGGGGACATCAGGTACATTTAGGAGGTAGACCGGATAATGATAACGACGGATTTATTCGCATTTACACTCATTACACTCTGTCTACCCGTAGCATACATGTATTCGTAAACGTTACAAGCGTCATGGGATATCATCGCCATAAAGAACCAAAGAACGCATTCCAGCAGGCCACTCACGTCCCACCCTTGACCAATCTCTCATTACTGTCGCTATTCTCATTTCTCCTCTCCCCCTTTTCATGTTACACGCCAACGACATTTCCACGCAAAAGGTTCTGTGACCCTCTGTGCGCCTGCCGTGTGATTTCTTGTCCAGCCACTCTCCATTGACTCTCTGAGAGCACCGCTTCTCGTACGTGCGAGTACATGAAGACGGGGATGCCGAGGGCATTCGGAGGTAACTTTAGATATCCTCTAGAGCTCATCCTTCACCCGCTCGGTCGCAGCGGTGACGGCCGAGCTGACACTGCTGGCGGCTTGCTCCGCGACTGAGCTCGCGGTGCTCACAGCGTCGCTCATAGCACTGCCAGCATCTCCTCCGAACGCTGCGATTTTGCTGCTCGCACTGGCCATGGCCGCACTCAGTTGGCTTTGAACACCTTCCATATATGTCTGCTCCTCTCCATAGATAGCACTGCTCACAGCGGCGCTAGCGGATGAGGCTTGCACAGCAGCCTTGCTCTGTATCGAGGATGCGACAGATGCAGCGGCATTTCCTGCTGCCTCAAGTGTGGGCGTGGGACCACCAAAAATTGCTGCTGAGATAGCAGAGCTAGCAGAGGCACCAATGTTGAGGACCGAGGATTGTGCGACAGCGACATACGGTGCTGGAGTCCCGTATATAGCTTCAGATCCTCGAGACGTAGCATCGCTATACATGCTGGCAGCGGCCTCAGTAGCTTGCTGCGAACTAGTTAGAGTTTTGGTCTTTACGCTGATGCTCACACGGTTACTGACCTGAAGCCTGCCCTTCTCTGTGCCATATGCCTGCACACTAGCCGCATTGACTGCAGCGTTCAACTGCTCCTGGACCTGCTCAAGAATCGTGGGAACCTGTGTTGGTGGGATGAATGCCGCCGAAACGACAGATGAGATAGAATCATAAGAATCACTGGCGTAGCTCGAGACCTGAGATGCCAAGGCTGGAGCGGCTGTGGCGTATGCAGATTGAAGTCTGCTGTACACACTGGCAGTGAAATCAGCTTCTTTCCCAACAATGAGCTCGGAGAAGAGAGCCTGGACTTGTTCAAACTGTGCAGCGGCAGCAGCAGTTGCGTGGGCAGCAGCTTCGGTAACCGATCCAGCATACTCGGTAGCATAACTGTAAGCCTGTGCAGTGAATGGCGGAGGCGCACCGTAGACCTGTTCGCTCGCCTTGGATATGAGAGCTTCCCAATTTTCAGAGGCTTGCGAGGCGAGCGGTTTCTCTGTAGGTACCGGAGCAGCATAAGCAGAGCTAACAGACGTGCTGGCATCTGCGAGCTTGCTTGAAGCCAACGCGACAGCATCTGCCATTTGCTCTTGCAAGTGGGCGAGCGTTCCCTTTTCGACGCCAGTGCTTTGTGCGCTTGCCGCGCTACTAGCCATGTCGAGCAAGGACTCATATTTCGATGATGCTTCAGATGTGTACGCAGTATAAGCACTTCTGGCTGCGCTGAGAGCATCTTCGACCGACTTCTGATACCCCGTGGCAGTTGGGGTCGGAGCGATCACACTAGAAGCGGCATCCATAAACTCAGTGTAACGACCATGCGCCAGACCGAGTGCTTGGTAGTAGGCGGCCTGCGCTGAAGAGATGTATTGCCGGTGGGCAGGTGTTGGCTGAGCACCGACAGCGATCTTTGCTTGCTGATATTGCTCCTGGGCCAAGCTGACACCATCTGCGAGCCGCGATGATGCGACAGAAGATATGCTCTCAAAGTAGTTCTGAGTTGGAAATGCGGAGTAGTATCTGGAACTAGCAGCCTGCAGGGCGCCAGAATACGCTGATTCGGCAGATGCGAACATTTGCTCCTGAACAGGCTCAGGGGTTCCTGAGACTTGAGCAGAGACACGAGACCTGACGGCGTTATAGTGCCTCGACGCCTCGAGAGCAGCACTGGAATAGGCCGAGCTGGCTGCAGCTAAGGGTGCAGCAGTGACTGGTGTGCCATACGCAGCATAAGAAGCAGCAGTGAGGGCCGATGAGTATGCTGATTGAGCTGAAGAAAGAACTTGTTGGTGTGCAGGCTCAGCGGTGCCAGCAACGTAAATTGCACTCGAGATGCGCGATTGGACAGAAGCATAACTCTTCGACGCTTCATTCAAGGCCTGATTGTACGCTGAGCTAGCAGCGGCAAGGGGTGCAGCGGTGATAGGCGTGCCATATGCTGCGTACGATGCAGCCGTGATTGCAGATGAGTACGCGGCTCCGGCGTTTTCGAGAACCTGCTGCTGAACAGGGAGTGGCGTTCCAGAGATTTGTGCAGATATGTAAGACTTCACGACATCATATTGTGAAGATGCTTGGCTGATGGCGTTGCTGTAAAGGCTGGACGCACTTTCCAAAGAGCCTTCGGTCGGCGCAGCGGCCTTGTAGGCGTTCTGTATGATCTGCTGTATGCTCTCACCACGATCGTTGCCACCAAGATCACCAGTGTCCACAACATCGCCATAGTCGCCTTCAAGAATGGGCTCACGCGGTTCCTTGAGCTCCTGCGCCATGGCACCTCCAAAGACCTTCCTTGGCTGGTGGGCGATTTCTTCAGCTTCCGGCAGATCGTTGTAGATGGAGGCAGCAGTAGAAGAGGCGGCGCTCACAACAGACGAAGCACTCGAGGAGATCGAAGATGCAATTGGCGTGTGGGTGGCACTGCTGACCAGAGAGGAGACACTGTCTGTTGCCTGCTCAATGACTTCCTGGGCCTGGTCGCGTTGAGCAGCTATGATACTGGCGAGTTGTGGGCTCACACTTTTCGCGCTTTCGGTAGCCGAGGAAAGTGCATCAGCAACGGAGTCAGTAAAGCTTGACTCGCCCACTACCGCACTCGAAGCCGATGAGACAGCTTCCTTAATGGTATCTGTCAGGCTCGATTCTCCAACAACTACGCTCGAGGCAGAGCTAGATGCTTGTGATGCCAGGTTCGAAGCGGAACTCGAGGCCTGCGATGCGACACTTGATACTGTATCTGCAAGGCTGGATTCCCCGACGACGGCACTGGAAACAGAAGAGGCAGCCTGCCTAATGGTGTCAGACAAGCTGGATTCGCCGAATACCATGCTCGAAGCAGAGCTAGCGACGACAGAGACGGAATCTGATCCGTGAGAGGCAACACTGGAATACGACTGTTTCGCTTGACTTGTGGCACTCTCGACAGATCCAGTTGGCGCGCTGATAGCTTGCTCGGAGAGACTCGACGTCACAGATGACCAAAGGCTGGCAACGCTTTCGGCGCTTCCGGCGGACCCATAGACGGCCTCACTGGCTTGAGACGCAGCCTGCGACGCCTGTTGGGCCACAGCAGATGTAGCACTCTCAATCGATCCAGTAGACGACCCAATGACCTGCTCCGAGAGGCTGGCAGCTTGCTCCACGATATAATCTTTGGCTTTGCGCACAGGTGGTGGCACAGTCTTAGTTTCGAAGTCGTCGCTCGCATCATCGGCAGCAATTTTCCACTGTCCAGACTTCTTAAGCCGGGCCAATTCTTTCGCAGAATCTTCTGCGATGCCCATGGCAATCTGCTCAATCTCCTCGACGGCAGAGGTTGCGTCTACAAGCCCCTTGTGCTCGCGTGCAGCCTTCTCGACATCGTTGCGCCAAGTTTGAGTGGCTTTCTTGATGTCGTTGTACTTGCTCCACTCCTTATGTGGGAGCGAGGACGAAGCGTACTTGCGGCCGATTTCAGTCAAGCGGAGCTCGCGGATGCTGTCAATGGTCTCGAGGGTCGACTGGAGTGCCTTGCCTACAAGGCTCTCGGTCTCAGTCTGTCGAGTCTGGCGCCACTCACGAACAGCCTGAGCCTTTTGTTTGATGCTCTGTCCTGCTGAGCGCACCGCTTGGACAAGGTGCTCGTTAGCAGCTGCAAGATCCTTGTCTTCAGGGTACTCTGGCAAGCTCTTGACAATGGACTGGATACGGGATTTAACGCCCTCCAGCGCGCTCGCACTGGTGGCCTCCAGCTGTGTAACCAGAGCGCTTCCGACACTATTGGCGCTCTTGACTTGCTGAGCGGTGATGTCCTGAATGCGCTCACCAAGATCTTCCGAGCCCTCTTCAGCTGCTTTGTGGCTGATTTCTTCCCAGCTCTTGAGATCCTCCTGGAATTGGATGGCAGGGTCGGCGGATGGTGTTGGGGTCGAGCTGACAGCGACGCTGGCGGCAGAAGAGGGGCTTTCGGTGGCTTCACTCAGAGTGGAGGCAATAGATGATGCCATCGATTCGGCGCTCGCTGAAGACTTCGACATCTTTGAGGAGGCTTCCACACTATGAATCTCGGCTTCTAGCTTCTTGCCATCTTTGTAGCGACCAAGGCGCTCGGTGATACGCATCAATTGAGGCTCGACATTCTCGCCATACAGTATACGTATGCGTGGCCAGATGTTGCGAGCCCAAAAACTATAGGCAGCATTACCAACATACTGCGCCTGTGGTAGAGCGGTCTGTATGGCGAATGCCTGTCCTTGCTGATAAACTTTGTGTGCGTACGGGGCAGTCTTGCGGTACACTGGCTCGAGCTCGAGCTGCCAAATGTCACTTGCCGAGTTTACCAGTCCATCATAGTATGGCTGTACCACATCTGTCGCCTTCTTCACGTGGGGTGCAAGTGTCTGCTGATACTGCTTGTCCACCTGCTGTTGCGCCAAATCGAGTTGCGGCTTGACAGTCTGTTCCCATTGCTGCAGCCCGAGCGATTTTGCTTGAGACACACGAGGGGCGGCGTAGGTCTGGTACGCGGCGTACCCTGGCTTGTAGGCCTTTTCGTTGACGAGGTCGTAGTAGGGCTGTGCTCGCTGGACATACGGAGCGAGGTGTTGGTCGTAGTAGGGCTGTGCGTGAGGCAGGATGAAATCTCTGGCGGGCAGGTAGTTCTTGCATATCTGATTCGTGTCGTCCGTGATGTCGTTCTGAGAGCGAGGGCAGGTAAACACAATGGTGTACAGGGCATACCACACAAAGATCTTGAGGCCCTTGTCGGCCAGATAGCCTCTCCAGGACCGGGCTTTGCGCTTGCTCCTGGACGAGCGATGGGGATGAACCTGCTGTATGCTGCCGTTGGGGCCGTTCATGGCGACGACCTTGTCTGCCTTGGTGGACGGTCTGCTGTAGGTGAGAGTGGTTGCTTCAGAGCCCATGTTCAGGGTGAGCACTGAGCAGCGCTCAGCGGGCCCCAGCTGTTTTCGTAGCTCGGCGGCTAGTCCGATAGTCTCAACCTAAGGACGAAGCTTATCTCCGTGAACTCTGGGCTGCACGTGGTGGTGAAGGGGCAGGGCAGGGGGAGGAAAAGAAGAGAAGGGCAGCATGCAACAAGAAGCAAACGGCGGTGCTCTGGTGGGATGTAGTGTGCAGTGGTGGTCGTGGTGTTTTCGATTGTGTGCGTGCAGGCGAGGCGACTCCTTCCTTGGAAACACTTTCTTGGACACAACGTTGAACCTGATTTGTGAATGCAGGCGGAGGTTCAAGTTTGGTTCGCGTTGAGTGTGGAGAGGTCACTGATGTCGTCACTGGCTCCCTGCCAAGCCCAGCCAAATATTCTGGCGACCATCGCATGGAACAGTGGAACATGAAGATACTGGACCCGACGGAGCGGTCGAGCTCAATGCAATGTCAAACAGCGACTACAGTAGGAGGTACTAGCAGCTTCCATTGCCGTCCACGACTCAGCCTCGTCGACGTAGGAGGTACCTGCCTCATGCTGCCTAAGGCATACCTCCTACATCCAATGCTTTGGACGTGTTCGCGCGAGTCGCGTGAGACTGCGGAGGTCCGGAGGATAATGCCAGGCCAGCAGCTTCCGACGGGCCGGGCAGAGCCGCGTCTTTCACGTGCAAGGGTGTGTCATCAAGAGTCTCGCGATACATGTACCGTACCTCCTACCATAGCTGTACTTACATACCCTACCTACCTAGGTACCTACCTTCCCTACATGTACTTCTAGTACCTTATCGTACCTGCCTGAACCGACTCGACGCCATCATCAACCATCAAACTACAATACTCGCAGCAGGGACGACCAATCACTCCACCTGCCCTCCGCATCTCTGGGCCGAGCGACCTCGATGACACGGTCCGCGTGTCCACCTCCGATGAACACCTAGGCCGAGCCCCCGGGCACTTCTACCTACCTTACCTATACCTACCTGACCTACCTAACTTCACATCATGGACGACACGATCGATACGACCGACACGACCGACATGACCGACACGACCGACACCAGCCGTGCTGAACGCACCTCAGACCCCTCCCGCGGCAGTGCTGTGAGCTTCTCAGACATACCCGACCTCATGAACGATCCGGCCTTTGCGCCTCCGCAACGACGCGACACGGCCTCTTCGATGAAAAGCGGCACGGATGGGGATGCAGGCGGCGATACTTGTCGGATATGCAGAAGCGAAGGCTCTCCGGATGAACCGCTGTTCTACCCGTGCAAATGCAGCGGCAGCATCAAGTTCGTCCACCAGGAGTGTCTCATGGAATGGCTGAGCCACTCGCACAAAAAGCACTGCGAGTTGTGCAAGACGCCCTTCCGCTTCACCAAGCTCTACGACGCAGACATGCCGACGACCTTGCCGTGGACCGTCTTCATCCAGCGCGCTTTCATCCACGTGGCAATGATGTTCTCCAGCGGCTTGCGCGCGCTAGTGGTCATCAGCGTCTGGCTGCTGTTTCTTCCCCTTATGATCCGGTGGGCCTGGAGATGGATGTTTTGGTTTGCGGATGCTGGCTGGGCACGCGAACTGTACATCAAACGAATGCAGGTCGCAGACGTCAATGCTGCCAAGGCGCAACATTCAGGCACCGAACTGGTCCACGACGTGTCTGCCGGCCTTCAGACTGCCCTCTACGATGCCTACGATAGGTGGTTCGGCTCCGTGGACTGGAAGAGCACCTTCATGCAGAGCACTACCAATGCCACTGCGACTGCACCCTCGACGATTCGGAATGCCACCGCCACCATCAATATATACAACACGACGTCGTACTGGCCGCAGGCCGATGCTTCCGTTCTGTCTTCGTGGACCCACCTCTCGGAACTCACACCAAGTCCCAAAATCAATCGCGTGATCCTAGATGTTTTTGAAGGACAACTCATAACATGTGTCGTGATCCTGGGCTTCATCCTAGTCTTCCTCATCCGTGAGTGGGTCGTACAACAGCAACCATTGGTCAACCTAGACCAGCTACAGAACGAGCGCCGAGAACAGGAGCGGCGCATACAGGAGCGGGATCGCCTCCGGCGGCAAGCCGAACTTGTAGAAGAAGCAAGAGAAAGGTTGGCTGCTTTGCAAAATGAGAGAGTCGCGAGATTGAGAAGAATGCAGGATGAGGACGGTGGTGCCTCGTCGACGAATGCCAACCGCGCCCCTGACATCATTGAGATTGGCTGGGACGAGGTGTACGTACTCATTGATTCTGCGACACAGGAGCTCAGCTTGGGTGGTGGAGGCCGTGAGGCATTCATGATCAAGGCCTCAGAAGTCATGTGCGAAATCTTAGCCGCTGAGAGTAGCGGCGCTGATGCGAGCACCTTGGCGGACAAGGTACACTCGAAGTTGAGCGAACTTTCCAATGAGCAGCGAGAAGCCTGGGAAGAAGTCTTGCTTGCAGAACTCGAGGCTCGAGGTGCGAGGAAGCCAGGTCGGGGTGCTTCATCACGCGAGAGTCAGGCCGCGGTGGCAGAAAGCTCCACGGCTCCCCGGAGACCGCGCATGCCAGCCCGAGCTCAATCGTCTGCAGCGACTGTCATCAATCGTGTTCTAGAAGAAGAGGAAGTGGATCCTGACCGTACTGCAAGAGGAGAAGCAGCTGATGCGAATCCTTCTTTAGACGAGGCAGCCTTCTCAGCTTCCAGGGCGGAGAACCAAGCAGTCCCTCGTGGCCCACGTCCGATCAGTACTACGAGGCTGCTGGAGGCCAATCCCGCAGTCAAGACTCAGGTACTCAACGAGCCCGTGCCCAGCCACAACGACGCCAGTGCCACAGGCCTCGAAACGATGCCGATCACCAATGCCGGTCCAGATGCTAAAGTTAACATCAAGCGCAAAGGCACCGGTAAAGCAAGAATCATCGTGCTCGAACCTGACGAGGAAGAGCCAGCGCATATTATTGCGGCCAACGAGCTGAACCGGTTGCTGGCCAAGAAAGTGGCCAGTTCGGACGCCAAGGTGCCTGAAGGCACGTCGCGAGAAGAACCGGGGGCAAACGAGCAGGAAGCTACCGATCTCACCGTGTACCAAAGTCGACATGAATCCGAGTCTTCTGGTCCACCGAGTGACTCTCGCGTCAACCCATTTCATCCAGATGGTCCTATGCCAGACTCTTCTAGGTCTGTCTCCAACGACGATATCGCTGCTACCAGCGGAGTGAACCACGAGGAAACAAATGAAGAGGAAGACCAGGCCAGGCAAGCTGAAATGGGGTACGAAGCTGCCGAAGCCACAGAGCATGACAGCGACGTTGCTGATCTCGCCATCCCAACGCCACAGCGAGTCGTGCCGCCTGCAGGCCCTGCGAATTGGCTCATTGACTGGTTCTGGGGTGATATTCAGCCCCAGAACCACTCTGAACCAATTCCGGCGGCTCCGGAGGAACGCATTGATCCGCACGACCCTCAAGAAGCACCCTTGGTGCCAGTGCAGGATGGTGCCCAATTTATCGATCAAGAGATGGACGATGGTGAGCCTCAAGGGGCGCCTGACCCCGAGGTGCTTGCTGCCGCACAACAAGTTGGTCTCGATGCTGAGGCTATCGAAGACGCCGAAGACTTGGAAGGCATCGTCGAGCTCATTGGTCTGCAAGGCCCTATCATAGGGCTGTTCCAAACCTCGTGCTTCTGCAGTGTTCTGGTTATTAGCTCCGTCTTCTGCGCTATTGGCGTTCCGTATATGTGGGGCAAATTGGTGCTGGTCTTCATTAACAGCCCTGTGGAGAGTTTGATCAAGACTCCCTTACGCTTCATCTCACTCTTCACCGACTTCTTGGTCGATGTTGCACTACTCGTCATTGGGTGGCTGGCAACTGCAGCCATCAAGCTGGTCGAGACGGTGACCTCGTCTGTGGAAGCGTTTGTGCCTTGGCTAGGCGACGCAGAGCTTACGTCGTGGTGCTACAAAATCTCCAAGGCAACCGCAGTCGGCGCTTATCATCGCCTGTCCAGCTTGTTTCCCTCCGCGACGGACACGAGTGCAGACACGGCAGGCATGCAATGGGCTTGGCTACATGTGTCAGTGGAGGCTCACGCATCACTGCGGACGATTCAGCACGAGAGCAGTGTGGTACTCAACTACAGTGGTAGTGTGATCACCTCCATCGTGGAATGCGTTTCGTCGGGTTCTGCTACCGTAATTTGTCACAGCCTACTGGCTGCAGTGAAGCATATTGCTGGAAATGTAGTGCGGGCGTGTGCCAGTCTCGAGTCCGTGAAGGAGTATGTCAGCCAGTGGTGGACGACTATTAGTGGCATGCGCAGTGGCTGGTTGCTCAACTTGTCGAGCGCTAACTCATCAGTCGCATTTGACCCTGCACTGGTGTACTGGAATTCGAATGATCGAGGCTTGGCAGTCTTAGCGGGCTATGTTGCACTTGCTATGCTCGCGGCCATATATGTTGCTCTTGACACACCAATCACCAGCTCTGAAAGCCACCAGAAGACTGAAAAGGTTATACGAGACTCGCTTCGCCAGGCTGGCGGTGTGTTGAAGGTCATTCTGATCATCAGCATCGAAATGCTGGTATTTCCACTATACTGTGGACTCTTACTCGACATCGCCTTCCTGCCTCTGCAAGATGGCGCGTCTCTTGCGACGCGCTGGGCATATGCAACCCAAGCGCCGTATACCTTCTGCTTCATCCACTGGTTCGTCGGGACTTGCTACATGTTCCATTTTGCGCTCTTTGTCGGTATGTGTCGCAAGATCCTGAGGAAGGGGACGCTGTGGTTCATCAGAGATCCCGATGACCCGACTTTTCATCCTGTGCGCGATGTGCTGGAACGCAACGTCACTACCCAGCTGCGTAAGATCGCTTTCAGCGCTCTTGTTTACGGCGCACTCGTCATCTTGTGCTTGGGTGGTGTGATATGGAGCATTGGCAGATTGTTCCAGGGCATCTTTCCAATCCACTGGGTCGCCACTGAACCCTATGTGGAGTTCTCCGTCGATTTGCTGCTCTACACCTCTCTCACACCAACGCTGCTGAACTTGGCTAAGCCGAGCACAATCGTCCATGCAATGTACGCGTGGTGGCTGCGACGTTGTGCCCGAGCACTGAGACTATCCCATTTCTTGTTTGGCGACCGGAAGAAGGACGAAGAGGGTCGACATGTACGGGGCACGTGGTCCAGTTTCTTTTTGATGAAGACTGCAAAGCTGGATCAAGCCACTGGCTTGATTCTGGTGGACAACGAAGAGCGCCCCGAGGTGTTCTTCCAGCGCGACGGCAAGTATGTCTTGACGCCCTGCAACGATCAGTACCGGCCGCCGAAGCCTGGCGAAGCCTTCATCCACGTTGAGAATAACGATGTTTACATTGCCGATAAGAACGGCAAGAAGAACGACCATTTTGCCAGGATCTACACACCACCGAACTTTCGACTGCGCATGACATTCTTCATGGTCAGCTTATGGATGTTTTCGGCATTTATTGGGCTTTGCGCAACTTTGGTCCCACTCTGCTTTGGTCGACAGGTACTGGTCATGGTCTTGCCAGCCGGCGTCGTGGTCAACGACATTTACGCATACTCAATCGGCGCATACTTCTTTGGGGGTCTTTTATTCCTTGCACTCAAGGGCGGCGCTGGAGCACAATATCTCCGTCAGAGGGCTACCGAGGTAGACTTCAAAGCGTGGGCTGCTGCTGCCGCGAAGACGACGCTGCAGGCATTAAAATGTTTGTACGTTTATGGCTTCGCGTGCGTGGTAATGCCTCTCGTGTTTGTCACGACACTACATTTCTACTTCCTCATACCACTTCACACCCACCTCGCCTCCTCGATTCGTCCAGCACTCCTGGACGCGATGAATCCGGATGCCGCCAACAGCACACTTACGGCAGTTGTCAATGCCACGATGCAGTCATTCTCGCAGCAGGGATCTAATTTCACTCAGGCGTCTTCACGCTCCACGATGCCCTCGGTGGCAGAACATAGCATACATGTCCTCGCAGACGGGGCTCTAGGTATGCTCATTGGCAAAATCGTCGTCCGAGGCATTCTCTTGGCGCCATCCTCTCGCGCGGCTGAAGCTTGCCGGCGCATTACGGCAGACGGATATCTCAACCCTAATGCACGGCTCGCCACGAGATTCATCATCGTGCCCGCTACACTGTTGTCGTCCGTGGTCTTGCTGGGTCCTCTGGGCCTCGCGAACATGATCTTGAGCTTTGTCACCTGGCTGGGTCCTCGGATGGCCAGCAATTTCGAAGGAATCACTGAGGAGGTGCAAGTACTAGTACATCGATACTCATACCCAGTAACTGCCGCCTGGGCATTGAGTTTATGGGGCACTGGACAGATGGCCAAAGCCACTGGCCGATGGAGAGCTAGAATACGAGATGAAGTGTATCTAGTTGGGGAGAGGCTGCACAATTTCGGCGAGAAGAAGCCTCCTCCGGGCACGAAGGGCGTGGTGAGGAGGGCGAGGTAATTGTGGCCTGTGTGTGTGCATCTGGGAACATGTGCGATATGGTGGTATTAGCGTTGGCGTTGGTGTCGGCATGGGATGACTTAGACGACTCTGCCGGTCTGTCCGAGCGTTGCATATAACATGGTGCATGCAACCAAATTGCTCCTGGATAGGCCATGTCGGAACGTTGATGTGACGTATTACAAAACAAAATATTTGAAGCTGTTATCCTAGATACATCAGGTACATAAGGTACATATCAATCTGCTGCACCCCACGACCATAAGACAACGCAATTGCACAGTCAATGATCTGTACGACGAGAAAAAACTTTCATAAAGTCCGCTGCTCTCGTTGCTGTGAATGTTCACTGCACTTTTCCTCTTTGTTTTGCTCAAATATATGCCTATGAGCAAGATACTGCACGAGCAAAACCACATTTTCTCCCGAAGCGAGACAAGTACTACAAGTCAATTAATCATGACTCAATGGTATCATCAAATTCATATTGTAGGTAGGTAGGTAGGTATGTACCTCGCAGTAGGTAGGTATCCACCCTTTTCCTTTAAAAAGCGCACCCGTTCTATCTACTTGACCCTGATTTATCTATCTATACCCACTCTCAAAATTTGCGGGACAAAAGCAAAAAAAGAAGAGAAAGAAAAAGGGAAAAAAGTTTTCATCAGCAGATGATGACATTCTTAGGCCGTTTCTCCACCGATGACGCTGAAGATGACTTGAGAGCCTGCACGGCAGCTTCGGGCAAAGCATGACCTGTATATCCATCTCCAATTAAAGCGCGGCCGGAAAATTCTTTTGTCGATGGGACGTATCTCGCAGTGGTGGTGGTGGTGGTGGCATTGCTGCTTTCGTCGTCGTTGTGGTTGTTGCTATTATTGGAGGAAGAGGAGGAGGACAAGATAAAGTCAATGTCTTGCACACTGTCCTTCTTGACGTGCTCGATGGGGTGGTGCGTGTTCATGTTGATGGGGCTCGGGGAGCGTTCGGTAGGGGTGCTGGGAAGGCTGGGCTCGACGAGGTGGCGGTATGTACGTTTGTACTCTTCGATCATGTCGGTGGAGACGTTGGAGCCGCCGCAGACGACGATGACCTGGAGGATGATAAGTTTTCGCGTCAGAGAGAGGATTGGGGGGGGCTGTTTGTTGTTGTCAACGATGGGGGATGGGGTGTGTAGTACGTACGAAGCTTTCGTCTGGTCGTGGAGGTCGTCCGAGTGCCTTTTCTAGGCGTTCACCATAGCAGAGCGCGATATTGACTCCGCATGCTGCTTCGACGATGATGCGTTCCTCTTCTGCGAGTTTCCAGCTGCCCATGGCTGCTTCAGCGTCACTCAGGACAATGTTTCGGGCTTTGCCGCTCTTCAATGCAGGGCGTACAATATCCCATGTCCGCTCCGAGATCTTGACACAGCCGAGCGAAGTTGCTATCGATGTGATGTGTGAAATGGCTTTATGTTCGTTCCATTCCAGTGCCTTGTTGAGAGAGTCTGCACCTTCGGTCTCTACAGCAATGACTCCAGTCTTCTCCCACTCGCGGCCTTGTCGTTCAATACCGGCCATGACTCCATTGAACAACCCGCCTCCACCACAGCTGCAGATGATCCAATCTGGGGCAGCGTCTTCACCCATCTCCTCGAACTGTTCGCGCATTTCGTCGACGATGCTCTCGTGGCCTTCCCAGATATCGGGGTGGTTGAATGGATCCACATAGAATGGCTCTTCGCCTTGCTCCCGAGACAAGGGCATCAGGACGTCATTGACATATGCCGTGGCTTCGGCAATGTTGGCGCCGTGTTGCATGACAGCTTTGGCGCCAGCGGCGTACAGCTTCTCGATCATGTGTTGCTTGGTGCTCAGAGGGACCACAACGGTGGCTGGTCGCTTGACGAAGTTCGCGGCATAGACACATCCCAGTCCGGCATTTCCGCCTGAAGCGGCGAAGTAGTGCAATTTGTGAGGGTCGCGGGCGTTGTTGTAGGACTTGACGACGAGGTTACCGAGTCCGCGAGACTTGAACGAGCCCGAAGGCTGGAGGTTGTCGAGCTTCAGGTAGATTCTGCTTCTGCGGCTTACCATCACGTTGCTATGACACAGAGGAGGAGGAAGAGGGAGATGGGCCCTCTTCGTGGAGGAACGTACCAGCCTGCTTTTTCCGAGAGTCTGGTCGATTCTATCAGAGGAGTCTTCCTCCATGGCTTCTTTGCATTTCGCGTCTTGGGCGATGTCGTCGAGTTAGCCAGCCATTGCTGCTGCGGCATATCGATAGCCATGCTGCAGGGTACGTCGTGACGAGGAGCAGTTGAACTTCCGATAGAGGTGAGATGCTACACTTTCAGATGGCGGTAAGAGGAGATTTGCAGACCAAAGCACAGAGATGTAGGAAGAAGAAGAGGAAGAAGAGGAAGACGAGGAGGAGGAAGAAAAGGAAGCGAAGAAAAAGAGGTGCGAGCAGAAAACTAGTCCTGACAGTCAGTCGCCAATCGTCCCAATCACCACCTTGCAGTTGCAATCATATCGTGCAGCCCCAGGGTTCCGGAGAGAAGCCCCAGAGGTGGTTTACGGCGGCGCCAAAGGTACAGGTACCGGTAAGGTAAGGTAAGGGAGGTATAGAACTATGGATGGCATCATGGCATCACGGCTCGCAAGTGAGGTGGGAGTGTGATAGGGTCGCACGATAAGGAGGAAAGTCAGCAAGTGAAGTTTCCCTGGTGATTGTCGTCCTACCCGTCCCGCCCGCCTGAGCCGATGGTATTCGAGAATTAAGTTAGGAGGTAGGCCGTGACCCCATCAAAGTCCATCCATCTCAGGTAATACTATCCCGTGCCGCCATGTTGAGACGTCTCTGCCCCTACTCCGGCATCTCGAGAGCATTCCGATTACCCCATAGCATAAGACGTACCTAAGTTAGCTTCCAGGCGCCAATTTTAGTTCGAGTACTGTAGAGCATACTGGCGCCCTAGTTCCAACTGTCAATTGCCGACAGCGCCAGTGCCCGCTAGTTCTACTTTACAGCCTAGACAAGGTCTGCAGAGTGCGATATTTACCGCCTCGCGCGATAAAGCGAAAAAAAAAATTGAACGCCGTCAGATGACTTCCCAAAGCTCCGTGGTTACGACAAACGAACAAGCAATCCAGGACCGTGATGAGACACTGTCGCAGGACCGATATATTGATGTTCTCACTAGGTACCTGTAGTGAAGGGTTCCGAATGGGTACGAGGCGGTTGGCTTACTCATTCTGGCCTGAGGCCACCAAGCCCCATTGAATGTACATGAAGGTACCTGTACCTACCATCTCAATCACGCACTGTCGGGACAGGATGATATTCCTCGTGATAAGTGCGATGGGATCTGCTATGGCTTGAAGCCATCGAAAGCTCATCTTGTACACTTTCTGTTTCTGGATGCCACCTATAGCACGACGATAATGCTCAAAGTAGCCAACCCGGCGTCTGGCCTTCCGCCAACTACTGTGCGCTCTGAACCATACTCTGCCGCTCATCACCAGCTGGCTTCTCGCCCCCTCGAGAGGGCTCTCCGCGGCGTCATCTGTAAGAGTCGACAGCATCATGACATCGCCCAGCAACAAAGATTGCATTCGCATTCTCGAGCCATTCTTCTACATCACTCCGTCTTCTTAATGCCACATCGGGAAACTGTTCACTGGCAAGGGTGCCGAATTGTGACACGTAGCGGCAGCCGGTGGGGTGGTGGAAGCCTTGCCCCAATACTCAAATGTGATGAGATGAGGTTCTGAATCTTTCTCGTGTTGTAATGCGCTGTAGCGATCACCAACTTATCTGGCTGGATTGATCTGACCGCTGCCTATCGCTCGAATGACATCATCTGCCGTGCCAATGCTTCTTTGCACGTTCTGACTTCCGGACCTGGCGGGCTGGGTCGATGCGTCGTCGGATGGGGCGTCCCTGCCGATATAAATCCAGTAATGCGAACCAAAGATGCTCGAGGTTGAGGCAAGTGGCCAAACGGGACCGCTAGATATGTGCTGGAGCAAATAAGCAATATCGCACAGCATCCCTAGCACAAAGAGGGACAACGCACTCATGTGGCCACCTGCTTCTCCGCCTGCTCTGGCGCCTCATCGATGAAGGTTGGGGCACTCTCTCCCAGGTAGCTAGGCATTTCGCTCTCCCCGTATGTCTCGCCGAATTCGACATCCTCACCCAAAGCCTCCAACTCCGCATCCAACTCTGCTTCATCCACATCCTCGGGCACGTCATAACTCCGGCTGATGCTCTCCTGGATGTCGTTGCCCATGTCCATGAGATCAGCCATCTCATCCTGCAGCTTCTCGATCTTGTCAATGTTGATCTTGCCATACTGCTTCTTGAGCTCCTTTTGCGTGGTCTTCATGGCATCCACTGTCGCCATGGTGTTCTTGAGGTTGTCCTGCATCATGCCGGCCTGCTCCATGTTCCAGCTCTGCTGCTGCAGCTGGTCCTTCTGCGACTCGTACATCTTGCGCTGCTGCAGTATCTTGATGGCCTTTTGCTTGATGGCATTCTTGCCAGGCCCATCGCGCATCGAGCTCAAGCGCTTCTGGTACGTGCCCAGCTCGGCATTCAGTCGAGCGAGCTTCACGTCGATGGACTCAATCCTCGTGTCGACCTTTCCTATAGCGTCGTTGAGAGATGGCTTCGGCGTGTTGGTCTTTGCGCCAAAGAGTCGATTCATGGTGGCGGTCGGTTCTGCTGTGTTCGGAGATTGTCCACGATTGCTCCGTCTCCTGCCGCAAGTGTTCTCTTGTCCGAGATTCAGGTAAAATCTGGTTGGTGAGATGGTTGTTCACACCTCAGACTGATGCCTGTGGCAACACCCGATTGAACTAGACTATTCTGAGCGATCTGGTGACGTCGCCATGATGCTCGTACCTCCGCGGTTCCGAAAGTCTGTCTTCTTGGCAAAAATCCACCCCCCTTTGAGATAGATTCCATCACTTTGTAGAGTAATTATTCCACACATAGACCATGGAAATCGATCATGATACCCGCGTTGCAATCCTCACACTCCATTCTATCGCTGGATACAAATTTGATCAAATTGCGACCGTCCTACCAGGTGTAAATGCCAGTACAGCCCAGAGACTCATCCACAGGGCCAAAACCAGAGCCAACTCGAATTCCTTCACACAGATACTCGATCATATTGATCCATTGCCTCGGAGGGGGGCTCCTCGGCGTGTGGAACCAGGATCAAGGACTTCTTTGAGGATTAGACAGGATGTAAGGGACAAATGGAAGTGGCAAAGCCAGCCCCAAGCAGCCAACTATACCATGGATTCAGTCCGTGATAATTCACTCAGATATCCACTCCAGGACCTGAAACCACAGCAGGTCCATAATATACTCAAAGGCAAAGCTCACTGCCAAGCGGATCCAGTGGATAATCGACCAATCCACAGGAAAAGGGCCCTAAACAAGATTGCCTTGGAAAAGCTCGATTTGGACGATAGGAAGCGATATATTGAGCAGGTTCTAGCTCTCAAAGCAGAGGAGGTTGAGCTTATCTTCTGTGATGAGACTCCACTTGATTTTGGTGGGTGTGGAGGAAAAAACCATGTCTCAGCACCAAAAGGGGTAGATATCTACTCAGACCACTTTGACCCTCGCTTTTCAAGAATGCAGTGGGCAGCTGTTTCTTCAGAGACTCGTCCACAACGCAGGGTAATTGTCTGGAAGCCCGAATCAGATGATATCACCATGGAATTGGCATCAGATTTGGCCAAAGTACAGTCAGAAATGGACTCTCAAATGAAAAGACAAATCCAGGCTTCAAAAATCGAAAATACCCCAGAATGGCAACTTCTTCAAGAGACCAATGCTGGAATTGATGCCCACAATGCCTCTCTACCTCCTAGACAGCGCAAAGGGAGGAAAAAATACGTTACTGCTGAGAGGTTGTTCAAAATTGAGAAGATTTCAAGGGACAGGAAAAAGGGGGGACTGGATTCAGTATTCTATGCTTTCCAGATATACAGGGACCAACTTTTCAAGTACTATCATGAAGTCCAGGCCTTACACCCTCACAAGGAAGTCTTCATTGTGGAAGATAACGTTGGTGTCCATCACAAAGCAAGAAGGATTGTTGCTGGTTTGATCAAGGCCCAAAATATCAAATTTTTGGATACCCCTGCCAACTCACCAGACTTACAACCAATTGAGACCCTCCACAATGATGAGAAGCGCTTACTAAGGCCATTCACAATGGGTATTGTTGGCTCAGGTAAGTATATTCAGGAATTGGCAGAGGATGAAGTTTCCTATGTTTGGCAGCAGAATTCTGAGTTTGGTGATTGTGTAGCAAGGAAGGCATCTCTCTCATATTTCCAAGGTCTATGTGATAAAGCAAAGCACGCAGAACCACCCTATAGCAATAGATTCAAAGATAGTCTGTGATTCTATGTAAAAAATGTATATGAAGGTGATATAATGAGGCTTTTGGGAATGCCAAGAAGACAGACTTTCGGAACCGCGGAGGTAACATTATTGGTTCCAGCCGCCTACAGAAGTACAGGTACCTACACCACACAGGCCGCCGCCTCACCAGCTTCTCCTCCGAAACACACATGTACCATAGCATTTCGCGCCATGCTCGCCTTTGGTACCATCTCGAGCCCCGACGCGACGATGCCTACATCAATACTTCACCGACAACTTATATGCTAGGTCGGCCAGAAGCTCGGATAGGAAACCTCGGGGCAAAAGGAGACCGTTTTATGTCGGAGTATTCGTTCGCATAGAGAGGACCTAGGCAAACACTTCACGTGATTGTTCATTACTATGCGAAGGAGGCAAGCTCGCCAGTGACATAGTACTGTACTCGGAGAAGCAGGCCTACGAGTGAAATGACGACTTGCGAAACCAGACTTTACTTTGCGGGACAAAGTCGTTCAAATTGCTCATTATTGGAGATATAACCTCTTGAGCAAACAAGCCCGTGGGTTTACAGACAGATCTATCACTTGGAGAGGCGATCGATCCCGCCTGCGCCAGATTATCAGTTTCTCAGACCCATCGCCCAGCGGGTTCCAGCGGGACAGTATGCGTAGGCATCTCCCTGGCATATGTCCTCTCTGCACAAGGAGCTAGGGGGGAGGAGCGGCAAAAGCGAATGCAATAATAACTTTCTCGGTCGACAGAACGACGAGGTCACCGTTTGCCGTCTTTGGCGTTCTTGTGCGAACACCTCAAGCTGCATATATGTAGTTCTGCCTAAGTCGAACTCTAAATTCAGATCGACATATACCACCGGAGCCATCAAAAGTCCACTCCGTGGAATGTGTATATAAGCGGTGGCAGTGATAGCAAAAGCAGGAACTGAACCAGCTGCTGCCTCAAAGAGATGGGTCCCTCACAACCACTTTGACATCATGGGATGTCTTTGCCATGAAATATGGTTTCCCGAAATAACCCTGGTCCCCCTCATCTTGTAACCCCGCTCAACATCGACAGAGTTCAGAGGACGTGGAGAGCGATATATAAATTGCGTACAGCGTAGGTCATTCTTGCGTTGTGGGTCACTCACCCCCACGAGAGCACGACTTCATCTCGTTCCAGTATCTCTCTATTGAAAACTTGGTAATCGCCAAACTCTTTTTTTTATTGGAACAAGCACAACTCTCGACTTCAAACAACAAAAATGGTTGACGCAGTCAAGTCCGCTCTGGGAATGAACACCATTCCAGACTACGATGATCTCCCACCGGTAGAGGGCATGCCCAAAGGATGGTAACGCAACTCCACACAGATCATTCCCCCAAAAAGGGGACAAGGGGAGCGCATCTGCTGACAAGCGGGTATACAGTGCATGGGGAGTCTGGGACAAGTTTCGCAAAGATGGCAAGAAGGACATCTACGGCACACTGAACCTGCTCACGCCCGACGTGGTGAAAGCCGCCTGCTCGGAAGCGAAAGAAGGCATTCACGTCTCGCTCAACTGGCCGATTGGAGCCATCAAAACTCCCGGATTCTTCAGAAAAGGGCTCGTGCACAAAGTCATGTCGTTTGTGGACACGCCTCTGACTTGCCATGGCTACGACGACGAGATCGAATTCAACACGCAGTGCAGTTCGCAATGGGATTCTCTCGTCCACTTCCACCACCAGGCCAGCCAGTCAGGTTACAATGGCACCAAGACCAGCGTGGAAGAGCTCACGCAGGCATTTGGCGAAGAAGACAAGGAGAGGAAACTTCCCACACTGAACCACTGGCACGATCGCGGCGGCATGGTCGCTCGAGGGGTATTCATCGACTTCAAGAAATACGCAGACGAGACCGGACGAGCCTTCAACCCGTACACGGATGATAAAATCTCCATCGAAGACATTGAAACCATTGCGAAGAAGCAAGGCGTCGAATTCAAGCAAGGCGACGTGATCATCATCCGCTCAGGTTTCACCGAAGGCTTGACGGACGTGTCCGCCGAGAAGCAGGCCGAACTCATGGGCTCGCATCGCGTCTGTGGAGTGACCGGTACCGAAGAAGCGGCGAAATGGTTCTGGAACAAACACTTTGCAGCTGTGGCCGGAGACATGATTGCTTTTGAGCAGATTCCACCCATTATCGATGGTCAAGAGGGTCCCGTGTCACAATTGGTCCTGCATCAAATCTTCTTGGGCCTGTTTGGAATGAGTATTGGTGAATTATGGGACCTCAAAGCCTTGTCGGAGACGTGCGCGAAACTGAACCGCTACTCGTTCTTGCTGACAAGTGTGCCGTTGAATGTGCCAGGTGCCATTGGATCGCCACCGAATGCATTGGCCATCTTTTGAGTCGTGGAGGTACGAGAATGCTGGGCTGGAGGTAGCCCAAGCCGAATGATGTCTTCCCAAGCAAGGCCTTATGGCATACCTAGGTATTGTTCAGGTACCGAATGTATAGTGGCTGTATGCAAGATGTAAAGGCTCGAAAGGTTCCTTGTCCATAATTGTCAGCCAGACGATTGAATACATGTATGCTAGAATTGTGATGACCCACACGACATCATAGCGCGGGCAATGAGCCGCGGGGATTTCATCGGCTAAAACATCTGCCGAACATCATTATAGCAATGGACAAGATGCAGGTAGGTACATGTATGTACCTCCTATGACCGTTGTCGAGCAAGATATTCTCCAAGCGCTATCTCGCCGTCACTGTTAGCACCGAGAAGGCTTGAAAGCCTGAACGAACTGTGAAGTTACCTGTTCACAAGCCGTACAAGACGGAGAAGAGCACACCATGAGCAGCGAATAAAGCATTCATGTAGTTCTAGAAGATCAACGCACAAGCAGCTGCGCCATCTCGGCTGGCATGGAGAAGAGTCTTGGGTGGAATCGTGCTCATTGCCTAGATAAGGAATATCCTAGAATTGCTGCCAGCCCGGTTGGGTGGTGACCAGGTGCACTCTATGCTTGCCGGTCTCAGTCGGGCGGAATGACCAGCTCCCTTCGTCACTCGTGACACAGAGAGGAAACAAAAGCAGGAAATCCTGCTCCGCGCAAGGTATGTCATACCCGCACGCTCATCCTGGAATTTAGGTCATGAATGCTACAAGGGATATCGTAGTGGCTGTCGCGCTCGCTGTTCATAGGCGACGTTTGTTCAGATGGGCTCGGGGGGCAGAGTCTACTTCTGCATCATCAATTGAACGAACTCATTGTCTATTCACGGTGTCAGCAGTTTGACCAAAGTATTGACTCTTCGTCTGGTGCTCCTCTTACAGTCAATTCTTCCGTCGCCATCCTGGTCAGCCTCGCGGATCATCTCGTCGACCTCATCGTCTGTCAACTTCTCGCCAATAGAAGTCATGACGTGTCGTAGCTCAGCCGCGCTGATGAAGCCATTGTTGTCACGGTCGAAGACCTTGAACGCTTCACGGATCTCCTCCTCAGAGTCCGTGTCCTTCATTTTGCGGGCCATCATGGTGAGGAACTCTGGGAAATCAATAGTGCCATTGTTGTCGGCATCCACCTCGTTGATCATGTCCTGCAGCTCCGATTCGCTAGGGTTCTGGCCGAGAGAGCGCATCACCGTGCCGAGCTCCTTTGTGGTGATTTGTCCTGGTGTGCCATGTCAGCTCCAATACACCACCGGTACAAGAGTGGTCGGTCGTCGTACCATCGCCGTCCTTGTCCTGTCTCACGTTGTCAGCTTTGCCATGTGGCTGCCTAGTCGGGCAGAAAGAGGGGAGGGAGGATACGTACGAAGAGCGAGAAGGCCTCCTTGAACTCGGAGACTTGCTCCTCAGTCAGTGAGTCGGCCTGCAGTGACGGCCAAGTCAGTTATCACACAGGTGTACCAGCGGCGGTTAGGGGAAAGAGGGTCTGCTGTGTGCTTCGGTGTCAAGCGCAGCGGGGTACAGTATCCTCTGTGCGTGCAGGGACAGTCCGTACCATAGTGAGAGGATGTGAGTCGAATCGCTAGAGGCGCTGTGTTCGCAGAGATGCAGTCGTCTTCGTCGTTGTCGTCGTCGATCGGGCGGATCGGCGGAGCGGGGTGGAGGTCGCGGGAGTGTTGGCGTGAAGAGTGTGAAGAGAGTGAAGACAGTAAGGTCAGGTAAGGTCAGGTAGGTAGTGGCAGGTAGCAGGCAGAACTAGTCTCAAGCAAGATGTGCGTGCGTGCGTGCAAGTGGGCGGGCAGGGCAGGGCAGGCAGCCAGGCAACCGGGGCGGGAAACGCAATCCACTTTTTCGAGGGTTCCAGTTTCGTTTGGGTTTGGGTTTACTGGCGGCGGCAACCTGGAAAGATGCCGCGTCGCATCAAGCTTCGCAACAGAAACAGCCGACACGACCTCGACAGCTGCGGAATGTAGAGCAGTGCAGCCGACCTGAGTCCACGTCCATACCTGCTCCTCCTCCTCCTAAGGGCGTCGCTTCGACCCAACATCTACAGGACTTCGATCGCTGGGGCTGGCCCTTGCTCCTCGCCTCGACCTCGCCTCGACCGCGTCCCTGCCAGCGCATTGCTGAAGACCGTAGCTGCCCGCCTGCAATCAGAGAGAGACGAGAGACACGGCATGAGAGCGGCTTAGGCATACCGACAGGCCTTCCACTGCGCATGATGCGCCCTGCTCATAACGCGAGACCACCATGTCGTCGGCCGTAAATCTTGGAGCATGGCGCGATCGTACGAACCTGTGAGTTGCGATGACCTGAATAAAGTGGTCCATCGGCTCATGCTATCATCACAGCTTCATCTCATATCGCCAGTCATACACGCATCACCCCGCCAAACGATCTCGTATCACTGGATCTGGCAATGCACGCTTCGTCGATACACCCAATGACTCGGAGCGGGAGGGGCTCATGTCCCATCTGGACCACGATGGAGACGCTGTGATTGAAATGGACATTCTGCCTCCGCGGTGGCTGGACATCCAGGACGAGGTGTCGCAGACGCTATCGGAAATCACGGGAAAGGTGAAGAGACTGGATCAGATGCACGCGAAACATGTCCTGCCAGGTTTTGATGATGAGAGCGTGAAGGCCAAGGAGGAAAGGGATATCGAGAATTTGACTCAGGACATCACCAAAGACTTCATCATGTGTCGAAATGCCATACGGAGGATTGATAGACTGCAGCAGGAGCAACATCAGTCTGGTGGCGTGATATCTGATGCCGACGCGACCATGGCTCAGAATCTCAAAATGTCCTTGGCAAGCCGCGTGGGGGAGGTCAGTACTCTGTTCCGCAAGAAGCAGTCTGCATACTTGAAGAAGATGCGCTCGCTGGGAGGCATGAATACGCTATTGGACAGAGCTGGGACACCAATGGCTCAGAATCCTTACAACGATCCAGCCATGATGGACTCGGAGACAGATCGCTCGGCCGCCCAGTCAACGCTGTTGCAGACTGCACAAGTACGGCGACGTCCAGGATTGATGGACGCCCAGATCGATCAGCGGGAACGGGAGATTGAGAAGATCGCCCAGGGCGTGATCGATTTGTCCAACCTATTCCAAGAGCTGAACACAATGGTCATAGACCAAGGAACCGTGCTAGATCGTATAGACTACAACGTGGAGCGCACGGCAGAGCACGTGAAAGAGGCCGAGAAAGAGCTCAAGGTCGCAACAGGGTACCAGAAGCGAAGCACCAAACGGAAGATCATTCTGCTGCTCGTGCTGATTGTGGTGGGAGTTTTCATTCTGCTACTCATCAAGCCGAGGCGGAGTAGCTCGTTCACGCCGGCGCCTTCTGTAGGTGCGCCTAAGGCTCCTGTACCAAATGATCCTGGTGCTGGACTGCCACCCAGAGCGCACAGGAGGGCAGATGCAGGCACCTTCACTCCAGGAGAGGCAGTAGCTCCGCGACACTCTGAATGGAAGCGGCGGCGGCGGCGGCGACCTACTGATGCATAGATACAGTATCGTCCTTTGAGCGCAAGCAAACTGCAGTCAAGGTACCTCCTACCATGCCTATTTTCCCGGCCTGCAAGAGCACTCTTCTGTGCACTCATCCCAATCCTCAACGCCCGTACCGCCCGCAGAGTACATCAATGGAAACGTGTTGTGAAACAGTTTCATCTCTCGATATGAGCACAGCGATAATGTCTTCACTTACAGTATGTCCAACGTTGTACGTGTAGCCGTTCCACCACGCGGCCCACTCTTTTCGGACTGCCCGGTCCATGCCGTCTCGACGTCACTGGTCGCGCGTTCCCCAACATCTGAAGTGTGAAGTACATGTAATTGAAAGGTACATCGTCCAGCAACATTGGAAGTCCTGCTCGCCATCAACCATCATGACCAAGGTGATTCTCGCCATTAATGCGGGCTCCAGCTCCGTCAAAGTCTCCGTCTTCTCATACGAGTCGTCAACAACAGAGCCCAAACAACTCGCAGAAATCCAGATTTCAGGCCTCACAGCACCTCCCGCAAAGTTGAAATACAGCCGCGGCGACCAGAATATCAAGGATCAAGATGTCAAGGAAGTCAGCTCGCAAGAGTCCGCTTACGAATACATCATCAAGCACCTCACGGAAGACTCCGGCCTGCCAGAATTGAAACACCGTGATGACATCGAATTCGCTTGTCATCGTGTTGTTCACGGAGGCGATTATGACCGGCCTACGAGGATCGACAGAGATACATATCATCACTTGGAAAAGCTGACTGATCTGGCGCCTTTGCACAATGCGGGTGCTTTGACAATCGTCCGAGCCGTTCATGCCAATAATGAAAAGGTCAACAACATCGCTTTCTTCGATTCAGCTTACCATGCGACGATCCCGAGACAAATCACAACCTATGCAATTGACCCCAAAGTCGCAGCACATAACAAGCTGAGAAAGTATGGTTTTCACGGGATATCCTACCAGTTCATCACCCGTAGCGTAGCTTCTCATCTCAACAAACCCATCGAGGCCACGAATATCATCGCTCTTCACCTCGGCTCAGGAGCATCGGTGTGTGCCGTTGAGAACGGAAAATCCTTGGACACGTCTATGGGCTTGACACCTCTAGCCGGTCTGCCTGGAGCTACGCGATCCGGAGATGTGGATCCATCGCTCATCTTCCATTTCACGCACGATGCTGGTAAACTCAGCCCATCCAGCACGAAAGACATCGGTATCACGCAAGCGGAAGACATCCTCAACAAAAAGTCTGGGTGGTCGGTCATGACGGGTACGACAGACTTTGGAGTTATATCGCAGAAAGCTGAAGACGGAGATGAACAATGCAAACTGGCATTTGACATCTTCGTCGATCGAATACTCGGATTCGTGGGTTCTTATTATGTCAAACTGGGAGGAAAGGTGGACGCGCTGGTCTTCGCCGGCGGGATTGGCGAGAAGGGCGTCCAACTCAGACAAGCTGTGAGTGAGAAGGTCAAATGCTTAGGATTCGAGATGGACGAGAGCAAGAATCGGAATATGACGGGAGAGGGAGCCGTGGAAGATATTGGAACGGAGGGCAGCAAGCACAGGCTACTTGTTGTGCAGACTGATGAGCAGGCTGAAATGGCAAGGCAGTGTGCCCAGCTAGCGGATGAGTTGAGGAAAAAGTAGAGTGAAGGTTGGAAGTCATCGATCAGGCAGTAACCTGGTTCGCGTTGCATTGAATGTAACTAGTCTGACTCTGATCAGTCACGCAGAATATACGAGGAGCAGCATCTCTTCTATCTACAGTCGTCAGCAGCATCTAATCACGCTCGAAGACGGAGGCTTTTTGGAGCACTGAAAATCCTATCGTGATGACCGTAGAGGAGAAGTTCAGGGGCGTACACAGACGTGACTCTGTTGGCACAGCTGTGGCCTATGTACCTTAGTTCTTAGATCGAGGAGGCTAATGGCGTCAAATACTGAACGGAACTGCTAATGAGATCGCAGATCATTCCAGACAGGGCCAACAAGTTCTGTCGACCAAGAAGCACGAATCTACACAAAACTACGCGATCGGCTTCCCCAATGCTTCCACGTTGACACCTCTCTTGACAAGAACTCTCGGCCTTGTCATTTTCTGATGAGTGACCTTTGTAGTCCACTCCGGCCCCATCGGTAACCTTCTGCTCCTCTCGTATTGCTCCTTGGTCTCAAACTCGTGCGGCAATTGCGTCGCAAGATACTTCTTCCCCTTGCGATCCTGCTTCTCACTCACAATCACCCGGTCCATTCCCGCATCTTTTCTCTCATTCGCTCGAACGCCGGCGACCTTGGTTTTGTACAATGGATTATGTGCAGCCTTTTTGTTGAATTTTCGAACAGATTTGCTCAAACCTTCACCGGTCCAGGTTCCCCAGCCGGGTAGGTGGTTGGAGACTTCTTTTTCATCCTCGTCGTCCACCATTTCGGCTTTTTCGGCTTCGAAAGCCGCTACGACATCGTCGCCCGCAAACGCTCGTTCTTGCAAGGAGATTTTCTCCTCTTGTGGCGTGAGAATCGCGTTGGTGGGTTCGGCGTCAGAGACATCTTCATCGTCGGCTCCGGTCTTGTATGATACTGTCGTCCAGCCATTAGTGTTTCCGGCAGATGTGCTGTTCTTGGCCTCTTCGTAGCCGATGCCAGCTTTGGTGGGCTTGGAGATTGCTGGAAGAGCTGAGGAAGGCGTGATAGTATCGGCATCGACAGCAGCATTCGCTCGTTTCGCCTTGCTGCTACCGGAGGAAAGCCAGCCGCCATACGCTTTCCCCGAATCTGTAGGCTCATTTGGTTTGAAGCCAGCCTTGGCAAGCGGACCACTGGTTGCGGTCGAATTCTTCAAAATGCTTTTTGGCTTTGCAGTCGCCTTGGTCTGCGGCCTGTCAACCACAATGCCAGCCTCGGCAGCTTCGCGATCCTCAGCATCGGCTTCTTCATCAGAATCTTCAGGGGCTTCGAATTCCTGCTTCTGCCTCACCTGGTAATTCTGTGCTTTTGATGCTGGTCCAAATATGGCACGACCAAGTCCTTCCTCTTCCTCTTCACTCTCGACTTCATCTCCATCTGCGATGGCAAGCTCTCTCCTTATTCGCTCAACATCCTCATCATTGGCTCTCCTTCTCTTCTCGTCGGACTGTTGCATGAACTTCAACCCAGCTAGTCCTTTCATGTTCTGTGCGTCTCTTTGCAGCAGGTTCAGCTTCTCGTGCGTGATATCTTCATCGTCATCTTCGCTGTCTGGAGACAGACTGCCCTCATCATCAGAGACATCTTTGCCGGCCATTCTCTTCTTAAGCTCCTCATTCCGTCTCGCCTGCTCAACAGCCCCATCACGAGCGCCGTCATCCCAGGCTGTACGATTCGTCTGCTTCAGTGACTTTGCCCATTTCGAGTCTTTGTGCCGGGTCGACATTCTGGCTTCGGCTCTTTGCCGATCATGTTTCTCCTTAGCGTCTTCGTCCATGGCATCATAGTCGAGGCCGCCCATAGCCAAGTTTTCTTGCTCCTTGGCTCGCTCGCGCTCTCTGCGATGCACTCGGCGATAACTTTTGCTCTTAATCTTCGCAATCCGCTTCGCCTTGATCTCCTCTCGAAACAATAGTGCTCGTTGCTTGCGCAGCTCAGCGCGTCTCCGCATCACTTCTTCCACATCTATGTGCCTCTCAGCCAGTCCTTCGGCTTTCAACAAAGCAGCCTCTTCGTCTTCCGCCTCGCCACCCTCGGCGTCCCGCTGAGTCGCCAGTCCAGATTCCTCCATAATGCGTTGAATGCTTGCCTCAAGCTCGTTTGCCGGCGCCCCTTGCGTTGCTGGAGTGAACTTTTCTTTCCCCACGGTAATACCAGTATCATCTGGATGTTGTAGGGGAAATGTCAAGTGTTCGGCTCGTCTGTTCTGAATCACAGTTTGCTTCCATCGATCAAGCGTTTCCTTTGCCTTTGCCGTAGCCACCTCTCGCTCGATGCGATCCTGCTGTCGCTTCGGCAAAGGCGCGGATATGACTACCTGCTGTGCTCTCTTCTTGGCCTTTTTAGACTTGTCCGCCACCGGAGCTACATCTTCTGCAAACTCGGCGAAGAGGTCGTTCATGTCCACGTCCGCTCCAGAACTGGAAATCGTTGCCTGATCTCTCCGCGACTTTGGTTCTAACGCCTCGAGTCTGTCTCGCATGCGGGCCGCCTTCTCCTCGTCGTCCGCATCATCGTCGTCCTCTGATTCTGATTCTGATTCCGAGTCGTACTCTTCATCGTCCTCGCTACCACTACCGCTGCCTTCTGCCGGGGCATCGTCTTCTGACATCGGTTGATCCAGCATGGCAGCCAGGTCGATCGCATCGTCACCAAATCCCAGCCCCTCCTCATCCTGGCTATCTCCACTATCATCGTCGTCTTGCTCCTTCTCGTTCAAATCGAAATTTTTCCGCTTAGGTGTTTTTCCACCTTTGCTCTTCTTGCCTTTTAGATTCTTGCTCCCGCGAAATGTAAAGCCCTCGAACTTCTCCTCATCGCTGTCACCGAACGCCTCGTTGGAGTCTAGGTCGCTATCTTCGTCGTCCTCGGCCAGGCCACCCATCGTCCATTCGTTGCCAGAACTGTCGGAGCCATATTCGACCGCAGCATCTGGATCGTTCACTCGTCGTTGTGCAGGTCGCTTCCGTCGCGGCCCTTCGTCCTCGTCGTCCTCGTCCGCATCGTCATCCTCATCGCTGTCGTGTCGACGGCGTTTCTGCCTCGGGCCATCGTCTTCGAACTGGCCTAGGCGATGCTTCGCTATGCGTGCTTCCGGAACGAGCTTCTCAGCTCTCGAGTAGGCGTCCAAACTGCGCTTCTTCGACTTGTTCTTGGCTGTTTTTCCCTTTGCACCACCAGAGTTCGGCGGTACACTCGATCTCGACACTCGCGCAGGCATTTTGAGTCTATGCGCAATTGGTTCCCTGGGCCGAAGTGGCGGATGTGCGTCTCGGAGTGAAATTTATCGAATGACCCTAGGCAATCTGGTCTTGGCGGTCTCGCTGTGGGTCTTCTCTCCCGCATCTCCGCAGACGGAGCCATTTGGTGCCTACATGTCAAGTAGCCTACCCTGCATACCTTACACTGCCCACAACAGTAGCATAGCACCGTCGCCCTCCTAGGACTCGAGAACATCGAAAGTTCAGATTACCGCCCACCATGCAGCCAACTCTGCCGCTCCAGCGAGCCCTTCGCCGGCTGCCGCTGACGACCAAACAAGGCCCGCACAACTACTACAAAGGAAACAGGACGGGCGCGATGGGAAGGCATACCAAGCATGGAGGCTACATAATAGACTGGAACAAAGTGCGAACATATGTGTGTCCGGACTTGACTGGTTTCGAAGTACGTCGTTGCCGCGATAGTTTCGTGGAGTAGTCCTTGGAAGATGCGAACCGCTGACTCCATTTCTAGCTGACTCCATTCGTCGCCAAAAAGATATCACCACCGGAAAAGGAAAGCTACGCGCACACTGAAACCAAAAACCCGATGGACGGGAAGGAGTACATTATGAAGTGGAAGGAAGACGGTGGAACCCTATGAAGACTGGGCGATAGGTAACATGAGACGAATGAAAGACGATTTCGATGCAGACCCAAGCCGCAAGCATTCCCTCGTGAGTGAAGGGGAGGGAATCGGCATGCCTAGCTCTGGTCAAGTGCTGGCGGACGAAGGACAAGAATTCGCACTGTTCTTCTGTACAGACCGCTACGTGTGTCGCTTGGAGCCGTGGCATACGGAGGGACTGGCGGCGATCCATTGAACAAGCTGAACACTCTGGATATTGTCGAGTCGATGGCACACCGAGCGGACCGGGTGAGCGAAAAGCTCAATCGTCACTTCACAACAACGATGAATGGTCAGCGCGGTTGGTGGAAGCGGGCAGAATGATTGGCGCTCCATGCGTTTCCAAGACACGCAGACCCAAGAAACCCGTACATCTAGTCTGTACCCTCGAACCGCTGACGGACCGCATCACGAATGCAGTCCTTTGTCCAGTAGCTCACAAATCAAGCAATAACCCGATGGTTGAGAGGAGTAGGAGCCAGAAGATACGAGCCACCCTTTCCAGCACCTACTCCGCATCATCACTGTCATTCATGTCTATTTCCTTCATGCAATTCTGTCTTCTTACGGACACTCTTCATTTATCGGCATGCCTCCAGCTACTGCGGGTCGACACCTGAGACTAAAGGCAAGTATGCAGGTTCATGTTCCAGCTTGCAGCTCACCTGCGCAGTCCCTGGCATGGTTCCCCACCCTTGTATCCTCAATCACCTTCAAACTCAACGTCGAGTAGGTGGTTCTCAAACTAGCACCAGGTCACAAATCTTAATTACAGCTTCCGACAACATCTCATTCAAGACAGGCAACTACATCCACGACAATCAAAACTTGTATGCCCACTTCAGGGCCTCAGCAATCCAGTAGCCTACCTAGCATCTGTCTCCCTCACCTGACCCACGCTTAAGGTTCGGAAGTCGTTCCGTGCCAATTATGACGAACCTACGAACGGGCTTTGGGTTTCTTGTATTCATTAGTCAACCTCAACCCTGGAGCTGAAACGGATCATTTTGAGTGATATACAACATGCTCGGCCTTTGCAACTACATGGGTGGGCTGTACACAAATACATGCACATATGGAAAACCAATTATCAGAAGGACTTGACAGGATGTCATTGCTGCTAAGATTCCATTGCTGCACGCCCAGAAGGGGCTTGCATTAATCTGCCGTGTAAACTTCGCCAGCCTGATGACTAGGTAAGGTAAGGTACAGGTACCTGATCATTTCGCCACAAGTCTTGTTGAGCGTCATCAGTCTGGGTACATGTACGTAGGTAGGCAAGCAAGTATGTATGTCGGCAGGGACACGATTTCTTTCTTCGACAAAATCTTTCAGTACAACCAAAAAAAACTTTTACCCACATGTATCTTACTTGAAATCTCACACAAAACACCATGGAATACCAATACCCGCCGACCGGAAACCGATCACGTGGAAATTCTACAGCTGCAAGTCGATACATACCTCCTTCTGCTGGATATCAGAACCCTCATCCTCCTCACCAGCAGCAGCAGAGCGAAATTCCCACCTCATCATCATCGAGGCCAGCAGAACGGAGTGAAAGAATATATCCCCCGGGACAACCGTACAATCCACCACGACCGGAAATATATCAGAGTCAGAATGCGAATTATCAACCAATATTGAACAACCAGCAGCAGCAGCAATTTCCACCTCATCCAGAACCTCCTCTCCCAATAGGTGATCATGTAATCCCACCAACTACTCGAAGAACTTCCACATCCCCTCGTCCACGGCTAAGTGCGGACTCGCGGAGAAGTCATCGGTCTGGTTATAGCCATTACGAGGACACAAGCCATCCGGGTCGAAGGAGTCATGATACACATCGCAGTCATGATCATCACCATCAGCCTCATCATCATCATCATGATCACTCTGAAGACCAGGACCGCCATCAACAACATCATAACAACAAGCGTATAAGTGGTGATCGAAGCAGTGTGAAGTCGAAGCGATCACACCATTCGTCGATTCGTCACCATTTTGACGACGATGTTGGGAGAGAGATTGAGCCGCTGAAAAGACATGATACGAGATACCCGACGTGAGTACCATTTTTTCTCCAAGACGCGCGCAATGTGTAAACGGCATTGTGATCTAACTCCTGCTATTTTGTAGGCTGGGTGATTCGATGGTATCCTTGTGGGGAGGCGTGAAGAAGTCTTTGCGATTGAAATGATGGAAAGTCGATGAATGGAAGTTGTGCAATGTACCATGTGTACCTACCTGGTATGTAGTGTATAGATCATGGGATGGATTTCTGTGATCGCACCTGTGAACCAGACATATGTCCCGGAGTCTTTTGATGGTAGAGTTGGTGTATAGATATCAGGACTGGTTTGCAGAATTGGACCTCGAGATCTCCTTTTTGTCGTAGGTTCGAGAATCACTACCATCGTGAGTCCTGGACGCCAGAATGCAGGGGGTGCAGGGAGGTCCAGCCTTTTCTCGAGCACATCTGAAGTACCGCAAGTGCACACAAAGAAAAATAAAAAGTGTTCCATAGCTGACATTGGTGAATTCATACCGACTCATACCTGACTTTGCGGAGTCATTGCCATATGTCCAAACCACCATTGCCTATCCCTGTTCTTGCCCATCTAAGCATATCTCCTTTACCACCAAGTCTTTTTGCCAAAAACCATGCGGAACATCATGTACTGAGCAGCTGTGTATGACAGTATATGAGCACCCGAACTCACGACTTCTTTCTCTCGAGTGGGCAGTGCTTACCGGCAGTAGTGGAGATCATCAGGGCGTAGTATGGGTAGAGCATGTACTTGGCTCGTGGTCCCTGCGAGACAGCAGGTAAGTGTTTGCCGGAGTATGCGTGCCTCCCATCTCGTGTATCCCATCGCCTCTATTCTGCCTCCGCTGCCGCTTCTTGCACTCGCTACGCACCTTGTTCCATGTTCGCACGCCGTCGTGGGCCTGGTGGAGTCGTTGCCAGGCTGGGACGTTGTTCTGGCGGTACATGCCAGGGAATTGAGGCATGCCGCTGTAGCTAGGTTGTTAGACATTGTATCGTGGGTCGGGAGGTCCAGCGCGATCGTGGATTCGTGATTCTGGAGTCAATACGTACCCGGCCCTTCTGATGAGTGTTGCGCGCATGATGTGAGGATTTGTGGGTGAATTGAAGGCGATGCCGTGGTCTGCAGTGGATGATGTTGAAGTTGAAGCGTCGCAGGTGCATCTCGGCAATTGCCGGATCATTGCCAAGACAGGTTAAGGACAACTTCTGTTCTTCACAACGGGACTGTAGAAATCAACATGACAACAGTAACCTACAGGAGCGATGATTTGTCGCACCCTCCCTGCTACCATTGTTGAATACCTGTAGATTATCGCTCGCACGGCCGCGTATACTGTAGTCCTACAGGAATGGCACCAACAGGCATGCGACCTCCGGAGCTGAGAGCCTACCTACATATATCGACATAGTAACACTACATGTATTTACTGGCGCTGATGGCTACTATACATACGGTCAAAGGTGGGTTGATATGAGCTCTGCATACATCGATCGACCACTTTCGAGCATACTATCGAACAATGGTGGCGGGAAAAGCATTGCGCCATTCCTCTCGGTGAACAAATCTCTCCACACATATTGGACCTCTTCGTTCAATGTGCTCGCTCTGCGACATCGGTGAATAAGATGGAGCGACCGCCTAGTCACATAGGTAGCGATCGCATGTCCGGCTCGAGTGCGCTCAAAACTGGCAGATACCGCTGGCTGGAGCGTACCAAGTGTGACTTGATTGTCGAGCAACACCACAAAGATGCAACCATGGCCCGGATCTCGAGGCTGGACCTCCGGCAACCCAAGCCAATATCGTGGTCCGCATGATTACAAATATCCTGGTCGCATAGTTTTCTTGGCAGGCTATAACCTCGATAACGCAATTGCTCAACATAGTCCAGGCACAAACCGTTTCCAGGGCCGGGCTGGACAACTGTGGTACGGCAACGCTCAGAAATCGTTCATGAGCATGCAGCGACCTGGGCCCGGAGGGTATGCTGGCGGCTACTTCTAGTGGATTCGTGGTAGTGGGTGGTAGGGCAGTCATGTCAACAATACCTACCTCATCGGTACTGCACTCTTTGCCCTCCCCTCTTCTCCAACTTTGCCTGTCTCTTACTCTGCCCACCAGCAGCCTCACTCTGTACCTTGGTCGGATCCGTCGCTCCCCCAGGCATCATGCCTCCCATGCCTGTCTTGAATCCACTGTAAGTTGTCCAGGCACTCCAAATACTGTAGACCGGCACAACAGAGTAAATCCACCAGCCATAGTCGCCCACCAGCGACACCAGAACAATCGTTCCCCAGGTCCAGTATAGGACATCCCACATGAATTCTGTCAAACCTTTCGCATCGAGGTCCTCGCCAGCTCGCTTGAGCTCTCCGTCAACGTACGTGGGTCGTGCTATGCGTTCGAACCAGAACTGAATGACCAGTGCGGGGGCATTGAAGAGGAAGTAGAGGAAGAGACTGCGTCGTCGGAAGATGAGGAGGCTGAGAAGGAGGTAGAGGGCGTTGATGGCGAGAGAGATTTGGTGCGTGCGATTGAGCGTGGCCGTGTTGGACTGCGCCTGGGTTTTGAGCGCTTTCTGTTATGCACCGTCAGCGGTAGATACGAAGCGTCAATTATTGAACAGAGCTTACCTTGGCCATTGTTGAAGTGATCAGTGAGTGAGTGAATATGTTATACTTATTAGCGTAGAGCTGTTCGATACTCTCGAGGACTTCTAATACTACGGGCGTTATATAGCTACTCGCTGCGCTCGCTACTAGTGTCGCGCGTAATAGTATCGCGCGTAATACTATAGTACCCTCCCTATCCTTACGCTTTTGCCTTAGTTGTTTATACTGCTAAACGACGATAATAGCTTCGTAGGTACGTATAGTAGATCTGCTAGGTAGCGGTATTTTAAATACCTCTATAGACTCGAGGACGTCGGTACTCGCGATACTCGCAGATAATATACGGTTCGGCTTATTAGTCTCTAGATAGAATAATCGTACGAAGAATACGTCGTAGAAGTCTTTAATAGCCGTAATAGGCTACGTAGGTAACTTAGTTAGCTCGAATCGCGTAAGTATAAATTCTATTAACAGCTTCTTAGCGCTATTAGCTACTCGATTGCGATCTGTCTAATAGTTATAGAGGTCGGTATAGGCAACCGGATCGTAGTACTTCTACTCGTTATTATTCTTTAGAGCTCGCGTAGTAACTTACTATATATATACTATAACGCTAATACTAAACGAGATAGCCGGAAGCAGCGGATTTAACCGCGACGATAGTAGGGCCGGCGTATACTGCTAACGTATAGTCGGCGGTAGCGTACCGGCGTACGGTACGACGGCTATAGCGGCCTTAGCCCTAAACGCGATATTAGCCTCGTTACGTATAGTATTCGCGTACTACAGAATCCTTGCAAATGTCTAGAAACCCTATTAACCGTCGCTAAGTACTTACTATATAGATCGTTTTAAGGCGACTAACCTTTACTTAGTACGCGGGTACTAGCTACTACGATCGCGACGGCTACGGCTACGGCAGCGGCGGCGGCGGCTATCTAGTAACCGGACGGCTACTTTCTAGTATACGTAATAGTTCGTATACGAATTTAGTACGTAGAGGGTTTGGATTAAGCTAATAGTACTAAGAGCAGAAATTAAACTTATAGAATATAACGCTATATCTAATCGACGGTACGACTAGACAGTATTTAGCCTAGAGGCTAGGTAGGTTGTCGGCTATAGTAAATAGGTCGGTAGAGAGAGAGAGTATATATATATATATATATAAGAAAAGAATTCAAATAATAGTACGTACCGTAATATATACCCTAGAGGGCTTAGCTCGCTTAGCTCGTAGTTATACTCGTAGGGGAGATACTAGCCCTATAGCCTACGGATTATTATAGAACTCGATAATACCTAAATCCTCGTTCGCAATTAGCGCGTTGCTAGTATCTCTAAATACTTCCGCCGTCTAGCGCGTAGGTATCTAATCTCTTACTACTAATAGCTTTAGAAGTATACCGAGTATTAGCTATTGTTCTAAGCTAATATAGTTATTTACTAGGCTACGTAGGGTAATATAGGCCGTACGGTACGTACGGTCGCCGGTCGCTACGTTGTACGATATACTACTAATAGGTAGCGCGAAGCTATAGGGGAGGAGGCTTGCTTTGTACTATTTGTAGGTATCGGCGGGAAGAAAGGCCTCGAGGTCTATACTCTATAGTATTAAGTTAGCGAGCAGGCTATAAGTAGAGTAAGTATATATACTAAACCCTTCTAGTATCCCTTCGAGCGTCTATAGAACCTCCTTAGGTATATATATACCTTACTACGTAGCGCTATAGAGCTCTAGATAATGCTGTAATATATAAGGAATACCTAGAATCGAGTATAGCCAATTGTTTTGCCTCCGAATCTTATAGTAATTCTATATCTTTACGAATCCTACTACTATCTCGCGGAGAATCGTAGTATAGATCGCTAGGAAGGCAATATAATCGCCTAATAACTCTAGGTTAAATTCGTTCGTAGTATTCAAGCTATAGAAGTACGCGCGCTATCTATTCAGCGCCTTAGCCTACTAATTCTACTATGCCTCGATACGCTGATTTATCTTACTTATACTATATCGGAAGTATTTACCGAATCGTAGTAGTAGTAACGAGGCCTTGCCGCGAGTACTACGCTTAGTATTCTCGACGTCGTAAGCAGTATAACGTACTATATAGTACGCGTCGGCGGCTAGAATAGTCTTACCTCTACGATCCGAGCGTATAATTACTAGCGCGTATCTACTATAGCGTAGTATCGCGATATACTAAGCGAGTACCGAAACGGCCGATCTACTAGTAATTCTAACGTAAATCTACTCTATATACCGCGCGTATACGTCGATTGCGCTATATATCTAAATACCCTAGTACTCGAACTTATAGTACGTATTTATTGAAATTGCCGCTAACGGCCTAGATATAATAATAGCACTATAGTGCTCTCTAGCCTTCTCGTATCGCCGCTAAATACTATCGGGATGAAGCAATTTGATAATACGGTAGATATAGTCCCTAAGTAGGTTAGCCGATAGCGATTTAATAAGCGAGTAGACGGCGAGCGCCTATATACCTCCTAATTATATTTATCTCTAAACGTAGATATATATATAGGTTCCTCCTACTATATACCTCTACCTCTAACTTAGCGAGCTCGTCTGTAAGTACTATAGCGATTAACTCTTTAGTATATACTTACTCTACTACTAGTATCTGCTTTCTAAACCCTAGCTCTTTACGTATATACCGATATATCCTTATACTAATTTTCTAGCTATTAATCGCTAGAATCGCAACTGCCTCGCTATCTATAAGTCGTAGCTTAGTATAGGTATACGCTATACGTATACGCAAGCTATCGTCTTCGTCGAAGATATCGTACTATCGACGATATAAAGGTACGGCGGGCCGTCGGCGGCTATAGTAAGGCCCTAGGCTTATAGCCGTCGTTCGAATATACGCTCTACGATAGAAATACCGAACTACTAGTATAGATTAGCGATAATCTACCTCTACGAGACACCTTCCGCGAGCTACGTAGCGATATAGACCTAATAGTTATTATAGTCTATAGCGCGTAGTCCTCTAGGTATATACGTCCGAGGCATATTAGTAGGTAGCGACGGATGCGGCGGTAACGGCGAGGTAGGCGGCGAGCGTATAGCGAGTGTATATAGCGGTGTATAGTAGGTAGAAGGGTGGAAGTAGTAGGAAGATAAAGCCAAAGAAAGCCGGGGGTGACGTGTGGCGGCTGGCCACTTTGGGCTTCCGTCCCAGCCACACGCTTGTTGCGCCAAGACCGAGTTCCCCGGGAGTCGCATTGGATGAGGCTCTGCTGTCTCTCAACATGTACCTACCTTATCCATACATGTACCTACGACGGCGAGGATAACGACGAGCTTAGCGAGGCCGACGACGACGACGATAGCGTACTAATTATTAAGAAAGAGAAGGTATTATAGACAGAGAGCGTAACTAACGCCCGCAAGCTATCTAAATTTGTTGAAATCGACGGTAATACCGATATAGATAACGCTTATATCAAGAAAGAGAAGGTATTATAGACAGAGAGCGTAACTAACGCCCGTAAGCTACCTAAGTTCGTCGACTTAGAAGCGACGCTAGTAGCGAGCGCGACAAGTAGTACTGCCGGTATAGCGATACTAGTAGCGAGCGCGACGAGTAGTACTACCGCTACGCCTACGGCTAAGCGATATAAGCTAGCGGTTCTAATTAGAGAGAGGGCAATAACTAGAGCGCTAAGCAAGAAATAAATCGCCGCGCTCGCTATTAGTATCGATAGATATAAGCCCGTAGGGCCCCCGGGGCCTAACGCTATAGCGGTTGCTATTACTACCGCCAGCGCCGCCCGGTATTACTTATATAGAGCGTAGATACGAGTAGAAAAGACTAATTTTTATAGCTATCTACTACTATCGACTTATATCTACGACGGTATACCTATATTGTAGAGTTTATATAGGGTCGGCAGACAATCCGATTAGTCGGATATACCCGGCGCTAGCTTATATTCGCTAACTCGCTATAGAAACGCTATAGATCGCGCGTAGCCTACCTAACTCGCTATACTCGCTATAGTATATCGCTACTATATATATAAATAGGTAGGTAGGTATATATATGCCTATTTACTAATTATTCGTATACTGTATACAGAATCGTAGTCGATTCCGGTATCGATACTCTACCCTACGGCTATACCGCTATAGCTATATTATAGACTATATACCGGAGCTCGTCGACGTACGGTATAAGCTACTCTACCTAATCCTCTAATTTGCCCGTCCTATCTTAAACGGTCCCTACCGTAGCCTATAGGCTATTAACCGTAGCCTATAGCGCTTTGATAGTAGCCTCTAGCTAGGCGATTCGCTACGAATCGCTAGGGGAATCGTTAACGGGTATCCCGGCCTAATAGCCTAACTTAGTATATCGCTTATAGTAGGCGTAGATAATACTATTCTTTACGTCTACCTTATACGGCGCGTTACGCGGACCGCGAGTATACTAGTAATACGGATCTAGTGTATTAATATCCTCTATAGTCTCTATAATTCGGCTAGCTTAGTCGAACTTCTATAGGTTATTTTTCGCGACCTTCTTCTTCGTCGCGTCGTCGCCCGTAGCCTCGTCTAACTAGCCCTACTATCTTTCGACTAAGTAGAACTAGAAGTTGCTAGAGTCTATAGTAGTAGGCCGGCGCGGGTATAGATCGGGGGTATATACGGCCCTATATACAGCGAGTTAGTAGAGATTCTAGTAGAGATTTAGTAGCGAGTAAGGCTAGCCTACCTAGTATCGTCCTCCTTATCCTCCTTATCCTCCTCCTTATCCTCCGAGGTATCCTCGGTATCGGTATCCTCGTCTATAGCGTCGCTGTTATTTATCGTAGACATGTTCCTACCGAGCGCTACTAAAGCAGTAGATACGAGGAATCTATAGTATATTAGTAACGTACGAGTTTACGCGCCGTATAATAATATACTAAGGTTCGAATAATATAGTTATCTATGTCTACGGCAGTAGAGGAGAGAGAGTAGACGTATTATAGTAGTAGATTCTTTCTTCGAGTTACTATAGCGACGGCTTTGTTACGTAGGTAACTTATTATAAAGACGACGGATCCGGCGACAAAGAGAGAGGTAAGGTAGCGATAGATACGGCGGTAATAGCGAGGTAGGCGGCGAGCGTATAGCGAGTGTGTATAGCGGTGTATAGTAGGTAGAAGGGTAGAAGTAGTAGGAAGATAAAGCTAAAGAAAGCCGGGGGTGACGTGTGGCGGCTGGCCACTTTGGGCCTCCGTAGGCTGGCGGGTCCGTGCTTCTTGTGTGTTCATTGATGTTTACCTTCAAAGTTCACCATCACCACCGCCGCTGCCACTTCCACCCCACTGCCCTTGACAAAGCATTACCCTAGCCAACTGTCCCCTCGTTCACTACTTACTTCCCTGGTCGCAATACTGACATGATCTCTTACTGATTGACCTTCTTCCCTCTGCAGCAGCGGGCATTCAGTCCAATCCAGCGCGCCGCATGCAGTGGTACCCGCATGGACAGCTTCATGCATGCTCGACGACTGGCGCCCTTTGCGACGACAACAACAACAACATCACTTAGGTCTCCTTCTACTCATCCTGTGAGGTAGCTCAGTACCATGTCACCGCACACCGGCATCGCTACGTCGCAGCTGAAGCAGCTCATCTACTACCACCTCGACAATGACCTGCTGGACACCGCCAACTTCCTTGCCGGCCGCCTGCATGCGCTGGAGTCCCGCAGTCCTGATGCCGCACATCTGCTGGCTCTGACCTACTACCGCTCGCGCCGCTACAAGGCCGCGTTTGATTTCGCCCACAAGTTCGGCTCTACTGGTCGCCATTTGGGATGCGCATATGTGTTAGCTCAGGCCTGTCTGCAGCTGGGTCGCTACTCGGAGGGCGTGACCGCGTTGGAGAAGGCCAAGGGTCAATGGGCAGGAAGGAATGAGTGGCAGAGGTACTCGGAATCTTCACGGCGGCACACTCCAGACGCAGCCGCTGTGTTGACAGTCATGGGGAATCTGCATCGCGCGAACGAAAACTATGTCAAGGCAGGCGATGCGTACATGGAGGCTCATAAGATGAACGCTTTCACCTGGGACGCATTCGAAGGCCTCTGCAAGATTGGTGCTGATCTCAAGGTGGACAACATGTTCAGAGCGACGGGAAATTTAGCTGGCGTCGCGGAGGACTTGGACATTTACGTGGACAAGGACTCGAGACACCCGCTCGCACCCCAGCACAACTTTGCGCCGACGAATGTGTTCGCTATGGACGATCCCTTCATGTCGTCGAGAGGGGGTGTGGGACCAGAGGACGCGCAAACCAGAACGAAGGGCAAGTCGGCTTTTGGCCTGGGCAATTCCGCACGACCAGCGCTTTCCGAGTGGGACACGCCTACTGGTAATATCGTTATGGCGGAGGATGAGTTTCCGACGGAAGAGAGCGACCTGTTCATGGACGTGCCAGCAGCTCCTACGAGAAGGCCCCGATTAGGACAGCAGTTCGAGGCGTCCGATCTTGCTCGTCCATCACGACGAGGCGCTACAGGAGCTCCAGATCAGGTCCCGGAGACACAGCAGGCACTGCGGAAACCCAGTGCGGGAGGACAGAAGCGAACTGCATCTGGCGCACCGCCCCCTTCCACTAACGACTCTGGACCACCCAGGAGGAGCAACCGTTTGTTCACTCAGACTACCGCTGCCAGAACGACGCGTTCTGCGGCAGAGTCGGCGACGTCAGCAGCTGCGCGAGCTGATAGAACAGCTCGGACAGCGAAGGCGGCTACGGGCACAAAAGGGAGAGTCGGCGCTGTGGTAGGTCGCGTTGTTAGTGGCAATCGCAAGATCATGCCCCCCGAGGACCGTGAAAAGGAGAAGGACCGGCGGGCTGTTGGAAGAAACGGAGAGCGGGGCGCTTCTGTGCCACATGTTACCGCTGCTACTGTAGTACCAGAAATACCCTCAGGGCCTTCTGAAGAGGAATTGAAAGCAGAACGGCAGGCCATGTCTGGACTTCTAGACAACTTCCGACAACTTGCAGTCGGCTGCCAGGCCACTGCAACCTTCAAGCTCGAGGAGGCAGTGTCAGCTTTCCGTGGCCTACCCTCAGCGCAGCGTGAAACGCCCTGGGTGCTGGCCCAGCTGGGCAGAGCCTACTTTGAACAACAGGATTACAAGGCTTCAGAGGACTGCTTCGCAAGGCTGATCAAAGCGCAGCCATCCCGCGTAGAAGATATGGAGATTTACTCCACTGTTCTCTGGCATCTCAAGAAAGAGACAGCACTAGCTTTGCTCTGCCGAGTTTTGCGCGACAATCACTTTGATTCGCCGCAGACGTGGGTGGCGGTAGGTAATGCATTCTCTCTTGCCCGCGAGCATGATCAAGCAATCGCGGCTTTCAAGCGTGCAACGCAATTGAACGAGAACTTCGCATATGCCTGGACGCTCATGGGGCATGAGTACATTGCCAACGAAGCCTATGAGTCGGCAATCACATCTTTCCGACATGCTGTGCACATCGACTTTCGACACTACAATGGTTGGTATGGTCTCGGAAAATGCTACGAACGCCTTGGAAAGCTGGAAGATGCTGAAATACACTACCGGAAAGCTGCTGCGATCAATCCTGCGAACAGTACTCTCCTCGTGTGTATTGGAATTGTTCTGGAGCGATTGCGAAACAAAAAGGGTGCATTGGCGAATTATAGCAGAGCGCTCGAGTTGACGCCAAACTCTGCATTGGCGAGGTTCAAAAAGGCACGGGTCTTGATGCATATGAAGTATTATCCGGACGCGTTGGAGGAGTTGGAGTTTTTGAGGGATCAGGCTCCTGACGAAGCGAATGTGTGGTTTTTGCTAGGCAAATGCTACAAAGGTCTTCAGGAGAAGGGAGAGGCGTTGAGGGCCTTCACAACGGCGCTCAATCTGGACGTGAAGGTGAGTGACAATATTGTACTGTCCGTGAATAATTGTACATCTGTGCTAATGGTGATCAATGACAGGCCGCGCCATTCATCAAAGAAGCCATGGAAGCATTGGACCAGGAGGATGATGACGATAGCGAGGATGATTGATACTAATACTGGCGTTTTGAGCGAGCAAAAGTAAGGGTTTGGTCCTGTCCTTCATGCAGAAGACAGGATAAGGAGAAAGCAACAGAACAGCGGGAGTATTTCTGGAGGACGGGACATATTTTTGTTCTACTACCATACCTCGGATAGCATGGTGTTCAGGGGCTTGTGTTGACCTCGAGGAAGAGGTTGCGACGTTGCGTGTATCGTGGGCTGCAGTCTTGGTGCCTGCGTAAGAAGCATAGGATCGCAGACGATTACAGGAGAGAATTTCAGCACTCCTAATACCATGACCTTCTTTCCTTCCTACCTACCTGATCTAGTTGTGACTATGGTAGAGTTGAGGCATGGAGTATACTGAAGTCACGAACTCGAGAACGGTATCTCCCGTCCCGTCCCGTCTGGACAGTGGGCACTGAAGACTGTGACAGAAGTAGTGGAGCCATGCAATCAATTTTGCCATCGACTCTCGAAAGCTTTGTGACGCGCCGCGCCTGCCTGCCTCTAACTATCGCGTAACGCGTCGAATACCACGCACCGCACTCACAACACCCGTTTCCCGCCACACGCTGCAGATACACCGCTCACTCCGCACCGAGCTGGCACATCCACTCCCACAGCGCGCCGCCGAGCGCATTCCTGACCGCCAGCCATGTTCATCAAGCAGATCATCATACAAGGCTTCAAGTCCTACAAGGACCAGACCGTAATCGAACCCTTTTCTCCCAAGCATAATGTCATCGTCGGGCGCAATGGGTCTGGGAAGAGTAACTTCTTCGCCGCCATCCGCTTCGTGCTCAGCGACAAGTACACCCAGCTCAGCCGCGAAGACCGACAGGGACTTCTTCACGAGGGCACGGGCTCTGCGGTGATGAGCGCCTATGTTGAGCTCATATTCGACAATAGCGATGATCGGTTCCCGACCGGTACGCCTGAAGTTGTGCTTCGCCGAACGATTGGGCAGAAAAAGGACGAGTACAGCCTGAATCGCAAGAACACGACCAAGCAGGAAGTGCTCAGTCTGCTCGAGAGTGCTGGCTTCAGTCGCAGTAACCCTTACTACATCGTGCCCCAAGGCAGAGTCACTGCCATTACGAACATGAAAGACCAGGAGCGGTTGAATATGTTGAAAGAAGTTGCTGGAACTGGCGTCTACGAAGCCCGGCGGGCAGAATCGTTTAGGATTATGGAAGAGACAAAGGCGAAGCGTACGAAGATTGATGACTTGCTGGAGCATATCCGGGGCAGACTGGGAGAGCTTGAAGAGGAAAAGGAAGAGTTGCGTCAATTTCAAGAGAAGGACAAGGAACGAAGATCTCTCGAGTATACGATCCACCACAAAGAGCAGCAACGGCTCGAGGAGCAAATCAGCAGGCTCGATGAAGATCACGGAGAGGGCATGGACCACAACGAGCAGAATCGCGAGGCACTAAAAGCGAACGAGCAACAGCTAGACGCCATTGATGGTCAGATCGCAAGCTTACAACAGCAAATTAGCCTGCTGTTGCAAGAACAAACGCAGTATAAGGAAGAGCGGACAGAAAGTGCGCGAAGCAAGGCTCAGATTGAGGCGGATGTGCAAGCGATGCAGGACAATCAAGCATCAGCTCAGCAGGCGCAGAATGCTCTTAACAACGAGCTACTCAACGTGCAGAAGCAGATCAAGCAGCACGAGACGAGACTAGCTCAGTTGCTTCCGAACTACCAAGCCAAGAAAGACGCGAACAAGGCTGCCCAAGATCAGATCCATGAGGCGACTGCCACAATTCAGCGCTTGTATGCCAAGCAAGGTCGTCAAGCTCAGTTTCGCACCAAGAAGGAACGAGATGGGTGGCTGAAGCAAGAGATTGCGACGACTAATGAAAGTCTTGCCGCCCGGAAGGCCATAAGTATGCAGGCACAAGATGAAATTGCCGAATTTGAGACGCAAATAGCTCAGCTCGAGGCTGACATCGCTGAATTACGCCACCGTGTTGAAAACCGTGGTGATGCTCAGCAGAACATTTCTGCCGAAGTTCAACAGGCAAAGGACGAAGCAGAACGCCTGCATGACCAGCGCAGGGAGCTTTGGCGCGAAGAAGCAAAGCTGGGGACCGTGATCTCCAACGCTCGCGCCGAGTATGACAAGGCAGAGTCAATACTAGCCGGAACTATGGACCCGAACACAGCCCGCGGCCTTGTCTCAGTAAGGCGGATTGTTCAACAGCACGGCATTGAGGGTGCCTACGGCCCACTTGGAGAATTGTTCGAAACATCACCAAAGTTTAAGACAGCAGTAGAAGTCACTGCCGGAGCTTCATTATTCCACTATGTCGTCGACACTGATGAAACTGCTGAAAAGCTCATCAAGATCCTCCAGCAGGAACGAGGAGGACGAGTGACCTTCACCCCCCTGAACAGAATCAAAGTGAGGGAGACGGAACTCCCGAACTCTAGCGATGCCGTTCCTATCATTGGGAAGATCAAGTACGACATGAAGTTCGATAAAGCCATGCAGCAAGTGTTCGGCAAGACGGTGGTTTGTGTGACTCTGCAGATAGCAGCACAATACGCGCGCAGCCATGGTGTCAGCGCCATCACTGCTCAGGGTGACCGGTCTGACCAGAAGGGTGCCTTGACAGGTGGATATTTCAACCCCAGAAACTCACGCATTGACGCCCTTCGAAGACTCATGGCTGCCAGGGACGAGTGGGAACGCGTCCGTGGCCGTGGCGACGAAATTCATGACGAACTCCAGAAGCTTGACCAGCAGGTGACCAAGGCAAAGAGTAATCTGCAGAAGATTGAGCAGAAGCGTGATCAGCTCGAAGGCGGCTATGGTCCACTACGAGAAGAGCTTAGGCGCAAAGAACAAGATCTGGGCAAGCGCCGCGACGACATCGATCGGCAGCAACGTGCGAGGGAGAACATTGATACCTTGATAAAAGACTTGAGCAACCAGATGAGCGGATACCAATCGGAGCTGCAGGCGGACTTTAAGAAAGCGCTAAGCAATCAAGAGGAGCGCGAGCTGGAAACGCTAAGCGCTCAACTCCCGGATTTGAGAAAGCAGTATTCAGAGCTTGGCAGGGAGCTGTCCGAGCTAGAGAATCAAAAGAGGAACCTCGAAGATATCTTAAATGTCAATCTTCGGCCACGTTTGGACGAATTACAAGGCGCAGACCTGGACGCTAACGTCAACAGTAGCGGTAACAGCAATTCCAGACTGAAAGATCGAAGCAACGACCTCAAACGCATCACCAAAGCGTTGAACACCATCGACAAGAAGCTGCTGGAGCTTGAGACATCCATCGAGTCTGCACAGGAACAGCTTCATAATCTTGAAGCCAACCGCGTTGAACAGCGGGCAGAAGTTGAGAAGTTCGAGCAAGCTATTCGTCGTTATCAGAACAGGATCGAAAAGGGTGCGGAGAGACGTGGTGCCTTTCAGGCGCTCCTCAACCAAGAATTGGCCACGATCCGCAGTCTTGGTGTCCTACCTGAACAGACTTTCAGGCCGGAGTATACCGAGCTTAGTTCTGATCGCGCAACGAAGCGTCTGCACAAGGCACAAGAGGCTCTCAAGAAGTACGGCCACGTCAACAAGAAAGCATATGAACAGTTCCAGCAGTTTGAACAGAAGCGCGATGAACTAGAGAAACGTCGCCAAGACCTCGACCTCAGCGACAAGTCGATCAAAGAGCTCATTGACGTGCTCGATCAACGCAAGGACGAAGCCATTGAACGCACATTCAAGCAAGTTAGCAGAGAGTTTCATATCATTTTCGAGAAGCTTGTACCAGCAGGCACAGGGTTCCTCAAGATTGGCCGCAACAGTGATCGTCAGGTCAACGGAGGCGCAGAGGAAGAGAGCGAGGACGAAGGCGCACGCTCCAGGAAGGTGGAAAATTATACCGGTATCGGCATCCACGTCTCGTTTAACAGCAAGCATGATGAGCAGCAACGCATTCAGCAACTTTCTGGTGGGCAGAAGTCGCTCTGTGCTCTTGCACTTGTGTTTGCTATTCAAGCGTCTGATCCTGCTCCGTTCTACCTTTTCGACGAGATCGATGCGAATTTGGATGCACAGTACCGAACTGCCGTGGCACAGCTTTTGCAGGAGTCGAGTCAAAGCGGGCAGTTCATTTGCACCACTTTCAGACCAGAGATGCTACACGTTGCGGAGAAGTGTTATGGCGTGAGTTATCTGAACAAGGCGAGTAGTATCGATGTTGTCAGTAAGGAGCAGGCTCTGGATTTTGTCGAGGGCCAAATCAGTGGCAAGTAGAGCGTCAATGTGTCAGTCATGGTGTTCCAATGATATGACGGAATGAGGCGAGGATATGAGACCGGCGTCAATGCGCAATAATTGCTTTGAATGTCGAATGATACCAATTTGTAATCCGTGGTGCCACAATCGAATCCATCAAACCTTTAGCTCTTTTGTTCTGCTTTGTACTGCGTACTGTTCCACTCCCAGGTCGTACGGTCTTCCATTTTCTGCATACGGGACCAGATAGTCGGCTAGAGTATGGAAGCCCATTAACTGGCCTGAGTTCACCCTCATGTATTAACAGCAGATCTGTCAATAATGAGCTGGTACGCTTAGTATTTGGATGCATTATCTTATCGAGCGAGATCTGAAATACATATAAGATTGACGCAGGTATATTGACATATACGTAAGTACATATATATATGTATATATATACACGCTGTGTGTAACTGGTGTTTATGTGTATGACTAATCAATCCCATTCGAGAGCGCCAAGATTTACATCGTCATTCACTTTACGCGTCTCGTACTACGCGACTCCCAGCTAAGATCAACGCATCAACTACCTATATCACCTACGTCCAGTCTGGACATTCCGACGCAAATTTGATACGGCAGCATGCAATAACACGACATCTCCTCGGACACCACCATGTCCTCCTCGCAGAACCAATTCGTATCTTCGCCCGAATCGCCCACGAGTCGACGACCGCGGCGCAGCAAGTTTACGTGGAAACACCTCTCGACCCTCGCACATTCGGCCACAAATTGTCCATTGCGCGTGATCGCGCACATTGATTTGGATGCCTTTTACGCGCAATGCGAGATGGTCCGGCTGGGCATAGACAAGGACCAACCTCTGGCGGTACAGCAATGGCAGGGTCTCATCGCCATCAACTACCCGGCTCGGGCATATGGTCTCAACAGACATGTCACCATTACCGAGGCGAAGGAAAAGTGTCCGGATATCATCTGTCAGCATGTGGCGACGTGGAAGGAAGGTAATGCTACGTGGGAATATGCGGATGATGCTTTCAAGGAGATTGCTATTCGAAAGGTCAGCTTGGATCCGTATCGGATTGAAAGCAGAAAGATTTTGAAGTGTATTAAGGATACTTTGCCTGCTGATAAGCAGAGGGTGGAGAAGGCGAGTATTGATGAGGTGTTTTTGGATTTGTCTGCTCAGGTTCATGGGATTCTGTTGGAGAGATATCCGGGATTGAAGGGACCGCCGCCTTATGATGACCCCTCAGAGCCATTGCCGAAGCCGCCTACTACTGTGTTGGATTGGAAGGCTGATGCGTTGGTGGACTTGGATGAAAAATATACTGAGGAGGATGATCCGGACTGGGATGATATCGTCGTTTTGCTGGCATCGGAGATTGTGCGGGATGTTCGAGCTGCGGTCTTCAAACAGCTGAATTACACCATGTCAGCTGGGATCAGCAGGAATAAAATGCTAGCAAAGTTAGGCTCTGGCCACAAAAAGCCCAATTCGCAGACTGTAATTCGAAACCGAGCAGTTCAGCACTTCTTGTCTGGATACAAATTTACCAAAATCCGCAGCCTCGGTGGCAAGCTGGGAGATCAGATTGTGGCCGCCTTCAATACGGATACTGTTGCAGAGCTATTGCCAGTGTCTGTTGAACAGCTGAAAAAACAGCTGGGAGATGAGACGGGATCGTGGTTGTATGATATCTTACGAGGTGAAGATAACAGTGAGGTCAACCCGAGGACCCAGATCAAATCAATGCTGTCTGCCAAGTCCTTCAGACCTTCCATCAACAGCTTCGACGTCGCTTGCAAGTGGCTCCGCATCTTTGTATCAGACATTTACGGCCGCTTAGTAGAGGAGGGCGTGCTGGAAAACAAGAGGCGGCCCAAATCGATCAATATACATCATCGACAAGGCCAACAGACACGGAGCAAACAAGCGCCTATTCCCATGGGCAAGACCATATCAGAAGACATCCTCTTCGATTTAGCCAAGAACCTCCTCGCGCAAGTCATTGTCGATGGGAGAGCTTGGCCGTGCGCAAACTTGTCGTTATCAGTCGGAGGATTCGAGGATGGTGTTACTGGCAACATGGGAATCAACTCCTTTCTCGTGCGTGGTGAAGAGGCCAAGGCGATGCGAGCTGCCAGTTTCCAGCGCGAAGAGTCGTCTGAGAAAGCTCCCTCCAAAAAGAAGCGACGCATCAAGTACGGAGGCACGCCTATTGTCTTTGCTCATAAATACAACAGCTGGGGCAGTGATGTTGACGATGAAAACGATGAAAACGATGACGATGACAATGAGGCTGCTGCACCCCCTGCTGGAATATCTGCAGACTACGATGACCAAGAAACTACCAACGCAGCCCTCCCTCCCTCTGCACAGCACGCCCAGAATGAGCCATCGCGTATTCCCGCGTGGGCACAACAACATCAACACCACCACCACCACCGTCCATCCACCAACCCACCCGATCTCGACAACGAAGAGAGCGAAACAGCAGCAGCTGCTATTGCTACAGACGAAGAAACTTATACGTGTGAACGCTGTCACAAGCGACTCCACCACCAAGATCGCGCTGAACACGACGATTTCCATTTCGCACAAGATTTGCAGCAGCAACAGCAGCAGACGAGTCCTGGTCGCCGTCCACCACCCAAGCCTGTGCGGCCGCCGGCCCCCTCTTCTTCTTCGAAACAGAAACAGAAACCAAAGGGTAGGGGAAGACCGGTGAGTAATGGAGTGGGACCTCCTGAGAAAGGGCAGAGGCGGTTGGCGTTTGGGTGAGTGAGGTAGTTGGTTAGTATGTATGTATATATGCATGGATGAATGTATGAAGGTGTCGTGTGCCTGGTTTTACCAGGTACTGTATGTTCTTCTTCTATTCGTTGTATCATCTCGTCTATCTCATTCATTCGTTCATTCGTTCGTTGGTTGGGTGGTTGGGTTTCTCCAAGTCTCAGGCTTGCTGCCGATGCGGTGAAAAGTACCTTGGCCAAGTGAACCTCCAACCATCTACAAAATTCCCCAAACTCTGCTACAGCCCCATTCCATAATCCCCGACCCTAAAATGCCCAGGCATCGTCCTCTCATACCTTATCGGCAACTGCGCAATACTCATCGGCCCCGCACCGGCCAAAACATGTTCACCCGGCGGCGTCATCTCGCCTCTCATATTCTGAGAAATTTTCTCCGCCACCTTCTCCGGCGTAGCGCCCTTGGTGGATAACAAATACACTAATTTCGTATAGGCCGCTTCGGTCGTCATATCGTATCCGAGTTGGATCCCGGCTTCGACGAGTTTGCGAGCGGGCTCGTACGAGTTGCTGACGCTGCCGTGGAGGCATTGTGTTACGTTGACGATGACGATGCCGCGGTGTTTGACGGCGTGTTCGAGGGCGGGGATGATGCTCAAGGGCATGTTGCCTGCTCCGAAGGTTTCGAGGACGACTCCCTGGATTTCGGGGGAGGAGAGAATGGTCGAGACGATGTGCGAGGTGATGCCGGGCCAGACTTTGAGGACGATGACTTTGGACGAGTCCATGTCGGGGACGGCTTTGCCGACACTGGGTGGCTCGTGGAGAAGATTGTCGTAGTGGACGACAATGCCCGTTTCCGAGACGGTGGCCAGGGGACCGGCGTTGGGGCTTTCGAAGCCCGAGTAGGAGCTCGCGCTGATTTTGGTGATTCTCGTCCCTCGGAGAAGTTTGTGGCCAAAGTAGACGCACACTTCGGGGATGCGGAGATGAGATGCGAGCACGATGGAGCCCAGGAGGTTGTCGGATCCGTCGGAATCTGCGAAGAACATGCTTCGCTGGGCACCGGTCAAGACTACGGTCTTTTGCAAATTGTCCATGAGCATAAAGGATAAAGCCGCCGAGGTATAGCCCAGCGTGTCGGTTCCATGGCAAATCACAAAGGCGTCGAAATGAGCCTCGTTCGCGCGTATGGTTTGTGCGAGTTGGTTCCACGTTGGTGAGTGTGCCGTGGAGCTGTCCAGCAGAGGGTCGAATTCGAGGACGGAACAGCGTACATTTTCGCCATTTCGGTCTCGTGGTAATCGCAATGTGGGCGCTTCAATAGACTTTCCGTGTTCGTTGGTGACGGTGGTCGACAAGACGGGCGTGCCGTCGTCGTAGGTCGGATTGTGTCGCAAGCACTCGTCCAAGAAGAGCTTGGAAGTGACGAGGCCATCTTTCGAGTCTTGCATGCAGATTGTGCCACCTGGAAGAGCAGAGCGACGTGTTAGCAATGGCGCCGGGTCGAGGTATCACCATATATATCATGGGCACATGTACCTGCGACGACGAGAAGGATATGGGGCTCGTTGGCGCTGTTCGTCGGTGTATTCGTTCCTCGCGAACCATGCAGATACGACATTCGGTTGGCCGACACAAAGGACAGCAGCCTGTATATTCCGGATGTCATGTCAGGCAGGTTGGAGTTGTACAACTGTTGAGATGACATGTCGACGGACGGATGGTGCTCTTTGGCTGCTGAGACGGCGATTGTCCCCCGAACGGTTTCGTTGTTGGTTACCAGTGATGGAGGGAAAATTGAAAAAGGTGCAAGGTATTATTACGAATATATAAAAAGGGTGGCTCTTATCGGCAGTCTACCATGGAACAATGAAAAGATTTTTTCGTCCTCACCAAACCCTTTTCCATCGGGTCTGGGGGCCAGATATGGCAAGATTCGAGAGTGGCGCCAGCATGACCCGGCCAATGGCGAGGGCCCAAGTCATGCCGACGAGGAGACAGAGGCGTGGCATAAAAGGAGTTGCTGTTACCCCTTCGAAATGCTCACTGGCTGGCGGTGGTGAGGTCAGAAGCGCTGGTGAAAGGACGGAGCTTATTGTGCCGATTGCGAGGCGGCTTCATCTGCCAAGAATATGGAACTCAAGTACGAAGGTATACGAAGGTAATTCACTCACTCACTCCCATATTATATATTCCAACGAGTGTTCAATGCCGTCGCCGAGCAATATGGTAGATCACTTGACCATCGCTTTCCCAGATGCCCAATCTTCCAACGCAGCAGGGAAATATTGGTCATCCTCGTCCACGTCATCTTAATCCTCATCCTCATCGTCCTCTTCCTCTTCCTCTTCCTCTTCCTCTTCCCCTGACTCTACCACCAGCTCTGCTTCATCTACATCTAACCCTACCCAAGGCTGCCAACCACCAGCTTCGGAATCAAATATCAGGTAATTTCTAGGCTCAACCTCGTCATATAGAAATGGCGGGGTTTGAACCTCGTCAGTACGCTGGAAAAATAGTCTGAATTCGATGTCGTTCCTGGAAAGAATCTCTACAGCAATCTCAATAATGAGGTCCATGGCCTGGTTGCGGAAGTATGCCATTCTATAGCGGCTAACAACCCTGACTTCCAGTCGCTCGAGGGTATTCGAAATCGTACATCGATGGGCTAATTGATATATTCGCCACTTTCTGCGGAGGTCTTCAAAGCCGTTTTCAGATCCAGGCTCAGCGTCGGCATAGTGAGTGACCGTGAGTTTTCTGAGCTGTGGTGCAGCCGTTAAAGCTGCACGTTCGAGCGGGGATTGTGACCGCAATTCGGAATCGATGAAGAAATCACGTAGCTGCCACAGATTCTCGAATACTCTGTTGAATCCATTCAGCGCAAGTCCGGCGAGGGTGAAAACGTTATCGTCGTGATCGCCGAGGAGCTGCGGATCGAGTGGACGGTATACGAGTCTCTGCAGCGAATGCCCTTGCTGCTCAAGCGCTGCGGATGTCTGCGCCTTATCGGTTGCTAAAAGGTCGCCGCCCATGTCCCCGATCTGGTAGTGAGCACGACTCTCGCCTAGAATGTGTCAGCCGCGCGGTTGGCTATTGAACGAGCATAATAAAGCGCAATCTGGAAAGAGTGCTCAAGGGAGTATCCAAAGATTGCTCCAATCGAGGCCTCTTACGAGCTTATACATACCAAGGTACAAGGTCTCGAGGGCGCGCGGACGAGCAAGCATCGATGCAAGACCGGCGTGGCTGACATTGCATTCGATCAATATAAGATGCTTCAGAGGCGTGCTGAATGTGGGAAGACTTGGGTCTCCTCCGAAGGTGATCTCGGCACACGAGAGTGTGAGTGATTCGAGACAAGGATGTACGAAGAGGCCAGCAAAGAGTTCATGCGTACTCTAGAAGCGTGACCTGTCGCCGTTGCTGTGTATTTTCAAGCGCTTCAGCTTCTGCAAAGGTGGATCCGTCGAGGCCGCAGCAACGGATTGAATAAGGACGGGAGCAGAACGTTTGAGTAGAGAGTTGATATCTCGACCGATACGTGGCCAGTTTCCGTCGACGAGCCATCTCGTATAACGGCAAGCAGAACTCTCGATCGTGAGGTGCTGAACATTAGGTGCTCGATCCAGAATCCTCACGAACTTCTCCAAGCCAAGTTCGTGTGAGAATTGAGCGCGGAGCTCTACCTCATGAACGGCCTGGAAACGGAGTGGCCTTGCTCTGAGGCAATTCCATACCTTCTCACACTGCTGGCCAGTTCGCACGAAGAGCTTGCGCCATATCACCTTCTCCGCGATGTCTTGGTTGCGTCTCGAAGTCAGAGCTAGGTTGATAGCCGATGCGTTATGGTCATCGCGCGGCAGAGCCTGGACGATGAGGGTTGTGATCTCAGTAGGTAGGCTGGTAAACGTGGGCGCCAAGTGATGTGACCTTTGGTTGTCTGAATGCATTCTCTGAGTGGTGGCCATAGTGTGCAATGATGTAGCTATACCTGCAAAGGCTGTGGTGTAATAGACGGTATGTGATGATTGTCAACAGTACATGGAGGACGGTACAACATTGTCGTGTGGAGGGAGAAGAAAGGAAAGTGGAAGTGAAGAGTAAAGTAATGTAGTAGGAGGTACCTGTGGTCGGACGGGAAAGAACCCCGGCGGGAACGCGTCACGAAAGTCCAATCGCGTCTTCCATTTTCTACTTAACTCTTCCATCGCACTGACAAACTGGAACCAACCCTCCTTTGCGCACTGATTTGGTGCATACCCACCACACCACCATGGACGAGATCGACATTTCCGACATTCTCGCCTCCGTCTCCGCTCCGCCCCTGGATCCTCGCGCCGTCGACCTCCAATGCCTCACCCGAGCATGGATCAACGAGCGCACTGCTCCCGATCTCCTCCCCTACCCCGCCGACCTCATCACTCGCTCCAACGAAGGGATCAAACGACAGATACAAGTCATCGAAGACATGACAGGCTCCATGGACCCATCTAAGAACTTTACCCTCATTATTCTACAAACCGAACTCGAAAGGATGAAATTCCTCATTCGGAGTTTTTTGCGGGCGAGAATAGCAAAGGTACACAATACACTCCATACACATCACGCTAGCACCTTTCTTCCTCCTCCTCCTCTTCTTGGCTAAAACAGCAGAGTAGATTGACAAATTCCCGATTCACTATCGCCAAATCCTTCAGCAAACCGACCCCGACGAGCAGCAACAACCTCTCCTCTCGACGTTGGAATCACAATATCTCGAAGCACACCAGGCCCTATTGACGCAACATTATCACTCTTCATTCCTATCATTATTTCCCCAGCACATGCACAAAATGGATGATACACAGGGAGGAGTGTCGATGGTGGACAAGCCAGATGAGGACTCGGCCGTCTTCTGTCGAGTGTTGAGGGACTGTTATGTGGAAAGACCAGTGTACGGTGGTATTGATCTTGCAAGAGGGGACATTTGGGTCTTGCGGTGGCGCACGATAGCGGAGAGAGTGAGGCGAGGAGACGTGGAGCTCATATGAGGAACGATGATGGAATAATGAAATGATGGAGATGATGTGATGATACCCGGCTTTTGAGCCACAGATATAGATACCATGTTCGTGAATGCCATGCTGTGAGTTCACAGTCTATCATCATCGTTTCCCGGGTCGTTTTGGTCTGGCGAAACCGGCAGCCTTTGGGGTCTCTGCGCTGCTGGCACTTTGCCCAACACTATCTCCACCAAACAGATCTGCTGTCAGCTCATCTGGCTCGGTAGCTTCCAGGGACTTGGTAACCTTGATGCCGGCGTCTCGCTCTGCCACTGTCCTCGTCCAGCTCTTGCCAGTCGAATACACCATTCTCTCTTTGATCTTTGACGCCGTCGGGCAGGTATACACGAACAATATCGTTGGCGTGCCGTCCCCAGTCGCAGTCGAAGGATGCGAGTAAAAGCTATACCGAGGCTCCGTTGTGCTCAAGAGAGCAGCAACCTGCGAGGGCTGCACATTGTCGTTCGACGAATCCAGCATGAGTGTCTCATCCGGCAGCTGATACTTCAGCTGTACCAGTGTCCCTTTACAGCCCTCCTCGTTCAGTGACTGCAGAGCTTCGAGCACGCCCTCACCCGTAGGCACATTAATCTTGTTGGGTGCATGACCTCTGCGCGCAGAAGTTCCCTGCGACTCTTGTGCTTCTGCCTCCTTCACACCTGCCAGACCCGCCTCTTCCTCCGTGAGTGGCGCCTTCAATGCCTCATGCTGTTCATGCTTCTTCCAACCTTCGGCGGTCAGCTCGCTCGCTTCGGTTGCGAATAGCGTCTGCCTGAACCTCTCGATTCCCAATTCACGCACTAAGGTCAGACGCGTCGAGGCGAAGAGCATCTTCTGGCGGACAGGCGCTGCATTGGGAACGTAAGTGATGGCGACATAGCCGTCGGCGACGCCAGGTTCCACTTTGAGCAGAATATACAGAGCTCGATCGGGCTTCGCATTGCTTGCGACCTGAGCCAGATCGGCTTTGAAGTCCTGTGATTGCAGAGGGATTGTGTTCAAGGGGACCAATTTCTCATTCTCGATGCCTGCAATGAGAGCTCGCTCGCTGGCGGAAGAGACGAAGCTGTTAAAGGCATCATGGAGCTCTTGCGAGGCTGTAGGTATCTTTCCCGTCAGCAAGTGACGTTCACCGAACAAGTTTCTCACGAGGGAGTCGTATGGCTAACCTGAGATTCCGGACTGCATCTTGTGATGGGGTGTTGTTGTCCTTTGCTTACATGGATGTATGCATGTGAAAGCCGACGACAATATCGGCTAGTCGGGACAAACCTGGAAGCAAGACTCGAGGAGATTCCAGGGACTCTGCTCTAGTAGGCACAGTAGGTATACCAACCAAACCCAATTAAACGCGAAGCCTTAAAGGTTTCATACGATGCGCATTGGAGACACATATCTATCTATTTCTAAAACAGCCAACTGCACAGGCAGCCATCCATCCATCCATCCATGAGTAGTGAATTTGGAGGAGCAGGAAGAGAAGGACGATACCCAGGTACCCAACCTCTCCTTCTCCATCGTAACGCTAATAAGTAATTCATACCATCTTTCCCCCTACACAAAAGGAGAAGCGCGCGCTCGCTCTGCAGGATGGTTCATTCTGCACAGCTGTTCCGTTGCCAAGATCGCGCGTACCTAGCAATGGAATCACAGGACCCCAATGAGAGGCTTGTGTTCCAAGGATTTCGATCGATTCTAGCATATATATAGGTATATCCCAGGGTATATCGTATATCTAAACCAGTAGGGTCCGACCACAACGCCTCGCTTGTACGCAGCATCAGAAAAAAGATCTGAAAGGGCAGAGGAAGAAGATGCGAGAGGGGAAACCTCAATCACGATAGTTTTTACACTTCACGTGGAAGAGCTCCTGCTCACCCTTCGCGTTAAGCACCAGCGCCGTCAATTTCCCGCCGCCAACACAGCCAGAATCTAGACCTTTGGACCATCTGTGAATGACCAGACCACTTTTGCTGTCATGTCCGTAGATGACGACACGAGGTCGCGGATGTACCTTGCTTCTCCCAAAAAAGTTCTTCCAGAGACCAACCGCCCAGCTGGGAGTGTCTTCTCCCTGTTCATCTTCGCTTTCTAGATCGTCGGTCGGAAAGCCGGCCATGGAGTGACGTCGAAAAATGCGATCGTTGTACCAACACCAGATGTCATACCACGGCTTCGCATTCTTGCCATCTCGAAGTGCAGACGGTACGTGAGTTCGACCATTGATGGACCGCATATTCATGACGAAATAGGGATCTTGCTTCTGTAGTCGCACTCCTGGCACCAAGCCAGCGTGTACGACAATGATATGCTCGGTAATTGGGGAGTTCGTCTTTCTCGTAGGATGTCGCGCCATGGGCAAGGCCGGAATTTGTAGCATCAAGGGCATTTGGCGCATGTACACGAAATGACGAGGCTCCAGCTGGCGCACTAAAGCGGCGTCTCTCGCATAGCCTTTACTACTCTCTGCCTCGACTGGAATCGAACCGTCTAGGCGGAGCTTCTTTGCGATGTGTAGAAGACGATCTTCGTGATTTCCCCGCACACTCGTGGCGTTGAGTCGGATGAGCTCGTCCAGTACACCAAGATTTTCTGGTCCTTTTGTCACGGTGTCGCCCACCAGGACCAGATGATCGGTGTCTTCGTTGAACTCCACCTTGCGCAGCAACTTCAGCAGCTCTTTCTTGCAGCCATGAATGTCGCCAATGAAGACCAGTCTTCGCTTACCGTCACGATCTGCTTCGCCACCGGGCAACAGATGTGGCTCCAGCTTTCTCAAATGAACCAGGTCTTTGTCATGACCACCTCGCGCAATTCCGTAGGTTCCATTGCTCTGCTCCATGAATCCCTCCTCATACAGCCGATCTACCGCCATGACTGGCTGTAGATAGTGTGCCCATAGGTAGTACACTGCCACCACGGTGAGCAACAGTACTGCCAACATCCTTCGAAGTCTCCGTGAGGCAATCAAGTCGCGTATTGTGCTTGGACAACTCGTATCCTCGTCAAGATCGCAGCATGTGTATTCGCGCTCGTCGTCTCCCTGTCCCCCTGTCTTTTGCGTCTCATCGGTCTTGTCGTAGCGCCAGTTGTTGCTGATCCGGTTGATTAGAGGTTCATATTGGCCTCTCGTATCATCGAGCGGTGACGTAGAAGGATGAGCTGGTGTTCCCTGGTGCTCTGCAGCTCGCTGCTGTGCCTCCAAACGTGCCTTCAGATGTCCCAGTGTCACATCCGTGTCATCCCCCCCGCCTGCCATGCTTCAGTCCCCGAGTCGCAGTAAAACAGGTCGCCAGTCCGTGGGTGTAAGTGAAAGATGCGGCGTGCAATATGTATCTATGCTCGGGTAGGTCTGCGATGTGTTGTCGAGGGCATTTCGGAGAGCATATACTGACAGCGAGTGAGTTGCGCCGAAAATGGAAGACGAGAGGGGGTGCGTGTGCGTGGGGGAGGTGTTGGAGTGTTCGTAAGGGCTCCGGCTGTTCATATGAAAATGGAAACCACCAGGCAGGGGTCGCGTCACTGGAGACCCACTTGCCGACGAAGCCGGTGTGGTCCGTGCCGTGGGTCGACTCGACGAAACATGGCTTAGCGTGGTGACCATGAGGCTGCTTCTCATTGGACAATACATGCACCCTTCTAGCCTGCAAATCCACGACATCATCGCTGCCCTCCATGTTCACAACAACCTCCGGCTGCAGTACCTACAATGTCATGACCTGTACCATTCAACCACCTACTGCGAACCACGGGAACCACGGGAACAATGCCACATTTTCCAGAAGATATGACGACGCCGTCCCAGCGCATCTCACCCTCGCCATCAGAACGGGAGAGCTACACCCAAAACCGAATTCGCATCAAGAACAGACGGATGCGGTATCTCAGCACGCATCCCGATTACTTCACGTCTCCCGACCTCGAGCTTGCTGGTAGGTAGTAGAAATCCCAGTCTTCGTAGATATGTAATATATAGGTGTACTTGTGTTATATACATAATACCCTCATCATCCCTCACTCGTCTGCCCCCACCCTCACCCCGTATAAATAAATATACAAACTCTCATCACCGCGAAAGAAAAGAAAGGAAAAGAAAACCAGAAAAAAAAATCCACTAGAAAAACCCCGCCCTAAGAAAAACCCCCACAGATCCCCTTCTCTACGACCGACTCGTCCGCAGATTCCAAAGCGCCGCCGAGCGCGAGCAAGAAGGTCGACGAAGAGGCTACACGGGAGTTCTCGAAGCAGATTTATTCCGAAGCGAAGCCAAACTCGCCGCACTGCGGCAGCAGCAAAGACCCTCCGAGTGGAGCGGTCGTAGTAATAATAACAGTAATAGTAATGGTAATGGTATCAACCGCTCCGCTGCCGGGACTTCTTCTTCCTCTGCCTACCACTCCAATGGACAGATTCTGGAAGAGGACGAGGACGAAGACGAGGACGAGGACGAGGACGAAGAAGAAGCCACCGCTCCGAACAAGGAAAGCGCATGGAAGCGATTTGTAGACGTGATGACGCAACGGTTTTTGCGAGGGCACGACGGCGATTTTGACTATGCGTCCGTGGATGACAGTGAAGAATATGATGATCGCGAGGAGGAGGAACGGAGGAGATTGGAATTGTATATTGATGATCAGACGCCTGAATTTGTGGGAGAGGGTCTGCCTGGTGGCGAGACGGGGATTCAAGACTTTTGAAGAAGGTACCTCCTACCTGCCTACCTGCCTGCCTAAGGTACCTTAGGTATATGTCAATCAATCATGCTTAGCCAGCCAGCTAGCAACTTCTTTTCTTTACACTCTTTACACATTTATATATAAGTACATGTACCTACCTATATACGGTATACATGTATTCATCGCATGATGCTGCTGCAATAGAATAAAACAAGAACAATCAGCGTGGAATGTCTCAAGATAGATAGGAGGTAGAATATGAAGTCTTATGAGTTCAAACTTTCATTCTCTCGCTCTCTAATCTGCCACGCTCTCAACGCCTCGAATGTCATCATCCTTCGTGCTAAGTACATGTATGTACACACATCTTTCGCTCGCTCACTCGCTTGCAAATCCACATAAAGCATGTACAAAATTCTCCCCAAAAAGAACATTTCACCACGACAAGCTCTCTCCCCATTGGCAAAATCCAATCGCAAAATAGAAGGTTTGAAAATTTTGAACGACCAAGCAGCAGCAGCAGCACACTCTTTACTTTCATATGTGGCGTTGGTGCTTTCGCATATGCGCATGCTCGTGGCGCTTGTGGGGAGTGGGCGCGGCATCTCGCTTGTAGGAGTCTGCAGTCACCGTGACGACGTGCGTGACATACTCAATCGCATGATCAACAGCGTCCTTGGCAGCGTCCTTGATCGCCTCTTTGGCAGCACCGACGTAGGCAGGGGGAGAAGGAGCCGAGTATGCGGTGGCCAGTGTGGTGGCTGCTGCCTGAGGTTTCGTGGAAGAGCTGGGCTTGCCGTAACTGGGAGGGCTGATGGAAGAGGAGGGGGAGGAAGGGGAGGAGGAGTTGTAGCTAGGAGCGTTGCCAGCATTTGGTGCGCTGGCGGGCGTGCACTCGTCGGAGCACACACCCAGGGGAGCAGCGGCCATCTTTGGTGCTGGGTTGACCTTGCTAATCGGGTTACAGCCTGGGAGATACTCACCAGGCGTGTCGCTGTTCTCCTCGAAGTGAGCCTTCATCTTGCAGTCGGTGCTCTTCATGCTGAATCCTTTGAAGGTGGGGCAGGTACCGACGTCCTCATTTCCATAGAATGGATTTGGGCAGGACTCGATCAGCGATGGAATGGCACCCTCGTCCCAACCATTGAAGAAATCGGCGTGCCAGCCGTATCCAGTAGGATCACCTTGGGACAGGACAAACGTGTTGGGCTCGATCTGATCGTGCACCTTGTCGAGGTCGAAGAAGTTCTCCATAAAAATGTGAGGGAGGCGAATGGGGTGCGTGCTGGGGCATGGACCGCCCTGAGGATCGCCCTCGGGGTATGACATGTGGCTGTTGTCGTTCACCTTGGGAGCTTCACCATTCCAGCAGTGCGGGAAGTGAATCGATCCGGCGAAGCCAGGATAAGAATCGCAATTAGACACGTCGGTGGGGAAACCCGACTTCTGGTCCACGCCCATAAGCTTTCCCGTGCTCATGTGGCAAATCCATTCGGTGATGAGTTGGTGCTTCGTGTCCTTGTTTGCGGCACGCATTGTTTGATCACCCGCGACCATGTGGAAATTCTTGGGGAACTCAAAGGGCGAAGCCACTTGGTCGGCAGAATTTCCCACGTCGCGATAGTACATTTTGTGACCTCCACTGGGGATGCGCACGTAGCCTGTGCCGTTCTTGGCCTCCGCGTACAACGAGGGATGCCAGTACACAGACTTGTCCTGCGAGTTCCCCGCCATAGCTGCGTTTCCGACAGTGGTGCAGTCCGACTTCTGCAGAGACTCGTACGTCATGTCCGGCGAGGCTCCGCTTGCGCCGAAGATCTGACTATAACAATGGTTACTTCAAGCCGTGGAACATCAAGCGATCAGTTCACTCTTACTGCGTGTGTGCGCTGATTTTCCCTGGCGACACGATGGCATCCATGCGCTCCACCAGATCGCTGTCACCACCAGGGGTATACATGACGAACTGCCTCGCCGAGGAAGTCGTTGCTAGAGCCGCAGCGGCGGCGTACATTGTGGTCTTCATCTTCGCCTCGGTCGTGGGATTGTCTGCTGGTATCGCTCGGTTCGGTGGGTGTCAAAGGAGCGGCCCGGGGCAAAAGAGCCTTCTTCTTCTAATTCGTAATGAGCGTGGTGAATGCGAGCTTGTGTTCAAAGGAGTGACAGTCGACTGGTGTCGAAGGAGGGAATCAAGCTTGCGCAGGTGAGGTCAATGGCAAAGGCAGAAAGGAACGTAGACGAGAGTCAGCCGGCGACTCGATCGATTTGATTGAGAGCGGCAGAGGAGAAAGGAAGAATAATGGGAGAGCGTTAGGATTACCTGTTGTCGAGCCGCCGCGAGTGTGAACGGGGATCCTTATAGGCCAAGCGGCGCTATTTACACCAGAGACCAATAGACTTGGCGGATGTGCTTGAATAGGGTGAGGGAAATTGGACGGCTGCAGTGGACGACTCCCTGTTTGGGGGGAGGTGTGAAGCAGTTCGGATTGGTGCGATGCAGCTTCTATAGCGCAGCCATCAGTACTCCTGCAGACTGCAGTACCTCCTACGTATAACAGAGCGTCTGTCAGTGTCTAGCCCCAGGAGTCGTTTCATCATGCGGGCCGACAGCGAGTGTTTCTTGTGCATCCTGTGCATCTGCAGCACAGGAGTGTCTATAACTCAGTTCTCTCTCAAATCGGGGCAAAATACGAAAGAAGGCAGCTGCCAAGAACAGCGGGTCGACTGATGAGCGGGACAAGCGGGTGGTGTACGCGGTGCCACGCGCCGCTGCGACAGAATTGCACTAATGCCAGGTACCAAGAGCGCTTTTGCGGCTGCGATTGGCAGACGAGCCCTTGACGCTTGGATAAGGCTGAGATATATCGCCAAGGCGCGTGCGGTGATGAGACCGCCACCACGAGAGTCGAGCGTAGGCGCTAATAAGAGGGAGCGTCAGGAGGGAGCGGAGGGCGGCGTGTCAGCCTGACTGCTTGCGTGTCAGACTGTCAGCCTGCCAGCAATACCTCCTACCTCCTACTACGACCAGAGGACGACGGCGGCGAGGGACGACGAGTGGCGCGAGTGCAGGCGGTATGGAAGCCCGCTCTCCGGTGCGGTCAACTGCGGGATACCTAATCTGATGCATGGCTTGTTCTATGGCGATAAGTCTGGTCGTCCCGTGTTGTCCTCGTCGTCGTCGTCGTCGTTGTTGTTGTCGTTGTTATTGCGACGGAGGGTGTGGGTCGGTGAGCGGCAGAGACGTTGTTGGCCCACAGCATGGAATTGCCCAGAGGTGCAGACGTGTTCGAAGTGGAGATCGCTTCCACGAGTGGAGTCCACCAGCGCGGCCCAGCAAAGCCGACAAGGGGGCCCCAGATCGAAGATCTTGGCTGGTGCAAGTCATGTGATGCTCTGACAGCTCTGTGAGAAACGTTGACCGAAGTTCAACCTCCCACTCTCCACTTGGGTTCTCGGATTGGTTCGTCTGCGGTCCAGACCACAATCCTTGTCGCACAAGCGGTTCTAGCACTACCTGGACATGAAGAAAGTCAGCTGAAGCCTGTCTAGGAAGAACATCGTAATGGGTTTCTCTTTTGTTTTGTTTTTCTTCTTCTTTTCCTTTGTCTTTTCTTTTTTTTTCCAGTTTGCTTTTTCTTCTTCTCCAGTACCCATTTTCATTATGGAACTGAATAGCGTAGACGTGTTGGTACACCCATCCATTCATCGAGCTGCGATGGATGCCTTAGGTTTTCACGGAATACCACATCTGGCAACTCCACCCTCCCATTTCTCGACCATCCATCATTCTACCTCATCTCCCTCGCTATGCCATATCCGGCAATGCAGATTTCTGGATCCTCTGGAAACCTCCAGTCTAGATCACTATTGACATCATCCTCACAAGCTCCAATAGCTCTCGCATATCCCATCCCTACGGAACTGCAACGTTCCAATCAAGTAATTTCTCGTAGTTGCGAACCAGAGAATTTCGCCATTGAAATTCTTTATTGCAGCTCGTTGGACCATCTGTCTGCCGAAAGGAAAGGAACCGTGCAAGATGGGATCTACCACTTCTGACAAACAGGGTTCCACACAACTTCAGCGCTTCGTCGTACCTCCTACCTCCTATGTAGGGTACCTATGACTCCGACGAGATGGTCGCCTCTGTAGCTGAAGCTTACGGTAGTTCGGCACTAGAAACCGAAGCATCTGTACGAGCATTTGATGTCGGCATCGCTTTCTCTGGTCGTTGCGTGGTGATGGGACATTGTGTCCCGGCTACGGGTTCCCAGACTGGTGATTTCGCGATGAGGGTTCCGTATGTTTGGACCGTTTACGATTTGCGAGGTTCTGTTGGAAGGGGTGATTAGTCATTAAAACGAATGCGAGTGGAACGACCCGAACCGTTCATCCCGCAGAGCTCGAAGCTGACCGAACCGAGCCTCACCGAGCGCGTCTCTGACATCAACACTACCCGACATGTAAGGTACCTACATTTACCTGTATGTGAGGCGTGACCTACGTATCTATGATGGATTCATACAGGTAAGGTAATAGGTACTTTATTTACACATCGCCACACTGTGCATCACGCAAATTTTTTCCGAGCAAGAATGTTCTTCAGCTCTCGCGTAAGTACATGTACTCGCCTTTTACAACACCACCAACAACAGCACCTCCTCCTCGCAACAAAACCCACCTTACAGCTTCGAACAGCAGCAGCAGCAGCAACAGCAGTACTCCGACCATTCTCCACAGCAAAAGCAACCATGGGCAAAGACTCTCAAATCTCCAAATCGCCACCGAAGCATGAACTCGTCTACTTCCCCGGTCTAGCATCCGAAGTGCGAGCATTCGGCCAGTTTCGCAAAGTCTTGCACACAGGTCTCTACAGCCAGGTAGTAACGATGGAAATTCCCGTCGGAGGGGACATTGGCGATGAAGTCCACACGGTGGATCAGGTGTTGTTGTTTACGAGTGGTGAAGGGAAAGCTACTGTGGCGGGGAAAGATCAGGTGAGTTCGAGGCTGACGCATAGGTATCTACATATGTAAGATACTTAACTTACCTCGTACTGCATGCAGGCTGTCAAAGCATCTGATGTGGTAGTCGTTCCTGCGGGGACGCAGCATCAGTTTATCAATACTTCCAAGGATAAACCGTTGGAGCTGGTGACGATTTATAGTCCTGCTGAGCATGACCCTCAGACGGTGCACAAGACCAAGGAAGAGGGCGATGAAGAAGAGGATAATGGAAAGGATGAGGCGCCGGGGTGGAGCCAGCAGTCGAAGGATCACAATGAAAAGAAGGGAGTGGTGAAGGAGAGCGGCGGGCCATATGAGAACGGTGATGATGGTAGACATAACAAGTCTTGAGTCGTTCAGGTCATGAATACATAAGGTAGCCTTGGTAAGGATTTTCAATATGTAAAAGAAAAAATCATCAGACTTCATGCGTGGGTATCATGATGCAGGCCCAGACATACCTTCACTCATGTACAGTATGCACAGTTCCACCCTCCATGTCTCTTCTCTCACTTCTTTCCTCTCGAACTCGAGCTAATCATCTTCTTCTTGACGTGCTTGGGAATCTTTTCCTTCCTCTTCTCCCTCTTCTCCTCTTTCACGGCAAGCTTATGCGCCTTCTTAGCCTCCTTGTCTTCATGCTTCTTGCCTCTGGGCGTACCCTTGGCAAATGCACTCTCTGACACATCGCTATCCGAGCCATCATCCGAATCACTGCCATCGTCTTCATCTTCGCTAGCTGCTTCGTCTGGGACGATAGCCTTCGTGGCCAGAAGATCTTGGTAGACGAGGCCGTCGCCTTGACCTTTCTTGATCGCCTCCGCATCACGCTCAATGTCGTACACTTCGCGTAGTGTCTGCGGCATATACTGCTGGCGAAAGACTTCATCATCCACTTCTGTGTCTTGCTTGCCAGCTTGAGCCTCAACCTCAAACATCTTCTCTATCGTCTCCTTCATGCCAGTCATTTCCGTGCTTCCAGATCCAGCCGTAATGAAGCCAAAGACCGATCGCTCCGATAGGGTGTCCACGCCTTTTCTGCGGAAGAAGTCCGACACATTCTTGATATCCATTCGCAAGAACTCGAGCGAGCGAGGATGATCGTGTTCGACCGATTGTGAGACATCGATCACGTAGAGGATGTCCTTGAAGTAAAGCAGATTGTATTCAGACAAATCTGCATGTACCAGCTTACAGACTTGGTATAGCATGCGCATATAGCTGAGGAGTTCAACGTATATCGCGGTCCATTTCTGTTGAATCTCTTGGGGAGTTCTCGAGTCATCAAACTCCACATCTCGCAATCGTGGTGCAGGGTATCCTTTGCTGTTTCCGAGAAAAGACATGACCAGGACATGTGCTTTCAAGTAGACAGGTTCTGGGCATGGTATTCCAGCTTGGTGTATTCTCCTGAGGTTGCGGTATTCCTTCTCAGCCCACACTTTCACCATCGCTCTGTTGGAGCTCTTGTTGTATCCACTCCTGAAACGATGCTCGCCGGTGACATATTTGTCCCTGTCCTTGAAGACCAGAATGCTCGTCTTGTACACTTTGATGGCTCTGTTCAGCACCTTGTCGCTGTCCTCGGGTATTGTGGCAGCGTGATAGACGTTTGCCTCCTTTCCTGTCGATAGCACCCCGTTAATCTCGGAGACGATATTTCTGTTCAGCAGTTGCAGCAGCATCATCCGCGTCCTCGGGTCTAGCACTTGCTCGCTGGTCGCTCTTTCCGACTTTTCAGCACCTCCATGGTGTTTGGTGGCTCCTCCCTCGATTGCATTCACGTTGAGCTTAGCGACGTGGCGAGACAGACTCTTGATGTGGTCGTCAATAGCCGCTTTCGTGTTCAGCTGCGGGTTCGTCTTGGGTTTCTGGTCGGTAGGGATCGAATTATCATTCAGCTTTCGCTGGCGATTGTATGATTTGGTATAGTCTGACGGGTTCGAAGTGGCAATTTCAGTGTCATCCAGGTCCGAGAGGAGGAGATCGTCGTAGTCGTCTTCCTCTTCCTCTTCCTCTTCGTCTGGGGCTGTGTCGTGTGCAGAGCCAGGCATGGCGTTGCGTTCGCCGACATATCCTTCATTCTCGATGTACTCGCGCGGAGGTTGGTGAGGTGCTGCCATTCTCGAAGCCTAGCCCTGGCGTGCACTCAGTGCCAACACGAGAAAGAGAAAAGCTAGTAGAAGATGATATGCAGGAACAGGCGGGACGAAGTCGAAGTTTAGAAAGTTTCTCGGCGGCGTCTTTTTGCATGTGAATCATTCAGCGACGGACAGGGTTCAGCCTTTCAGGTTCAGGAATTTAGGCGGGGTCTTTATTCTACAGTAGCTCCCTTGCTTGAGTGGATTTACCGACCACATCACACCTACAAGAGGCAGAATACTCGCCACCGTGTCTCCAGGAGCATCGTCTACCGGGAAGGGCAGATGATGAGCGTGGCCAGACATCCCAGCCTCTGCCTCATCTGCCAAACTCGCCAATTTCGCCTCTCCCGTCGCCGCATCTGCACAACTCCTCGCCAACGCGTTCCCAAACCGACCTCAATCGCTGTCCGACCCGAGGACGATGGCTTCCTGCTCGCACCACCACCACCACCACTACCACCTTTGCAGAACATAAACTCCAAGAGGGTTCTTCGCCAATTCAAAAACGATGGGGAAAGAGAAAGCATCCCTACCGACGCTCTCCGAGACCTCGCCGCTCGAGAAGCAGCGCTAAGCTTCGAAGCCCTCTACCGCGAGAGAGATGCACGCATACAAACATTACGGTCTCTGTCCAATCCATGGCCTGGAGTCAGAGCAGATATGGGCCGCCATCCCCCCAACGCTCGGCTCCCTGAACCACAAGATATGCACATCTCCCATGCCACTTTCCGCCAAAATATCAAAGCTGCCATTGGCTGCGGCTCAAAGGCCGCTCGACAGGTCATGAGAGCGCAACTTCTGCGCGCAGAATGGCCGAAGGATATCTTGCGTGTTGTAGCTGTTGCTATGCAGCATCGTGAAACCGCCGTCGGTATTACGCATCTCCACGAGCCGATCATGCGAGCACTCTATCGTTGTCGGGATCACGTGTCCGATCCAAAGGTCTTGGAGACGTTGCATGCAATTATCACGCGCTTCCGGTATGCAGGGCTGAAAGTCAAGTCTCATCTTCTGTATTTAGCACTCAAGTTTGCGGCGAGAAGTCGGAGTAAAGAGTCCATGCGAAAATATCTGAAAATGATCAGAGAGGATGGGATAGGGATGAGTAGTAACGTCTATCGATCTGTCGTTGCGAAATGCAGTATTGGGAATCGCGGCCTGGGAGAGATTCGGAATGGGAGATGGAAACAATCTGATTTGCGAGAAGTTCTTCTGGGTTTCGAAGGATGCGAGGACCTGGCCGAGGAAGAGAAGTACCATTTCGGGACATTCCTCAATCGAGACGATTGGCAATACCTTCATGGCTGGGTGGCTATTTTGGCGAGAGTGAAGGAGAGCGGAGCTGTTTGGAAAGAGTGGTTGCTGTGGCGAGAAACGAAGGCGTACAAGGAGCCTCGATTATTAGTTGTCCCGGGCGAGGAGGATGTGAACAGGTCTCGTGTGGACCCCGACATGACGACCAAGCTCAGAGGAGTTTACTGGTTCGTGGAATCAATGGTATGTGCTGGAGATATCGCGAAGGCCTGGGTAATTTTGAAAGAGAGCGGTGTTCCTTTCAGTGTACTGAAGCAGAGAATTAAGTTTCGCATGCTAGACGAGCCCGAGCATGTCGTTTCATGGGACGAGACTATGCGACAAGAACTCTTGAAGAAATACGACTCGGATCTGGCCAAAATTGAGCAGGCTCTCGGGGTGGTATGGAAGGCTGGCGTCGACGAAGGGGATGGACAACACGAGCTATACATGGACCAAGAAGAGGCTTTGGACCGGCTTGGCTCTGCAATATGGAAATGGAATGAGCAGATTGGATATCCTTGGGAGGAGGAGGACCAGGAGGCGGAAGAAGAGAGTTCGATCATGTTCCAGAGCGAGAGAGAATTGCATGATGCTGCTGAAGAGAGAACATGGTGTCGAGTTGAATAAATTACTTACCAGGAGGCATAGCATATGATACCCTAGCATGAATCACGACGGATGAGGATTCGCTCATCACTTGCAAATCTGTCATTGTCGACGGCTCAGTGATGCGCAGAGTGACATGTTCCCAAATTATGAGTTTTATACATGGCGGGCGCCCCGGTGCCAAGCCTGCGCAGCCAATTTTCAGTACTGTACCTCCTAGCAGTGTAGGTCCTAACAAAAGAACGACCTACCTCCTAGCTAGCACTTTCTAAGCAAGACAAACTTAGCACTCTCTGCCTAGGTAGGCAATCAAGAGAAGATGGAGATGGAGAAATGGAGATGGAGAGGGCGTCCTGGGCGAGCAACATGATCCATAGGTAGGACAGAAGTCGTCGCGCCTACAGCTGCAGATAATTCACCTCATCGAATCATGCAGTGTGAAGCCGAGTTCATCAAATTTGCCATTCTCGGTTATCGACAATGCGCGGCGTGATGAAGCGTGGCAGAGCGTCGCTCAAATCCTCTTCAATGAGAGTGATACAAAATCTTCTCCAGTACCCAGTCTAGGACCAAGGTCTTGATGAAAATTGAAAGAGACCTGTCAGACGACCGACAGTACCCACCTGAAAGAGCCGGCCGAAGCCAGACGCTCAAGCAGGGCGAGATCATTGCCATCAGCAGATGCTGACACAGTGGCTTCACTCTTGGGCGCCGCGGTTCGACTCATCAGCCAGGTTGGAGTCTGTAGCTCATTTAAGAAATACAGTTGTGAATGTTTACTATAGAAAAGATTCTATGAAGTCTGCGATGGGTTGTCAGAAGGGGTGTTGAGTGTATGGGGTGGTTGAGGTACTCACAAGATCACTGAAGAAGAAAAGAAAGGAAGAGGGCGAGCCGGCGAAGAATTTATACACGAAATTCCTTAGCGTCGCCAAGCAGCGCTAGTGCGACTGGTAAGCGCGAAAGCGGTGGACACAGCACCTGTGCGGTCCGGTCTGTGGGGGCTTGTGCTTGTTTGTTGGATGTTGTCTCTACCATTCAATGATCTTCGCATCCATTCGCAGCATCGCAATACATTGTCAGAACGCCCCGTATATGGCCCCGGACGATCGCCTTTGCCCACAATGACTGACTATGACAAACTGAAGGTGACGGACCTGAAGGACCTGGTCAAGGAACGCGGTATTGCAACAACAGGACTCAAGCTAAAGCAACAATTCGTGGATGCGCTCAACGCGGACGATTCGTCCAACAACGGCGCGGAAGTGATAGAGAGAGCGGAGGAAAGTAATGGCAATGGCAATGGCAATGGAGACGCGAAGGACGAGGATGCTGGTGAAGACGTGCAGGAAGAGGATAACAGCAACAAGCGGAAGCGCCGCAGTCCCACGCCGCCCGTCTCAGAGGAGAGCGTAAGCAAGAAATTGAAGACTGCAGATGATGCGCCCAGCGTTCAACTACCTGAGGATGTTGCAGCGGACGCGCCTGCCGCTGTTGATGAAGCAGCTGCGAAGACGATACAGCCGTATGGGAGCAGCGATGATATTATGCAAGTGGACAATGCAGAAGGCGAAGACGAAGTCATGGAAGATATCACAGCGCGTTTAGCGAAGCACCCAGCAACGCGCGCGCTGTACATACGCGAGCTCGTCCGCCCGCTCCAGCCAAACAGCCTGCGCGAGCATCTTCGCACAGTCGCGTCACCGCCAGGCGCAACGTCTGCCTCTGCCGCCGAGATTGTGGAAACATTCCATCTGGACAAGCTTCGAACACACGCCCTGGTAGTCTTCGATTCGACATCTGCCGCTTCTCGCGCACGAAACGCGCTACACGACCACATATGGCCCGATGAGCCTTCCATGCGCAAGCCGCTGTGGGTGGATTTCGTACCAGAAGACAAAGTGTCGGAATGGATAGAAATGGAAACGGAACGGCCAGATACCAAGTGGGAGGTTACATACGACGGCGTGGACACGAATGGGCAGACGACTGCTATCCTGCAAGAAGTTGGCTCGGAGCATCAGACCCCAGCCCCCGCTGCTCCCAATCCCCAAAGGTCGTCACAATCACAAGATCCTCCCGCGCCGCAAAAAGAGCCACCTCCACAGAGCAAGTCGTTTGATACCCTCGACTCGCGGTACAAGTTCACACAATGCAAGCCCAAGATATACTATCAGCCTGTGGCGCCAGAACTGGCCGACAGTAGGCAAGAAAATATTAGTACAGAAACGAGTCGTGAGTGGGAGGATAAGTTGTCTGACCCGTCCTTGTACGGCGAAGGGGAGCTTAGACGATACACCTTCGAAGACGGTGACAAACTGGTTGATGGCGGAGCTGACTTTGGTCTGTTTGGGCGAAAATCCACGCGGGGTGGCAGAGGCGGTGGAGAGTATCGAGGTGGTGGTAGAGGCAGAGGGAGAGGCGAATACCGAGGAGGCGACTACTATCGCGGCGGAGGGTCTGGTGGACGACGTCAATACTAGAACCCTGGGTGCTTCGATGACGATGCCGACGCATCGATGACTACGCTGGTCTCGTCGGACACTGATTTCACAGATTTCAGCGACCTCCTTGATCAGTACGAGGTTTCAAATGGGCCCTGAAAAAAGGTAGCTATGCACTCTATCAAAAGCAGCGGTGCTGATTTGGACAATAAAAAAAAGATGCTGCTCACTTACCACGAAACATAGGGTTGTGTGTAGAACCCTGTATCAAGTTGAATAGCTCGTTTTTTTTTCTTTCTTTTTGTTTGTGTATCGTTACTTTCATCCAGCATGAACCTGGACCTCGTGCGCGTGCGGAAGGCATAGACTCAAGAGACCTAAGGCAAGGTAGGTATGATAACAGATTTGAACACATCCATGCCATCCACCTCTCTCTCTCTCTCTCTCCCTCTCTCTCTCTCTCCCTCTCTCTACCCACTGCCGTAGCACGCTACAATCTACCATTCGATAGCAAATTGAAGTTCACTAGGTACCTAGTACTAGACGAGAAAGAAATGCACGTAGCAATTCCAATATGTACAAATACGAATAAGCTAAGGAGGTCTAGGCAATCGCTATATAAGTAGGCGAGGTAGGTGGGTAGGTAGGTAGCGGTTGATATATCTCGAGTATATATATAGAGGGGGGGGGGGGGGGGGGGGGGGGGGGGGGGGGAAGAGAGAGAGAGAGAGAGA